CGACGCCGTTACAGCGCGGGATGGCCTGCCTCTGCTGCCGCAAGCGGAAAATGGTGTGTGCCACTCAGCGTCCCACGCGCGCACCGGATGCAAAACTGATTCAGTCCACGTGCGCGATCCTGCAGAAATGTGACGGCCTGCGCCCCGTGTGCACGCAATGCTTAAAGTCGAACCGCGGGGCCGACTGTCAATACTACGAAAAGAAACATATTAGCCGCACGCAGCTCCTACAGCAGAAGGTCGCAAAGCTCGAGGCACGCCTCCGCGAACTCGAGTCGGAGCAGTCAGAGTCGGCTTCAAGTTCCTCATCTGCGAGCGCATCGTCCTCTGCGCCTTCTCCCGCCGCGCAGCCTGTCAATCCAGGGCTGCTCGATTATTCTGGTAGGCAGATCATTTCCCATACCGGGCGACTGTGGGTGCTTGTGTGTTGACTACTATCTCAGATGGCCTGTCATTAAAAGATGGCAGTTCGCACAGTGGGAGCATCCACGGAACCTTCCCGGTCTTCGATTTTACTCCTCAATCATCCTTCGCGCTCGCAGATCCCTTCCCTGCTGATACGTTATGGCAGAGTCAATCACTACTGCAGACGCCGTCATCGCCGCCGTCGCCAAGTGCACATGCCACTTCTTTCTCACAACGGTCGAGTTCATTAAATTGGTGGGAGGACGGGAATGTATTTTGCGAGAACAAACAGAGACTGTCTGTCGTTTCTCCGCGATTTCCGATCTGTCCGATCTGACCTCTCGGCGTCACAGACTAGAAACCTTCTTCGCGCACAGGCATCAATGTGCGTTCGACGTGCACCTCGGTCGGTTCCAATCCTCGCTGTTCCTCGCGCCTTCATACCAACCACACCCTGCACTCATGGACGCGATCTACCTTCTCGCATGCTACTTCTCTCGCTCAAGTCACCTAACGAAGCTCGAGCCGCATTTCCTCAAACGCGCTCTGCAGGGCATCACCGATGCGCTGCAGAAACAAGACCGCATGGTGCACGTCCTACAAGCCTCCTCGCTTCTCGCTGTCTACTTCTTTTGTAATGGACGCGTGCTCGAGGGGTACTACCACTCCTCCACCTCCGCCCGCCTCACGATCGATCTCGGCCTTCACCAGCTCAAGCCCGTCGACTGGCCTGCCGCGCTGCACATGCCTCTCTCCGGCGCTGCGGTACTCGCACCGCAAGCCTCTGGCTCTGGCTCATCCTCAGCCTCAACACAGGAAGCAACCTCCTCCTCGTCGGTGCAGACTGATGTGACCTTCCCGCTACCACCTCCGCGCGACCCGATCGAGCACGCGGAACGCGTTGCGGCGTTCTGGCAGATATTCATCGTCGACCGCGCGTGGAGCGTCGTGACGGGCCTGCCGTCCGCGCTGCCGGACGATGACCACCCCCGCACGCAGATCGAGACGTCGTGGCCAATGAGCATCATGGACATGTCGATGGTGCGTGTTGTGGGCAGCTAGTTGTGCTGATGCTTGACACGATGTTATGTAGAGCCCGGAGGCGAGCGGAACGTTGTTACCGGTATATGGCGAGCGCCTTCCTGGTCCTGACCTCGCGGCGTCAACAGCGACGCTTCGTGCTAAAGCGGTTATGCTCTTCGAGCGCACGGCGCGCTTCTCGCAACGTACGTTTCGCCTTTTTCTTCTGCCGATTGTCATGTTGACCTTCACACGACAGCGCGTCATGACTCGGATTGGCTCGAACATCGATCACTCGAGATGTCGCTCGCGCAATTCAGCACGAACCTGCCGGAGATCACACGACGCACGCCTCAAATCGCGGTGGACATCGAGCTTGTGAGCGTCCACACGCTCATCCACACCGCGACGATCCACCTCAATCGCGCGCATCTCGAGGCGTCTTTGGCGTCGTTTGAGAAATGCCTCGCGGCGGCGAACGCGGTCGCAACCATAATTAGTAAGTTGGCAGAGAGCGATTATGGGCACTTGGACCCTATCAATGGCGTAAGTGGCCGATTGGATGACTCGTGTTAGCTAGAGACTCATGAAAGTGGGTTGAAGACGTGTTGGCGTTCCGTTGCGGACGTCTACGTGCGGGTATTGACTGCAGCGCAGACTTATGGGCTGCAGTGCGATGCGATGGCTATCGGTGAGGCACTCAGCATGCTGGTCGCCGCCATGAGGCGGCTTACGATGTTCTTCCCGGTGGCGACTATGCCTTGACAGCAACTTGTCACTCTAAAGAACGGTTTCCCTACATCAGTTTGTCTTTGTACCAATGCTCGAAATGTTCTCAAAAGTTAAGCTAAACTAATGTGTACTCTGGTGGACGCGGACTTGCGACATGTCTGCGTATAATGTAGCATACGGCTCGATGCCTTCGCTCACGAGCAGTGTATTAATATTGTAGAAGTTAGATACGCCACTTGGAATACTGATTCAGCTGTGGGTTGGGGGACTATGACCGAGCGATCGGAGTGTGCCTCGTGGATCAAGGACATGAAGTTCATCACAGCGCAATGAACGTTGCAGATCAAGGGAATTTAATGCGTTCGGAATGCAACAGTAGTCGGGCCGATCACACCAGACAATCGACATGCATGGATGAGTTCCGTGACCATTGCAGAGACACTGCGGCACATCTGATATTGCTGGATATTGCTGAAAATCGGAATTTGGTTAGGCTCGCTCGCTCGCGAGCCAGAATCAAAGTTGACCGGGTCTTCTGCCACTTTCCTGGTGCTTGATTGCCTCTTCCAAGCCGGGACTGTCGGTGTGAGCATGTTCCGTCCTTGAGTTTCTGGTACTTCGAAAAGGAAGGGGACGAGTTGCGCTTCTAAGCGGGCTTGGCCAATTCAGTAATTTGTCATGATCAATTATATGTTTGTATGCGCATCGAAGTGAGCCGAGGATGAGACTGAAGATAACACCGAAGCAAAGATGATCGGCCTATTTGATGATTTACTTCCGCAAGAGTGGATGATGTGCAGAAGACCGCGTCTTGAATGTAGTTCGGGAGAAACATACGTAAACGCGCATATTGGATGCATCACGCACGTTGTTTATTATGTCCTCGGATTTGCAGGTGGCCATCTTCTCCAATCTACGCGATGTGAGTGCATAGATCTCCTTGAGTGGTGTTTGACGTCCTTGGCGCATACGGGCGCTCGGTCGATGGCCTGTTGAGGCTGCAAAGTCCTTGAGCGGCGAAGAAGAGCTTGGAGCGCCTGTTTGACGTGAGACAAAGTCGTAGGCTGTCGCCTGCTGCGTTTTATGAGATATCGGAACACCTATCGCCTGAGCAGAGGTACCTGGCCATCGTTGTTTGCTATACGGCGCAACATCCTGAACATTTTAGGATATGAGGTCATTGGCGTCGGCCCCTGCGACATGCAACGATTTGGCGTCTACAGCCTCATCTATCGGTGTTCCACTCGTGGTGCTATCGCATTTGCTCAGCGGGGTTATCTACGGTTGACATGCTCGTCAGAACGCCGTATAGGGACGAATCTTGCGATGATGGACCCAGCTACCAGTGTGGACACGGGAACGCTCGATGCTGGTTCGAGCAGTTGGATATCGTGAACTGGTGCATGCATGCAACTAAAGCCATTGTCAGAATGCCGCGGGGCAAGCTAGCTCTGGTGATGATAGCCCAAATATGGATAATCAGATGATCATGAAGTTCTTGCTAGTTTCAGCATGTTGGTCGATGAACAATTCGCGGAGAGAGTGGAAAAGTCGGCGCTTGAAATATGCCAGAGATGTTATATTAGTGATTCTAAGCGATACTGTATAACGCTGGAGCTTTGATATCGAGAAGTATTAAAAGTCGCCATGATTGGAAGGTACTTGCAATGCTGGTAACATCGGTCGCAGACATAGAGGCGCATTATTCTTTGATGCAGAGGACCACCCAATCGACAGAGAATACTAACGAATTTGAGGAGCAGCACACGAGAGACAGGTGATTGTCATTGACGGCCAAGTGATGAGTCTAGAGCACGCGTCGAAGACGGAATAGAGGCGTTATTGCTACGAATCGAACCCGAGGTGTCGCGAGAACTCTATGCGTTATTTCATACTAGTATGCGACTATGTTTGATAGCATGAGCTTGAGCGACGACGTGGAACATTGTGATCAAGTGAGGTTGGCAGACTCAGCTCAAGTTAAAGTTCGGTCACCGGTGGCCCGCTTGTGGCGAGGGCGTCGGCGTGGTCACTGTCACGCCTCGAACCAGGCTGTGACAGGACGCGTGCACTATGAAGGCCTTTACTGGACATAGCATGCGTTGAGTTAGTAACCTCCCATCATCACTTGATGCTCTTTGAATATGTCTCATGAAAACTCTATCTCCAGTGATGGCGCTCGTGCACAAGAGGAGCTTGTGGAGTTCTGGAGCCGACGATATAGCGAAGTGAAACATGAACTGGATTACTTCAAGGTAGTATCAACCTTCACTCTTTGTATACTTAAGCCTTGAAGATAATCTCTGTTGAAGAACATGTTTGGTGTGGGCTCAGAACCTACTGTCCTGCCTGAACCACCAAAATCCGCAAAGTCTGAAGGATTTGATGAGCTCTTCAACTTTGTGCGGGAGGAGGCAGCGCGTCGGCAGGCAGCAGACGTTGAGCTGCGCTCGCTCCTGGCCAGTGGTAGCGCATCCTACGCGGACCACTTAAACCTATTAGCAGAGGAGAAAGATGATCTTGCAACCCGCCTGCAAAAATCCCAGGATGAGCAGTCTGCTTTGTCGAAGCAGGTACTAATCCCTTGTGTCTAGCTCGCGCTGATCATAGCTCACAAGTGGTCCACGCATATATCGCATTTCACAGCTTCGAACTATACAAACTCACGTAGCTGCGTTGGCCACCGAGACTCGTCAATGGAGGCGAAAGCGAATCGCGCAACTTTTCCCCGAACCCCAACCGCCTTCCTTCTTGGACGCCACTTTTGAGACAACATACTTGAATTTCGGAGACCCAGATTCATTTATGCGGCTGGTTCCTAATGATCCTGTGGTATGATTAGTAATTCACTGTATTTAGCGAAGTCTATTGTTCACGACGTTCGTAACGGCAGCTGCGTAGCCGGCGGTGAGCCATCTCGGAAGACTTCAAGGAGTGAACGGAAATAACGGCCGTGCAGCATCGTTTTCTATCCGCGTCCGCCTAACGCTTTACCCATGGACGTTTCCTCGATCGCCAGATCAGGATATTGGTTTTTCCCTGTCGTCGTCTCGGAACACGAGGTATTCGAGCTCATTGTTGAGAGTGAACAAAATCAGGTAAGTAGGATGCAGTGTGTGCGTTGTTGATGAGATGCTTACCAGAGAAGCAGTGGACCTACCTTGGTACATACCGCACGGCATCGCTGCCGGGCTATGAGATGAAGTTGTCCGAGTGGCTATGTCTTGATGAGGAGGCGAGTGTTCTTCATACAGACAGGGTACTCGCGTAGCTGATGGCTATGACAGACAAGGGCGGGACACTGCTCTCGGGCTCGAGAGCATGCCAGAGCTCAACTGCCTGTTGCATGCCGGGGCGAGAGCCTAGACGTGCGCAGGTTCTATGACACCGGTGAATGGACTGTGCTGTGCTACAGCCTGCACTGTGTGGGATTCAACAAGAGCTTTTACTTGGGGATCCAGTCGGTTGCTCGGTCGCAGGTGGCGGTTGCGAGTCATGCCACAGCCCAGCAGCCGCCTAGCACACGCGTGTAGGCGGAAAGCCGAAGAGCGCCGTGAAGCAAGATTCCATTGAATTCAGTCTCTTTTTCAGAAGTGTCTATGATGGGTCATGCCTTCCATTGTCACGTTGATTTTCCACCTCCCGTAGTTTCCGGTGACTAGTTTTGTGTCGTCGTTTCCCCGCTGCCAGTGCTATCATGAAGCCTATTTGATTAGTTTTCTATTCACCTCACCAAAGTCTGTACTGAGCTACTTGAGAGCTATTAGATCACGTCCGGCCTCTAACCTGTTTGTGATAAGTGCTCGGTATATGTAGCCAGACAAATGTGCGCTCAGCGAGTTGTACTTGAGCAGAATATGGCCAGATCAGGTAGGACTTTGAGGCTGTTGCCAATCAGGCACAAACAACCGCTCGTCGCGTCCCCGTCACGCGTCGGTCACGCGTTGTCAACTTAAGACTAGACGTGACACTGAGGACGTGCACAATGGAGCATCCTGCCCTCGATTCATTTCAAGGTTTATCGCTTTCGAGCAGAAAGTGGGCTGATTGTGTACTGTCGTTTTAATTTGCCCCTGCTCACTCTTCCACCACGGCAGATCGGGTGGAGATGGGGCCAATGCACCGACTCCAGCTGCCCAGCAGAATGCTCCCATCTTCATGTTCGGGTCAGGGAGAGACGCGACGAACTTTGTCCCGAGCGTAACTTCACAGAGCCGACAGTTTACTGCTTTCAGCTTTACGAAGGACAAAAGGAACTCGGCCTCGCAGCCAACTAACTCCAACTTCACCTTTAAGCCAGCGAAAGGTCCGGAGATTCCTGCCCCGAGCGAAACTAGTCTCAGTTCTGTGAAGGACGCGACAGCACAAGCCGCGAGCGGGACCGCACAGAGCAAAGTGCCTCCTGCGTTCAGCTTCAACGTTCCTGCAAAAGGCACGACGACCCCGGCCCCGAGCGAAACTATTCTCGACTTTTCGTTAGGGAAGGATACGGCGGCCCAGGCCGCGAGCGGAACCGCGCAGAGCAAAGTGCCGCTTGCATTCAGCCTCCTTCCTGCGAAAAGCGCAATGACTCAGATGCCGAGCGATGCCAGTCTCGGGTTTGTGCCGGGGAAAGGCACGACGGCAAAGGCTGTGAGCGAAACTAGTTTCGACTTTTCGTTAGGGAAGGATACGACGGCCCAGGATGTGAGCGGGACCGCGCAGAGCAAGGTGCCGCCTGCGTTCAACTTCGGTCCTGTGAAAGGCGCGATGACTCCGATTACGAACGAAACCAGTCTCAGCTTTAAGCTAGGGAAGGACACAACCCCTCGAGCCCCTACCGGGAACAACGCGCAGAGCAAAGTGCCGCCTGCGTTCAGCTTTGATCCTGCGAAAGGTTTGACGACCCCGGTGCCGAGCGAAACTACTATCAGCTTTGCGTTAGGGAAGGACACGACAGCCCGAGCACCGACCGGCACCGCGCAGAGCCATTCTCCAGTCACACTCAGTTTCCAAGGGATAGGGAATGGAAAATCGACCCGGCCCATTCGCGGAAGGTCGCACAGCCAACGTTCACCCCATTTTGACTTCGTTTTTACGCCAGAGAGAGGCATGGCGACCTCGAGCCCAAGCCAAATGAATTTCGCCGCACCAGGTAGGAAGATAACGACCTCGGCCCCCAAAGGGACCTCGCAGATCCAACACCGATCTAAGTTCAGCTCGGGGCTAGAGAAGGGCACGGCGACGCAGACCCCGAGCAGAATCGCGCAGAACCAACAACCGCCCGTATTCACTTTCGCGCCAGGGAAGGAGATAAAGACAGCTGCTCCGAGCAGGATCCCACAGAGCGAACAGCCGGCCACCTCCGACTCGTCTAACGCTCAGGGACTAGTGGAGCTCTGGAAACAGAAATACTTCGAATGCAATCTGGAACTAGAAAAGCTGAAGGTGCGAGTTTTACTCTTGAAACTACGTCATTCTGATTGGACGCATCATCTTTACTAGCTTTCACATGGTACGCAATCGGAGCCAGTAGCTGTCGCAGAACAAAAGGAATCTGTCAAGACGGGGAAACTTGACGAGCTCTTGAACCTCGTGCGAGAGGAAGCGGCGCGCCGACAGGTCGCTGACGCAGAACTGCGATCTCTGATAGATAAGAGCAACGTAGCATCGTTTGAAAACGTTACTCAATTGGCTAAGGAAAACGGTGAACTGGCAGCACAGTTGCAATCTTTACGAATTCAGCATGCCACTCTTTTGAAACAGGTGCTGGTCTGCCTATCTTTGTGAAGGCATGGCTCAGAACCATAATTGATGATATATTACTATTAGGTCCAAACCAATCGTATCCAAATCCGTGCGTTGGCCGCTGAAGCAGGCCTGCAAAGGCGAGCAAAGATCGAGCAGCTCTTCCCCAAGTCCACCTTCGTAGACGCCGATTTCAAAACAGTCTCCTTGAAGATCGGCGCCGCGGACACTTCGAAACATTTTCTTTTTAATGCAACAGCGGTACGGTATCTTGCCTGCATTCATGTACAGCTGAATCTTGATAAATGCACAGCATGTAGGCAATCAGCGGTGAGCCACACTCCTGCACGGAGCATGGATCACAGTTCATCATTCATGCCGAGTCAGGGTAGTCAGTTTACCGCTTCCACCCAAAGCGCTGCCTGCGGATGTGCCATCTGTTGCACAATCCGGTTACTGGTTCTTTGACGCGGCAATCCGCTTGGAGGACGCGTCGTTTGAGTTGATCATCGAGTGCGAACAGAATCTCGTGAGTAGGTCTAGGTTGATTGGTTGGAACATCACCTTGATTCTGGGCTGGCCAGTGGATGTATTTTGGCACATATTGCAGTGCGATTCTACCCGAATTCGAGATGAAGCTGTCCGAGTGGTTATGCCTAGATGAGGAGGTCAGTGCCTAACTTGACATTGTTTGCAATCAAACTTCACGACTTTGCTGCACATACCAGACTAGAGAAAAACATTGCGCGCGTGCTCGAGCCTCAGCCAAAGGTCAATCGTCCGCATATGAGGATCGGAGCCTCAAGGTGCGGAGGCTTTACGACACCGGCGAATTGGTCATACCATGTTACAGCCTACGCTGTATAGGATTCAACAAACACTTCTACGATGCCTTTCATGGGTTTGAACCTCATGAGCAACCTTCTCGGAGTCTCACCACTACCCAGGCCACGCCTGACGCAGCCGCTGCTGCCTAGTCACTCGTCACTTCTCAACAGCTCTCGCATGAAATATAGTTGGCGGGGTATATGCAGCTATAACTGCACAGTTGCAGCCTCAATAACACACGTTTCCGATTAGATTTTCCTTCGTTTTGTTTTCTCTGTTTTCACGGATGTCTGGTGCTCTATCATGTACATGCTTGAGGCTCTGTGTTTGCTTTCGTCCTGCTATGTGTCTATGGTGCAGAATCGTCACGTATCTCAGTAAAAATGTTATTTCCCGTATTTCCCGCACATTCTATCAATTTACTTAGATGAGGATCCGTGAAACTGGAACGTTGACTTGTGGAGTCTGGCATCAGACGCTCGCATTGTGGCGAACGGTGGCGAGTGGCCACTCCTAACCCTGAATCCGGTTTCGGCGATGATTTGTCACCAACTGTCACACGGGGCTCGCCGGCGACTCGCAGCTTGTCGATTACTATTCCCCCTTCACCTTGGCCGTCCATATCTATCTCTTCCACCGCAAGCATGTCCAGCTTTGCAAGTCATTCCGCTCAGCTGCTGCAATATGAATCTGACGGAACAAATGCTTGCAGTTGACTTCGTGGTGGGGTTCATCCGCACCTGCTCCGGTCGCAGAGAAGGCGTTCGACCCTACTGACCCGAAGCAGAATCCGCTGAACCCGCAAGGGCTGAAACCGTGCGTCACATAAACAATTTTCTTCAGTCTTACGGTCGTTAACCAAATAGACTTGATACGACGCAGATGCTGTGCATGCCCACAAACAAAGTCCGCGCGTGATGACTGCTTTCTGAAGTTCGACTCGTCAGAGGCAGATGACAAGTGCAAGGAGCTAGTGCAGGCACACGTAGCGTGCATGCGAGGCCTCGGATTCAAAGTTTAGAGTGCGGCGTCGCCGACCACTACGGATGTCCTTCCCACTTTCCTGCAGCCCATCGACAGACTCTGCATTGTGCCAACTACCCCCACTCCGGCTGTGTTACATTAGACATATATAACTGCCATACGTGCTGACATGCGCTTGAATCTACCATCGATTCAGGAACGGGGAGTGCAGCCATCAAGATCCGTCGTTGATATCAGGATGAGAGTCTCTGGTGTTATTCAAGAGGCAAGATCCACTGCCATCGTCCCTCGGCTAGACCCTCTGCTGTGTCCTGCAAAACAATATCATGCCTGCCTTTGACATAGACCTAGAGCCAGCGGTCTGTGAGTGCACACATTGACAGCTATTTAGGAGAAGCCCACCGTCTTGTCCATCATGCGCCGACGCAGATCCTTGACGGTGTTCTCTTCGATAGGCTCTTCCAGGAGTTGCGATAAATCCTCCACCGCCTTCTCAAGGTCTCTGCGCATGCCAAGCGGTCGCGCCCAATAAATACAAGGCATAAGCAGGATGACTTACGCCTGTATGTCCTCGAAAATCTGCTTCTGATTTCCTTGTTCGAGAAAGTAAGCCATCGCATAAGTCCACTTCAGAGTGGCTCTGCACTTGGTCAGCTCGTCCACAGCCTGCTGCATGAATTTTGCCTGCGGAGGACGGCGTCCTCAGCGTTGTTCAATATGTATGGAATGCATGTGAACTCACCTCGATCCACGACAGCTCGCTGCTCTTCTGCACATCCAACATCTTTTCCTCCGTGCGCTCTACCAGCTCCTGGTCTAGGCGAGCGCTGAGCTCGTGATTGTTGAAACGGTCGAAGTAGAACAGCCACTTCTCCAGATTCTGCTTTGCCTCGGTCTTCTCTGCGTCGGGCTCGGGTTCCTTCCACGCGTTGCACGCGTCATTATTATATCCATGTACGTTCCAATTCTGCATGCACAGCCAACAGAACTGGAGCATGCAATGCCGGCATACAATTCGGCTGGTACAAACAACGCTATGAGTGGAATCCAGCACACGACAGTCAGTGGACGTACTTGCAGCCACCATTCTTCTCGATGCTGTTCCTGCACCTGGGACAGGTACGCGTATTGGCCTTGATCCACTGCGCTGTCCCTGCATCCTCGCGTGCGTTCTTATTCCAGATCAGAACAAACTTGCATATAAGGGGACGGTGGTCCGAGTCCAGCCCGCACCCAAAGCAGAAGACATGTCCCTGCCCACATTGCACTGTCGGTACTTCTGTAAGAAGCGCGGAGCCTCTGCCTCCAGGACAAGATACGGTCTCAGTGCACGACGGGTACGGACAGAATCGCAGATGTGGATGTGCCTGCACATAGTTTTGGAGGACGAGTTCGCGGTATCTGGTAATTGAGTTCGCTATGAGCACTGCCACTCGGAATAGGCGCGGAACAGACACACCGATCATACACCGTGCCGTCCACGAGCTTCCGGATCGAAGGCTCGTCGACGACCGTCTGACAGCCGTCCTGCATGCAGTGAAGGAGGCACTGGCCTTCGTCCTTCACCTTCCCCGTGACATACGCCTGCCAACATGGTTCGCAGAACGCGTGTGTGCACCGGAGGCGGAAGATCTCCTCAGGCGCGACCTCGCTGCAGCACACCCCGCAGACGAACTCGGTGGGCGTGTTCAGGCGGGCGCGCTTCTTCTGGCGCACGGCGGGCGATGGTGGTAGTGGCGCGATGCTGACGTTCTGTGGCTCACCAGCGCTTCGCAGGACGGAGTCGCGGCCGGGCGAGTCCAAGTACTTCTCGATGAGGTCCTCCCTGCCCCATCCAAAGTGCTGAAGCAGGATAGACGCGATGGGCGACTTTGGTGATCAACATGGGAGATGTCAGTGGCGGGGAAGAATGGGTGGCACAGGAGAAGGTAGAACCCTGCACCTCTAAGCCAGTGATGCCCGCCACGCTGCGTATATCGTCGTCCACGAGCTCCTGCAGCCGCACAGCAGAGAGCGCCTGGTACTCGATGCTCTGCGACTTTCCCTTACCCTTGTCCTTGATCACCGGTTCTTCGAAGTCGGAGTCATTCCCCTGCGTGTGGCGTACTGCGTGAGCAACGGATGTGCGGTGAGACGTATAGTCTTACGTCGAGCAGGCCATCGGAGTCGTAGGGGTCGCTGGTGTAGTCGTCCGAGTCGTCTGACATGTGTGCGCGAGCAGCGAGCGAGGAGGTGAGACGAGATCTCACCGAGCTCACTGCAGCCGAGCCGAAGGCCACAGAAGTACCGAAAGAGGAGTGCTTGTTCTGCCGTGTTCCCACGGTCACGGCTTCGTTAACCATTGCAAGTTGGCGAACTCTCACGAACATTATTTGATATCCATCCATCATGAGCCCTCCAACAGATTTGAAGGAAGTCGTCGATTCCGAGATAAAGTGCGATTCGTCCTTTGCTTTCTGTCATTCATCAGTTGTCGCTTGAACTCGTGGCTGTGCAGGGAATGGCACTTCCGTAAATCCCAGTTGCTTGTGCCGTCGCGCGCTGCAAGACGGGCAGATTGACGCCTCTGATACCATCCAGATATCTACTTCCACCAGCGTAACGCGGACGAGCACCATGCCGCGCTTGAGCTGCGCGATGCGGTCCTACGCCTTAGAAGGGATGGGGCTTTCATCGCAGTTCCTCTCTTCCGAGTGAATACAGACCCGATCGGGCCGCATCCTGTTGGTATGTGCGCCAAGTCTGAACTATGATGATGTTCTCTAATTCGTCGTGGTATGGACGATAGGTTCATATGAGATCTGGTGCCCATCGGAGTCATTTGCTTCCGTCTTTTCCTATCTGTGTATGAACAGAGGCAACCTCAGGTGATTCAGATGTGATTATGCAGACGTTCGCGGCGTTCTCATATGTGTTCTCAAGCGTTCTCGTCCATCCATTGACGCGTGATCAGGTCCGTCTCCCGCATCTTACGCATGTTTTCTAGTCTGACACCCCGTGTTTTCAGAGAAAGTCTGTAGTTCATTCACATCGCCATATCCATGCTGATGTCTGCGTAACCCGACAGGGACCATGAATTCCGCAACGCGTGGATAGGGCCCTCGTTCCCGCTGGATCTCTCTACGCTTCCCATCAGGTCCGACGAGATACCTCTGCAGTACCCTAGTCTCAGTAAGTGCGCTGCATCTCACCTCTACCGGATTCTCATCGTGCCACTCCTTGTCTTCTCCATTGCTATCAGAGCTAGGACATTCCTCTACGGCTCCGACTATGTCTTTGGAGGGCCGAAAGAAGATCGGAGTAAGGATGGAGCAGATCTTGAAGGGCGAGAAGGAGGCTGCGAAGGCCCCGAGTGACTGATCGCCTCGATTTCTGCAGCCTCGTGCCTTCTCTTCTCTCCTGATACCTGTGCAGCTTTGACTCGAAGAGGGTGCAGAAAAAGATTTTGCTTGTCATAATCGTGTATTCCTGCTGTATATCTCAAATGTATAACAACGAATTAGGATTGGATCGATGGCACCTGTGTCCGCTTCCGAACTCTGAGAGAAATCTGTATTTAGGCGCTAAATGATCGCGAACCTCAACATTTCACCATGACTCAAGCCAGGGACCGCAGCGTACTTTCTTCTGTTCAACACTGCGATCTTCACCCTCGTCAGGGATCTCACTCGCTTTGACTTATTCGTAGACACCGCTCTACCTGCGCGCCTCTCGGCATACTCGTCAGAATCGCGGAAATGGCCCGCGCTCGCCATGCTCCGTCGAATACGATCGTGATCAAGCTCGGTACGTCCTGGCACTCGCTCACGCCCGGGATGTACTGAACACGTTTGATGTTTCCAGGAACCTCCTCCATTGTTGATGAGAAGACACATCAGCCGCTGCTGTCCACTCTTTCCGCGGTAGTTGAGACCGTGGTGCACCTCCGGGCGCAAGGACACAAAGTCGTGCTCGTCAGCTCAGGTGCGATCGGCGTGGGGCTGAGGCGGATGAACATGCCCCATCGTCCGAAGAGCCTGTCAGGGAAGCAGGTTAGCATTGCGTTTTTTTGGCGAGTGCAGACAGCGGTGTAGGCATCGGCATCGGCATACCGGGTCGTGTGCTACGATTGTTGCTTGCACTGCTTGCACTCGCGGATGGCTCTGACGTGATTTCCAGGTACTGAGGTGCTTTGTCTAGGCGTTGGCTGCAATAGGTCAGGGCCGACTCATCGCGCTGTGGGACGAGCTCTTCGGACATTTAGAGCAACCCATCGCTCAAGTGCTGCTCACAAGAGGGGACATCTCGGATGTGCGTACAAGTCTGTGACTTAAAATGATGTCAGGCTGATGCCTCGTCAATAGCGCACGCGATATCTGAACGCTGTCAACACCTTCAAAGAACTACTGTCCATGGGCGTTGTACCCATCGTTAACGAAAATGACACAGTGTCCGTCAGCGTAAGTCACCGCATCAGCTCAGGCACGAGGTGCCTTACTGAGAAACCCTAACACGATGTAGGAAATCAAATTCGGTGACAACGACACACTCTCCGCTATCACCTCTTCGATGATACACGCCGATTACCTCTTTCTGCTGACAGATGTGGATGGTCTCTACACGTCCAATCCCAGAAAAGACCCAGATGCGAAGCAGATCGAAGTTGTATCTTCGATCGCCGCTATTCGCTCGCAAGGTGAGACCGCTTTACAAACCATCTCGATTGTACTGATCAGTTGGCCATAGTCAGCACAGCAACATTAGGCTCTAGTCTCGGCACCGGAGGTATGGAGACGAAGCTCATCGCAGCTGAGATCGCGACAGCTGCTGGGGTAACAACCATCATCATCTCTAGCAAAGACCCGAAAAACATCTTTAAGATCATTGAATACAACAATGCTCTGAAGTCGGGCACCTCAACTCCCGCAGAATTGGCGTCAGGACGATCCAGTCCAGCTCCCTCAGCCTCCCAACCATCACCAGCTCCAGCGGATAGCACAGCGATCGCAACGCTGCCAGTGATGCCCCGACCGCCACACACTTTGTTTAGGCCTTCGCCCACGCCTCTGCGTGATCTAAAGTCCTGGACAAGTCATACGCTGTTCCCCTCGGGGAGCGTCATCATCGACAGCGGCGCACATCAAGTGCTGTCCCACCGCGAGTCCGGCGGTCGGTTGCTCCCAGCAGGTGTGCTCGGTGTGCGGGGAGCCTTCGCGTCAGGACAGGCAGTCCGAATCGTCATCCGGCGGCATGCGCCGGGCAGCACGACGCTCCCGGAAGAGCAAGAGTGCCGCCGCATTGCCTACGCGGACGGGTTGGCGACGTCGGCACCGAACACGCCGATATTGGGGGCGGCTGCCTCTGCGTCGTCGTCCATCTCCAGTCTGGATCCCGAGCTGGGTATCCCGACGCCACCGTTATCTACGGTTGATGAGGAAATGACGCCGTCGGCTTCCTTGAGGCTGTTGCCAGAGGAAGAACCTACGCTTCTCGAGAAGCCCGCGGATGAAACCGAGGCATGGGAAGTCGAGGAAGTTGGACGTGGTCTTGCTAACTATAATTCGGCGCAAATCGCAAGAGTGAAGGGGTTGAAGAGGTATGTCTTCTACCACATTCGTTCTTTCATCTTGACCTTACATTCTTTGTCAGCTCGTACATCCCGCAACTTTTGGGCTATGCTGATTCTGAATACGTGGTGGAAAACATTACTGTACGAGTACCGCCATAATTTGGGGGCTGGGAAAGACTCGGGTCGTGCGATTATAGATTAGAGTTAGACGCCATAGCGCCGTAATGCTGAACTCCCGAACAGAGATTAAACAGCCATCCTGATATCTACCCCTCGAACGTGCCTCACTGTAACCAATGCTGAGAGCATTCGCTCGACGGTCGTACACAGCTCGAGTCGTGCAAATACGCCGACTGCTATAGGAACATCGCGTATCACGTGCTAATTGCCCTATATGGCCCACGCAAGTAGATTGCCGGCTTCCCGAGAACTGGAGCTCAGGTTCGACAAAAATCCACATCCTAACGCCTCCGCGCTCTGATCCTTTTTTTCGCCTCTACTCTACCATTCCCTGCATCGAATGCTGTAATTTTAGTTGGACTGCAATGCTACACGGAAACTCTATCAGAATTTTGACGGGTGAGTGTTTGCGAGCATGGTTGCCCTCAGCACGCTGAACTCGGTCGTCGTGCAGGGAACAGCCACCCCGAGCTCGTCCAAGCCGTGGTCGAGCGGTGAGCGACAGCTTCATAGCAGTCAGCCACGCAGTCCGTGGACTGGTGATTCACCAAGGATCCTCCTGTAGGCTCAACGTGCCCTTGACTCCCTGTACAGTCAAGAAATTCTCGAACGGCGAGATCAATGTCAAAATTGCAGAATCCGTCCGCGACGAAGACGTTTTCATCATTCAATCAGGATGCAGCGACGTGAACGACAACCTCATGGAACTCCTCATCTTGATCTCTGCGTGCAAAGGCGCCTCTGCACGCCGCATCACGGCGGTCATCCCCTGCTTTCCCTACGCGCGCATGGACAAGAAGGACAAGTCCCGTGCGCCTATCACCGCAAAACTGGTTGCGAATATGCTTGCGGTCGCTGGCTGCGACCATGTCATTACCATGGATCTGCACGCAAGTCAGATTCAGGGGTTCTTCGACTTTCCTGTCGACAACCTCTACTCGGAGCCTCTGATGATCTCGTACATCAAGCGTCACATCGAGGGGTGGAAGAACAGTATCATTGTTAGCCCCGACGCAGGAGGAGCTAAGCGGTATGTAGCTACAGTTGTATGCTGCTTATTTGTCATTCAACATATAGCGAATAAAGCGTCACCGCTATTGCGGACAAGCTGGGTGTTGAGTTCGCTCTCATCCACAGAGAACGGACCCGGAAACAGGAAGAGAAAATGGAGGTCCTTGTTGGAGACGTGCGAAACAAGGTAAGTTGTGTTTTTGCTCCGCCCCACCTTCCTCTGCTCACGTGCCCATAGGTGGCTATTCTCATAGATGATATGATCGATACTGGAGCAACGCTGGCTTTGGCTGCACCGTTGTTGAAGGAAAAGGGCGCTGCGAAGGTTTACGCTCTGATCTCACACGGTACGTCAGCTTCGCGTTCTGAGTGATTCTTCCTTGGCCGACGTCATTTAGGGCTTTTCGCCGAGACGAGCATGAGTATGATTGAGGCGCTTCCCATAGAGCAGCTTGTGGTGAGTAGTATCATTTGATGGTGCCATAGTGACTTGCTCATATGTCATCGCAGGTCACAAATACGATCCCTCAACAGCACCATGCGGAGGGCTGCAGCAAGCTGGTCACTATCGATGTGAGCCACACTATTGCAGAGAGTATGCGGCGGACGCATAACGGTGAGAGTATAAGCCTTCTTTTCGATGAATGGGCAGATGGTGTCGCGGTGAACGGCATCGGGATGAACGGCATCGGGATGAACGGCGTCGGAATGAACGGCATTGGAGTGAACGGCGTCGGAATGAACGGCGTTGGAGTGAACGGCGTCGGGTCGCATTGAGCTTCGTATTGGACGGAAGCAGACAGAGACGTAGAGTAAGTTATAGCTATCCAGTTGTACATTGTTGGAGACCTAGAACCTATTGTCTGCACACAATAAATCAGACGTATGAACACCTGCATATTGAGTTAGGCTTCACTTGATCGGCTGTTATGTGCTAGCTGGCTATCCCTGTATTAGCATACGAAATGAGTTGAATGCTCGAGAATCCATGCGATGTCCGCCATGCTTCTCTGTGGTATCCGGGAGGCAGCAGTCGTTTCCAATTGAGGTGATCCAGGAGTGAAAGTTGAGTCATGCAGATATTACGAGAAAAAATGATGGTATTCGCGAAGGCCCATCGCAGATGTAGTGTGTGCACGTCGCGGGACTTGATGTCGATGCTATCTTCAACAGTAGCGTGACGCCCTTGCGTCATGCCAACTCATCTCAACCCATCAGAGCAGGTTCAGGCCTTCTGAGCCTTCCATCCATCGTCTAGGGCATCCCGAACGAGGAAGTCATACCAGAGGACCGTGATCGGGACCGTCGCGAGATGCCAAAGCGAATGCGCATCGATGATCCGTCCCCAGGGCGGAAAATCAAACAGCTCGAGAAACGTCGCAACTGTGGTGAGGATAACGAAAACCGCAGCTCTAGACGCATACGGTGGCCGGTAGGATCGTGGCCGGTACGGGAAACGGCGCAACAAGGGGATGGATGCTGGAAGGGAGTACGTTAACCAGAGCAGGTTGTGCGTCATTCCCACGACTAGGTTGAATATTATGTTGTACGTGTAGTCAAACCGTGGCAACAGTGAGAGGTAGGAGACGTGCATGAGATAGACGAGAACGCAGATCAGCTTCCATGCTATGAAGGTGACAGAGACCGAGTTGGCGGAGCTGGAGGGTGGTTTCTCAGGATAGAGGTGGAAGAGACGTATGACCGCAAAATACAAAGCATACAGGATAGCCAAAGCTGCAGAGAAATAATCGAGCTTCTCTGTCGTAGGGAGATCTGTGTGGAAGCGCTAGATGAGCACACGATGAGATAATCCTGCTATTGCTCGCCAACCTCGGGTATGAAAAACTGAAGACCAGATCCACGCGTTTACGCTAACGAGTGCGAACCTTCGATAATAGCTTCCCATAGGATGGTTGTCCGAAACCATCCTCTGAATGCGCATCGCTCCTCGGATGTGCACCCACATGTTCAGAAGGGAGAATACCACGGAGGCAGGCTCTTGCATGCCCGCAAACCTCCAGAATGGCCACTTCCCATGATACTGCTGGATCGGCTCCGAGTTCTCTACTGCGAGGTCGGTGATGGCGTGCATACAGCCGTACTTGCAATCGTCCGTGCACGACCATTGAGTTATCCTCATGGGGAGCGAGATTGAGTCCGCCCAGTTCAGATCGTGGCAGATGCGAGATTCGCATTTCGACACGCAATTGATGTAGGTGTCCGCACGATCTCCGAACGAGGCGCGAGCACAAAGAGTGGTTCCAAGAACCAGAGGCGTGAGGAGTACAATGCGCATTATAACATAACTGATGAGACAAACTCGATTTCCGGGGGCGTAATGAGCAGGCAAAGTTGTGCGTCGAAGAGCTGAGGCTGATCGAAGTTGTGGTTTGGGTACAGACGCCCAGCGTGGCATTATGTCAGCTTGTGGCTGATTGTCTTAATTTGGTCATGGTCAAGCAGTTCCTTCTTTCCAGACACCATCAAGCTCTATCCGGTCCGTGAACGATTGCTACAAAACGAGAGTAGTAGTACGTGTTTTCTTTTAAGCTCTAGTAGGTGTCCGTTTCAATGTGAGTCTGGAAGTGGCCTGCTTTGCAAACGGACATCCAGCGGCATTGCTCAGCGTTCCCATATTTGTCCCGGATCATCTCATACTGATGTTCTCAATACTAGACATATATCTCTGACTATATAGGGTACGTCTTCGGTGCCTGAAATGGCGTAAAAGCAATGATCGTTGACTGATGGTTTATATCAGCTCCAGGGTGATACGTGTTCAGATGGTTCGCTCTGCACAGGCTACTACATATACATTCTCTTCCTCCCCATATTTTGACGACCGCGGCAATCATGGATATGCGGAACCAATCACAGAACGTGTCAATGTAAGTCTACACGGTAATTATTATCATCAGCTCTGATTACTGGTATCCAGCCACATTCGCGCCCGATCGTTTCGTATTACTTTCCGAAGGGAGTAGGGCCTCAGCATTATGGGGTAAGCATCATTCTATGCAAGATAGTACGATACTGAATTATGTGAACAGGAACATCATCCAATGAAACCTCACAGGTTGACGCTCACGAATGCCCTGGTGTTCGGTTATGGTCTTGATAAACAGATCCATCATATTTACAACCCACGTCCCGCGACACAAGCAGAACTGGAAGCGTATCATGACCATGATTATGTTGATTTCCTGTCGAAGTACGTCTACCTTCGTAGGATTCTCGAAAGCCACTGTTCATGGCGTTGACTAATCATCGAGCGCAGAGTCACACCACAAAACCAGGCTGAAATGAAACAACAAATCGACATGTTCAACTGCGTCGAAGATAACCCTATCTTCTCTGATATGTATGAATTCTGTCGAATGTACGCTGGAGGATCCCTCGCAGCCGCGAGGAAACTATGCGCGGGTACAACCGACATCGCGATCAATTGGTCCGGCGGACTTCATCATGCGAAGAAAGGTGAACCTAGCGGGTTTTGCTACGTCAACGACATAGTCCTCGGAACCCTCGAACTCTTGAGGTTTGTGTGACTCAATCTTGTCACTGATACTTCGCTCATGTGCGCACTAGGTATCATCCCCGTGTCTTATACATCGACATTGATATCCACCATGGCGATGGCGTCGAATTCGCTTTCTATCAAACAAATCGTGTCATGACAGTTTCTTTCCATAAATATACCGGAGACTTCTTCCCAGGCACTGGCAAATTGGACGACAACGGCGCTGGACTGGGCAAGCATTTCTGCCTAAATGTACCATTGCAAGACGGTATCGATGACAATATGTATCTTACAACCTTCAAGACAGTCATCGAAGATACCGTGACAGCATACCGACCGACCGCGATAGTTATGCAATGCGGCGCCGATTCTCTAGGTTGCGATCGATTAGGAGCCTTTAATCTGTCCATCGCCGCGCATGGAGAGTGTGTGAACTTTGTGCGCAAGTTCAACGTACCTCTCCTTGTTGTGGGTGGAGGAGGCTACACGATCAAGAATGTCAGCCGCTGCTGGACATACGAGACGTCCGTTTTGGTCGGTGCGGCCATTCCGGACGAGCTTCCTGTTACCATCTACGATTCATTTTTCCGGCAGTCAGATTGGAAGCTGCATCCGCCATTGACAGGCAGAGTCGATAATCAAAACACTGCAGCGTCGCTCCAGCGCATCACCATCGCCATCCGGAATAAGCTCAGGTACCTTCAAGGGGCACCCAGCGTTGCCATGCAGGAGATCCCGCCGAGCCTCGCGGGCTGGCTGGAGGAGGAAGAACGTAGCCGGGAAGAAAAGGAGGAAGAGCGAGGCACTGCTCTGTCCGGTGAAAGTAGGGAAGATCGCTCGGTATTACGGAACGAGTTTTTCGATGGCGACAAGGACAATGATGCGGATGATCCACCCATCGAGGTTGAAACCCCTCCGAAAACACGAGCCACTCGCAGGGGCCGAGGCGGCGCGAGACGAGGGCGCGGACGGGGAAGAGGCAAGGCCGCTGCAGCTCGCATGGAAGCAGCCGAGGGAGACGATGATGACACCGCCGATGATGTGGAGAAGCCCACACGTGCGAGAGGCCGCGGGAGAGGCAGAGGTCGTGGTCGTGGTCGTGGGAGAACGAAGACGCAGGTAAAAGAACCGGAAGTAGAGGCGCAGCCGGAAGCAGATGCCGTCGTGAAGATGGATGTCGACTCGCAGTCGCAGACACAGGACGTCGAAGAAACATAGCGGTGCGAACTTGGGCAAGATGGAGTATTTCCCTCGTTCAAGTGCTCGATCGGCTTATCTCGTCCAATACAGACACATTCGCCGCTGTCCGTCCGTGTGACATTTCGCAATGATTCGTTTTCTGCGGAGCATGCCAAGCAAATCATTATAGTATGTAGCCATAAATAGCACAGCGCCACGCTTCAAGGATCGAAAAAGGGTGAATGGTGACGCCGCCAACCAGGGGAACTTACAGTACAGTTATAGTGCGGAATCTATGTGAAGTCCGTTTTCTGAAGAATAAAGGATAGGCATGAGGGGAACTGCTGATGGAGGACTCATTGTGCCTCAAGATCAGCTCGCACTAGGGCTGCGAACCTTCGATCCAAGCAAGGCAGCGACTTCATAGCAGACAACTAGAAGAAGTTGGCCGACAAGGTCCATGAAAGCCGAATGCAGCGGTAGCGCATACATATCTGGGTCGAGCTTCCACTTCCAGAGAAGGTTAGTTGCTGCTTGAGCCAGGAACAAGGAAATTACGACCTGTTTGAAGGGTCAGACAAGTACGTGCTGAAACTATGTGCGTGGCGCTTACGGCTAATGCGAAGAAGATGACCTCCATAACCGCAAATACGATGGATAGATGTAGCCAGCCGAAAGCATAGAGCATCCCGACAAAGAGTATTTGAATTGGAAAGCTAACTGCCAGCAATGTGATCATCACTAGACGGCCGCTCGGATGAGGTTTGTGGTCGACATTTGACGGCAACAGGACCATCGCAGCTGCATGCAGCGCGGTAGACAAGCGTGAGATGAAGATAGCACCGACGCTGCCAGGTACACCTAATGCATGACAGATCGTGAGGATATGCCAAGACGACCGGCAGAATTCGCTTACCTGTAATGACTACAGCTATTAGCGCAAACCCCCTATATCGGCTCACGAAAGCATCCAGCACGAGTCCAGTCCCGCTACTGATGATCATGGCAGCGATCAAAGGGGGCCATCCCTCCGTGACAAGATGCCTGACGTGAGGATTTCGGCGGACTACTACCGTCCAGCCAATAGCAGCGATCGTGAGGAGAATGACTAGGATCAGTGGCACAGGTGTATCCACCATGCGCACCTGTAGCACAGAGACTACGCCCAAGATGGAAAGCGTCACCATGTCCCCGAGGCATCCCGCAACAGGAGGCGCTATATTGTCTGCAACAGGTGATAGGTCACATCACGGAAAGGAAGGCAGTATATGAATTGACTTGCCGGGATCGAGTCCAAATCGGCGACAGAGAACGACCAGGCCACACATGAATGAGCCCAAGACAACACTGGACAAAGCGGTCGAGCACATTGCGGCGGACGCAACCATAATAAATCTGCAAACCGACCGTCAGAAAATATATGGTACAGCGCGCAAGATGGATGTACTCGGAAGCGCCTGATATCTTCTTGCCTGTTTGCGGAAGAGCAGGAAGGGGTTTGCGGCTTTCGTGGAGAACTCGCGCATAGAGTCGACCATGCAGATTGTCGGACAGAGTCGCGTTACTCAAGCTGGTTAAGTTTCCCATCATAACCTCCACTGACTGCTCCGCAGATTGTGAAGAGACAATGCGACCCAATACGTATGAGACACAGGCGGCAACAAACGAAACGACTGCAGCTTGCACTTGTAGTAGAGTCAGATTTCCGAGGATGAGTGCACGGCGTGTTTCGGGCTTGTCTAGCTCGCCGACATTGGCGGCGGTGCCCAAGCGCGCTGAGAGGTTCATCTCGAGGTTTCCTTTGAGATTCAACACCACGGGAATGATCATGATGAGCTCGTCGACACGAGACATAGCTTTCCAATGCTACAACTTGTGAGCGTACTGAATCCGGACGGACTGCTAAGCATACCGAAATTTTGTTCAAAAGATTTCCCGTAAATAGCAGTCCGGTGGTTGTGAGTAGAAGTGTCGGAAATGTCTGACAACGGATGATCGTATTCAATCGGGTGCCAAACGAAACTTATTCGTCATCCCTACCTCAATGACAATGCTCCTGACCTGAGCCCAAGTACTGGGCTTGTAGGTTGGTGGTGAAGGTGATACGACTCTGGCATGAGAACCAAGCAGCGCACGATCACCTTTATCTTCGCCATCACTGTCCTCCTCGTCCCCCTCATCGACGAGATCCGGGAAAGCAGAATCACGTCTGAAGCTGTTTCGGTGATGGCGGTCGGACGTCACACCGACCTCGTCAAATTCAGCAAGCTCTATACTGTCTGGGCTGGCCCACGGGCTCTCAGGAGGAGACTCGGAAAATTTCATGTTGAGAGCATGAGGCAGGAGAGGGAGGTCAATGTTGAAGACATTTTTGTTCTAAGTTCTATTTATTCGACCGCTCACGCCGCGCGGGTTTCGAATATATTACCCGGGAATTGCCGCCGGTCAATTAGCGAATGACACAAGCGCTTTATAACCATGCGAGAATAATTACGCGTGTGAAATATGACCTGATTTGTATGTCGCGTACCAGTCCATTCGGCGCTTAACTAACTTGCCTCCGGCCACAACAGTGCTCCTCGAGCATTTGTGCAACTCTCCATTTGAGGATCGGATACGACCGGGAGTCGCTGTCTGGACTGCTTTTAACCGCAGGAACTTTCTGAGAGGCTCTTGACTGCGTGCCGTAATCATCATGTTCTCGGGTCTATCCCCATTCCCCTCGCCACCCGAAATCCACTCCATACTATTCAGGAAAGCTCCAGAGACCGTCCCTCCCACAGATGAACTACAGGTTCTGGTTGGGGAACTTCAGCTCGTCAAACAGAAGGCATTGGAGAGGGCCAAGAAAGCCGGCGAAGACCTCAAGATTATCGAGGAGTCTATGCGCCGACTGAAGGAGAGGGAGAAGGGCAAAGCTAAAGCAGCGGAGAAATTCACGCGAGAACGTGGCTGTGCGTACATCTTTGTCTACTTAGTTCGTTCACTCCCCTTGGAATACCTTTATTTATTCAAAGTCCGTCCTCTCTGCTCAATTGTGCGTCCGTCCATTCATTTGAAGACGCGCGGTGTCTGCCGTAATCTTCCGCACCTTCACGCCCTGTGGCCCGGGCACTATTTGCGAACTCTACGATCTGCAGTTTGGGGTGGTCTTTCCGCTGTGGTAAAACACATCGCATGAGTTACCCAAGTGGCGGCACATCGCGACCATCTTCGCGAATACGATGTGATTGCCATGATTATAATCCTAGGACGTCTGACAGGCAATCATGATTATCTACACCGTAATCTGCGTACACATTTGCCACATCCGTCGCGGAACTGCCACCCTGGAATGCTATTGTGTTAGCGCCACCACACGGAGTTTGTTTCTGGCCAAGATGGGCCACTCCCCTTCGGTCGTCCTTGCTCTAGTCGCATATCGATATATACCCCCTCCCTCCATCGATTTCCTCTTAGTTATAATGTCCGTTGTCCGTAAACGATCGTTGCGTTCTGATGTCTTCTCAATGACAGTCACCCCACTGCCGAACGGCGAAGAAACACGATTGTCTGTGCAGCCCCAACCACCTATTTCACGTCCACGCGTACCACCGGCACCTCCAATCTCCGTTCCATTGACTCCTACGCCAGCGATCGAGTCTCGCAGGTCGTAAGTCGTGATTGACTGGTACGCGTTTACCACTAATATTCCACAGCATGACCGAGGAGATGAAGAAGAAGAAGAAGAAACGGAAGCGCGAAGATATAAGCGATGGCGAGGGTGAGTCCACGTCGTAGTGTTCGGTGATCACTCGGTGACAATGCCTCTGTGCGTGCAGAGCCTCCAAAGATTCGCAAAGTATCACCTGTGCCAGCGCACACGCACCCACACACACCACCGGTGAAGACAACGAAGTACCCTTCTGCGTCGCTTGTATTCAACAAGGTACGCGTTTGTGTCTCATTGTTATGGTGCGCCACCATCTGATGCGCTACATAGCCCGCCGGCCCTGATTTTGCCCTCCCGCCACAGAGCTCACTGTTGCCTGCGCGTCCACCTGTTCTTCCAGCGCCAGTTGCAGGACCGAGTACACCTACAGAAGTCACTGAAGACTTCAGCAGGAGCAAGCCGCCCGGTAACCAGGTGCAAGTGAGCACGTTTTACACGAGCATCGAGCCGTGGATCCGGCCGATCAAGGAGGAGGACATCGGCTTCCTCGAGTATACTGGCGACGACGTCGAACCGTTTGTGCTCCCAAAGCGCGGGCGGCACTACTCGGAGGTGTGGGAAGAGGAAGACACTGCGCTGTATGGCGGGCCACTTCCTACCACGGTCGCGGTGCGTGCCACCGCGCCGAGACATGCATCGGTGTCTGAGCCTCTGCCGCGTTGGGAGCCGTCGACGTTGATGGAGACGGATTTGTTGACTGAGGAGCGGGGACACGGCCCGCTTTCGGAGCGGCTGGTCAGTGCACTCATACCAATGCACGATGCAACAGAATGGAAGGGCGTGAAAGCTGCTGAGGAGGCGATGGAAGGTCGCCCAGGGACGAACGGTGCCGCAGCGCAAGCAGCGCGAGATAAGCTCAACGTGGCCGATCTCGAAGACCGGGTCAAGAACGTGCTTCGCTTTTATGGTCTACTTCATGAAACGGTGGGTCATCATAACTTTCACAGTTGGCATTGCTATTAATAGCATTATGACTCAAATATTAGCCTGACTTCTCGGAAGCAGTAGACGACCCGATAGCCACTGCCCTGCGCCATGCTCAACGCGAACTGAGGACAGTCCTCGCGACCAACAAGGCACGCAGAACGCGACTGGCAGCCATCGCGCGAGACAGACTCGGCTATCAGGAGTATCTCGATCTGCGCGACTCGATCGACAAGAATATCACGACGCTGTACTCTAAGCTACAGAAGAAGGACGGTCCGAAATCAAGCAAGAAGAAGAAGAAGAGCGCGGAGCCCAACGGCGTCGCAAACGGCACACTCGACGGGCTTGCTGCACTGCCTCCTTGTCCAGCAGCGCTTGGGCTCGCTCAAGACGAGCAAAAGCGGCTCAGTGTGCCTGAGCAGCTGAAGAAGCTTGTGCAGACGAGACGGCAATGGGTAGACACCGTGGGAGGCATATTTGATGAGAAGGAGACGGAAAGCCCCGGACGTATATATGGTCTGCCAAAGACGAGTGTATATGAGGGGATCGAGGAGGAAGTGCGGCGCGAGCTGGCGCGGTTAGGACTCCCGGCCTTTGAGCCGGGCTCGAAGTCGCGTCAGGGCGCGAATGGCACGTTGGATGCACGGACTAGTACTACATTTAGTAGTAAGGGCAAGGAGAGAGCGCCAGAGGATTATATGGAGATAGGATGATGGACGATGCTGATTGCATTGTTGCGACTTTTCTCACTGTGGTCTTCATTTGCGGAGAATCGGTACCTGCGTTTTCTCCCTTGCAATGCATCATTGTTTGTTCGGGAGGGGGTATGACATCGTGAATGATGGGCCAAGTGCGAGAGTGACCAGGTCGAAGAAATGCATGTCTCAGGCAGCTGTTTTCGTCTTCCGAGACGTTTTGACACGACTGCTCTCTCCCTTCCTCTTTTTCTTCTTCGGCAGCTCACCAGCAGTTGCAAATACATCAGCGGAGGGACGTCCCTGCGTAGAAGGCGACATCGACGAATCCTCCACCTGATCTACATCCATCGAGTCCAGTAAAGTGTTTGTGGAAGAAACTGAACCGATCGGCATAAAGCGATGTGTCAAGACTTCCGAAGGATAGCGAGGCCGCGGAGGGTTCTTATACATGGGTGCAGAGCCGGAGCTTGACGCTTCTGGTGCTGCAAGTGTAGGTAACACCGGTTTTGCGGTGATCACAAGATGGCGCGCAATCGGCCTGGGTGCTACAACACCTAAGGATACAGCGGCACGGGAGGTGACGGAGAACATACCCTGATACAATCTCCCGCCCTTCCTTTTCCTCGGTAAGAGGCAGCTTAGGCTTTTAAGCTCCTCGCCACCCACAACGTCTGCCGAACCATCGCCCAGCGACCACACATCGTAGGCAGTGCTTTTACGGTCTATATATCCTATGCGGGTCGCACGGGAAGAAGATGGCACGTCGAGCTTCACATTTTCTAGGTGTTTTGCTTCGAGCTGGAACGGGGATCAGCGACGTGAATGAATGTAAAGTCAAAGAGAGCTCTCACCCCTTTCGGCATGCGAATCACCCACAGCTCAAGGTTCTCGTCGTCCTTCAGCGCGTCCCAATCGAATTTGCCGACGTCAACATCATGGTCTATCAGTGTAAAGCCTGGAGGCGGCTTGTATTCCCAATCTTCGTCCTTCCCGCTCCCATTTGCGGGCGCAACGCCTTCCGCTCGGGACTTTGCCTTGCTTGAGGCTACTTGGCCATCTGAATGCTCTTTTGTTGCCATTGGGAGAGAGCCTTCACGTTCCGAGTCAGAACCAGCTGAAGAGCTCATGGCTTGACCAGGGAATAGTACAGATAGAACCAAATTGTTCTATATATAAGCGCCCGAAGCAGCGTCGACAGTGTTGACGCTAAGACTCCGAGCTTCGGTTGATGTACCGCTAGCAATATCATGCATATGCATATCGACGAGACCATAGATTTTTCGATAACGACAATATGTGTCCCTTGCTACAATGACATAGGCCAGGTCGCCACCTCCGATCACAGCTGCGAGCCATGGCAACTTAAGTCTTAAAGTCTTTGAGTAGGAGCGCAGTATAATATCCCGTTCAGGATGTCCAACCGCAGGCCTGCATCGTGCAACAATATCACTGCTGAGCACATGGAGCCAATAGCTACAAGAAATACATAAAAGCTGATGAGGTCCTTACAACAAGCCGTCCGTGAATACAAAATCATCGTCTCTCCCTAACCTTTATCCACACAGCGCCGATTACCATCACACCGAATCCAGCAATGAAAGCAAACAACACAAGTACATCGCGATAATAGTTGTTCTCGCCGAAGCCGAATAGCTGAGCGAGAGAGATCACATTAGCGAGAACACCAATATATAGAAGATTAGTCGCTCACGTCTTCCATGATCAAACTCGCCGATATGTCCACAGGAACACCTTCCAGTGAGTCTTCAATCATGAGACCAGATCCGACCTCATTCACCGACAGTGCTTCGAGGTTGTACTTGAGCGGACAGAGCCATTGAAGCCATCGGAGTACGGGAGGGATAGTATCCAGGTGAACGAAGAAGCCTGCGTATGTCATCTGATAGAGTGCGAGCAGGGCACTAAGCAGGATCGCAATACCGCCGTTGCGGAAGACACAGGCAAGAAGGAAATTCTGTGAGAAAGGCGCGTCAGGAAACGGGAGAAGCACAGTGAGGGAGGGCGACTCACAAAGAGCGTCATCACGAGCGTGTACAAAACGAGGATGAATAGGAACTTGAAGAAGTGCGCCGCATCAGGGGCCAATCCGACCATCCAATATGCCCTGAAACAGGAGAGGATGCGTTGAATGACAAATAACTGGGCAATAAAAACCACTGTTGCTTACACAGTCGACACAATGATGGTAGGCAACACACGTAGCGGTATAACGTCGAAAATGAACCGCGACATAAGCCATGCAGTCGGACTGTAAATTTGACGGTCAGGATCACGTCGACGACGTTACTTATGAGACGTCTCGCCGACCTATAGTATGAAGCAGATCGTTCTCTTAGGAAAAGCGGGCGAATCTCGACAATGTTGTACAATGCGCTCAGAGTCGAGAATGCAATGAGGGCACCCTGGTTAGTCATCAGAAGAAGTCGACCACATAGCAATTGCATGACTTACCAAGAAAAACAAACATCCCACGCGAGACTGAAAGCCAGCAATGGTGATTCCTGTCTTGTAATACATACCGCCTAGCAGAATTGAACAAGATTAGACAATCATACGGGACGCGGCCAATTTTAAGGTTACATACCAACAAACACGCCAAGGATGCACGCTACACCAGTATGCGTAAGGAATAACGTCTTATCCCTATCAAATGAATATTCAGCAGCCGGCATTTACTTGAGAAGAAAACAAAAATAATAACCTTCTCAAAATCTTCCACTCTCTGCCAGACAACACCTCAAACTGCGTTAAGAACGTTGTCGCATACTTCTGGCCGAAATATCTGCTCCGCCACGAGCTTCCTACGCCCTTCTGTGCCTCGTCGCCGCCACCGAGAACGACTATCTCATTACTCGACAGCTTCTCCGCATTCTCGCCAGTGCTCGTCTTATCGTTCTTCGACGTCTGAAACAGCCCGATGGAAGGGTCGCTCGCGACATCAAGGAGGTAGTCAGCGACATTATAGCCTGCGGTGTATGGAATGCCATGCGCAGAGAAATATTGGGATGGTATAAGGCCGCCTGGACCGGAGTAGAGCGCGCGGCCGTGCGATAGAAGAAGGATCTTGTCGAATGTCTGGAAGAGCTGAGAGCTGAACACAAATATGTCAGCCGAACACTGGTTGATATCAAAGATACCAACGGACTCACCTAGGCTGGTGAATCGACGCAATTACTGCAGTAGGATTCTCCGCATCGTGAGCCAATGTACTCAAGACTTCCGCCACCTTCTTCGCCGACACAGAATCGAGCCCACTCGTCGGCTCATCCAGGATCAACACGTCCGGCCGCGCGACAAGCTCCAGTCCAATGCTGACCCTGCGCATCTCTCCGCCGCTAATCCCACGTTTCTCCCCATCGCCAATGCGAATGTCGCGGACGTGCGAAATGCCCAGCTGCGAGAGCACGGCATCGACTCGGACGATCTTCTCTGAGTCTGGAATACTTTCCGGGAGGCGCAGGCGTGCGGCGAAGAGTATCGCTTCGTGCACGGTGAGCATGGGCGGGAGGATGTCCTGCTGCGGCACAAAGCCGATGCGCGACGGTATGGAAGAAGAGCTCTCAGATCTGGGCGTAGAAGGCGAGAAGGAGACAGAACCAGTGACATGGCCTGACTTGCTCTTCCCGGCTAGGATCTCAATCAAAGTTGTCTTACCGGCACCTATAATGCGGCGTTAGAGACACAGATTTGAGCCATTTTATTTTACTTACCACTTGGACCCATGATAGCCATCATCTCACCTGGCGAGACGAGTCCGCTGACATTATCCAGCACAACTCTGTGATCATTCAGGTCTCGACGAGCCCGTCTGCTCTTCAATGGGCTGACGAGGGAGGACCAGGAATAATCACCGCTACCTGGGACGAAGTAGCTGACATCGGACCAGCTGACGGCAACGCCGCCATTCTTGCCGGAAGCGTGAGGTCCAGTTTTGCGTGCACGCCGTTGGCAGAACCATCCATATGCCAGGAACAGCAGCGCGAGGAGGATAAGTCCGCCCACGACGGCTAACCCCGCGATGACGCCTCCGCTGAGCGATTTTTTACTATCAGAAGAGCCGGATGTACTCGTGGAGTTGTTTGAGATGTCGTCAATCACGTATTGGCTGACGCATTCACCAAATTCGCATCCTGTGAGGGTGAGGCCGTTGGAGCCGAACACAGACTCGATAGTCGCCTGCTTGAATGCGCACGTAGCGGTGTTGTTCCCTGAGGACGGTGCATCGCAAGAAATGGTGAGCGTGCCCGACAAGTCGTCGATGATCGACGTGAGGTTTGTCGTAGACACGCCTCCACAGAATGTAGTATTCGGGATGCAAGTACACCGCAGGCTCTCGCATGTCCAGTCCGAGTCGCTGTCCGTCGAGTTCCCTGCATCTTGAATGCACGAGTCAGCATTGCAGTAGAACTGTTCAACACCGGCGTAGAAAAGCTGCGCATATATCGACCCAGCCGAGCCAAATCCAGTCACATTTGGCACAGGAGTGAGCGAGGGGTTCAGCGTGCGGAGAATATTGATGGTCGAAGATAGGGGATAGATTGCTTGCAGCGTGGGGTTCTAGAACGAGTGAGACAACAGTAGACAGTAGATAGCAGGGCACGCACATCAACCGCACAGCTCATCACCCCTGCCGCATATACCCTCGGGTCAACATTGCACACCAGCGTGTCGTTCTCCGCGCCCGAGAGGCTCGACGAGCTCACACTCGAGCTGTATCCCGCTTTCGAGTACCCAGACTGACACGCGCTCGCCGTCCTGCAAACGTTGCACCCAGTCCCCGACCAGCCGCTCTCACAGTTACACCCCGTGATGTTCGGAAAACCACCAGATGACGCTGACGCCAGCGAGCGGCTCGCGCCGTCGAATATCGTGCCACCACAGGCAGGCTCCGAGCAGTCAGAGCTGCCAAATCCCGTCGGGCAGCCGCACGACGAGCCGTTCACGATCCCATAGTTGCCGCAGGAGACCATCGCGCGGTCATATGCGTGAAGCAGGAAAGACGCGGAAGGGGGCTTTCCGCTCGCACCACCTTGAATTAGAGCACATTCTTATAACGCCCACTATACCGTATCCGCGCGGACTCTGAACGCGCTCCGCACACGTGACCATCGCGAGGTCGAGGAGATCCAAATGTGCTCAGTGGCGTTACGTGAGTCTTCGCCGTGTCTGCACGTTGAACAAAGAAAGGAAGCATGGTGCATGAGAATTTGAAGTCAAGCAACGCACCGAGCAGCGGTGACATATGATACTGGGTGTTGAGTACGGCCAAGGTACTGAAGAATTTGAATCTACAGATTCCCCTATGTCTCCGACATCCACCAAAGAAAATGGAGCCTGGATGCCTGGATGACAAGCCCTAGGGGCGTCGACAACATGGACCTATCCGCGATCAGGTACGCCTCAGCTACATCGGTATGTTGTGCAAAATCGGCAACTCACGGGATGCGGCGACTTTGGTCTCCATTCTAATTATAAGGTCATGCAACACGGCAGCGAAGAGAATCGTCCGAGCAACGGAGAAATACCCTTCGCAACCTCCCGCTCTGCAAGCCTACCTAACGCCGTGCGTGCCAATCCAAGCACCTCTCTGTTGCTTCTTTCAAATGCGAGCAGCGCATGCATGAAACTCGTTCCCATTCTATCTCACCGCATCATGCGGAGCACAGGGAGGTTGCATAGATACCGAAGAGAAGAGTCGTACGACATCTGGCCATGTGACGGAAGTACTTGCACGAACTCCCTTCCAGAAGTCTCCGAGATGACCGCAGCGACCGCAGCGGAGCCTAATAGACACTCGCCTCGCAACTGATTAGTAGAAAGTGCAGTCTGCGAACGGCCCCATGGCGGTAACTTCTGCACTGTTCTCCATGTGATACCGGTATCACTATAACGTATGGGTAGGACCGTCAATGTTCAGCCCGAACGTGAGCATACATAGCCGGAAAACACGCACAATTTGTTGTATAACATTCGGGGACGTCCAAAGAGGCAATAGGACTCTCTCATCGCCGGGCGTGCACAATAGCGTCCACGTCGCGGCTTAGCTTGTTGCATGTGCGCGCGACATGTTCTAACGCACGACAGCAAGCTGATGCAAAAAAAAAGAGATACAATGAGATCAGCATGGCCTCGTACACATCCCGATTCTGCTCGCCCATAATTGCGAGTTGTTTGACATTTGAAGCGAAAGCTCATCCAATATTTAGTCACCCACCGCACAAAATAGAGCGCTGAGAATGTTGCAATGGTAGTGCGTATGCTCTCAAAATCGGTACCTCGTATCAAGCCATTCTGCCCTGAGCAGGCACTGCAGTGAACAGAGAGCACAAGTTGTTTGACGACTCTTGACGAGGAAGGCCGAAGGCGCTCCGAATTTTGATCCGCTAATCACGTGATACGACGCGAGAAACACGCGTCGTAGCGCCCGCGCGTGACCGCGTCTCGTCTCACTACGGCGCGCTTCCGCTCAACTCCCGCTGGAATAGAATCACCACCAAACACACTCTCCGACTGGCCTAGGTCGACAACGTTTGCAGACTGTCAATTTTCAGTGTTTTGCACATCCAGAACCCGAAAGGCATCGGCATGCGGATCGGCTAGCTCGCTGAGATTCTGATCGCCGCGGGAGCTTTGCTGGGGCAGCAGATAAAATGGCCGACATGAGGCATGGGCAGCAAAGGAGCTTGCTTCCTTTCGATAAGCAGCTCCATATGGCCAACGTATCTCCTACACGACTTGCAGCCCGCCACTCTGTCTTGCAACATGACAGCATGTCATCTACCCGACGATTCGTGCATGAGCGTGTATGACATATCGGGTATGTGTTATCTGTGATAACGCTGCAATATGTATTCCTGATGCTTGCGATAGGGTGATTGTCAATGAAAAGCCGACTTTTCGACGACGTCTCGGATTCTTTCAATGTGACTGTATTTATCGGGTGACCGAGTTTTCTATTGAGTGGCTCACTGAACAGCGTCTGACGCAGCCGAAAACTTACGTTGCAACTATTCGTCTCCGATCATGATTTGTCTCATCGTGCAGCACCCTTGCGCAGTCCGGGACGCTCGGCGGCACGTAAACTCGTCACGATCCCCCGCCAAATGATCCGACCATTCCCAAGGCAATATCGCGAGACGTGCATCGTGGACCAACAGCGAAATGCCGCCTTGGTGTGCTTGCACGGTTTGGTTATCGCTTTCCTCTGCGATGAACGAACGTGTGACGAGCGTCACGCACGGTCGTCCGAAGGACTTGGCGTGTGACCGTGACGGATCATCGACTCCTATCGTCTGGGGGGTCACGTCACGAGCATCACGGTCGGTGTGCTGCCCTCGTTGACTCCACTCATCTCCCCCCCACCTCTAAAACCACTGCGCCTTTTCCTCTTTCCCTCCATGACTATGCTTTCCTGACCACTCTGCATTCTCGACACGTACAAAGCTGTGCTGTGTCCAGCATTTCCAGGTCACTAGTGTATTCCAGACCCTCCTATCCCAGGTCGGTTTGCATTTCATACCGCTGACCGCGCATTTGACTGCGCGTTGGGTCCTCTGGAACTGCACCCTTGCATCACTCTCGACGATCTCATAAGGGGCCAGACGGATCCTCATCTTGTACTCTGACACCCACCATCCCCGTTTTTCAATCCCACCAGCATGATTGCGAGCTGTTCCGGCTATCTCAGCCCGTCACAATCGACAGATAGCACGTCCACCCGCTATTCCCACCTCAGCCTGCTCACCTCCTCCTCATCCGTGTCTTCCGCTGCTACGGCACCGTCGCCTCTTCCATCGCCGTCGACATCGGTGCATTCTATTGGAAGCAAGACGCATGCCTTTTTCAGCTCTCCATTCGAGGGCTCGCCTACGCCCCTCCCGCCTCCCAACCCGCCCACACGGGTTTCGTCGATAAGATCCCAAGCGTCCGTTTCCTCGCTTTACTCGCCCACATCGTCGGCGTCCTGCGACCACGACGGTTGTTCCAAGGCCGACGAAACACCACGTATCCACCAGCGCGTCCCCAAGCGCTCCCTAAACGCCGAGTTTTTCGGTCCTTCTCTTCTCCCCACACCTCCGCCCCGCACGGCGAGGCTTCCGCTGAGTCCGTCAGATTCTCGAGAAGGCTCGCTATCGCCTCCTCCCACCCGACAGACACTCCCACCTATCCCGCTCTCGCGGCTCTTCCCGTCGCGGAGGCGCTACGGAACCGAGGATGCGCGTTCGCGAGAGCCATCGCCTCATCATCGGCGCGAGTTCGTGGAGCACGACAATGGCCCGCCGCCGAACTCACATTTACTTGTATCCTCACCAGCTATTGAGAGTGTAACCGTAGGGGCTCCTATGCTGCCGGACTCGATCGATTTGCCTACTCCACTCGCTTTACCTGCCGAAGCTGAAGGTGCATCCTATGTTACTGGAGCATCCGAATCCAAGCCGTTACCGCCATTACCATCGTCTGTCTCTCAGGGCGATGAAACAGAGTCTCAAGTATCCGTCCTGGAGGCGGGCACAGTGCTGAAGAGCGCCTCGCTCTCACTCCGTTTGGAACGCGTGCTGGGCCATGGCGCATTTAGCAGCGTATGGTTAGCACGGGACGTTGACGGTCAGCTCAAGGCGCTCGAGCTGTCACGGAAGACGAGTCTTCTCAGGAGCAGAAGTGAGAAAAGGGGTAGGAGAAAGCGGCTTGAGGGCACGAGGCCGAGGCTGATAACAGGTCTGGCAAATGGTGAGGGAGGTGCCCCTTTGAGGAGAGGGAAGGCGACAGCGCATGCAAGGAAGGCCAGTGACGAAAGTGCAGAAAGTGTGGAGAGCGTGTATTTGAGTGAGAACCGAGAGGGCGGGAGGAGTGCGTGTGTGGTTGAAAGGAAATCGGCGGAGGGTAGGCTGGTCGCTGTGAAGATGACGGAGCGGGCGTTGTGCGAGAAGGACTCGAGGTCGCGTGTGAGTTTCGTGCGCGAAGTGGAGATTTTGCGTGTAAGTCCCGATGTTTCTCCTTCATCGTGATATCCCTGACGGCGCCGAACAGCACATCTCACATCCTTCAATTATCTCATACGTGCACTCCTTCAGCACTCCGTCGCATCATTGTCTTGTCCTGGAGTATGTCGGAGGAGGCGAGCTCTTCGACTTGATTAATAACAGCGAGAGTCACGCCCGCCTTGACGAGCCTCTTGTCCGTCGTATATGGGGCGAGCTCTGCAAGGCTGTTGGATGGATGCATGGTGTCGGACTTGTTCATCGCGATATCAAGTTGGAAAGTAAGTAGCTGCCATCGATTGTCTTTCAATGGAGCCTGCAACTCATGATTGATCATAGACATCCTTCTCACAACTTCTATCTTCTCTTCACCCCTCCCAACACCTCCATCTCCGCTGGTCAAGCTCTCCGATTTCGGTCTCTCGCGGTTCATTGACCCGGCCCAGCCGCTCCTCACGACCCTCTGCGGCTCTGAGTCCTACGCCGCACCCGAGCTTGTCACCGGGCGTCCGTACGACGGGCGCGAAACTGATGCATGGGCATGCGGTGTTGTGCTATATGCGCTCGCGACGCGCCGGCTGCCGTTCGACAAGCCCCGCGCCCGCGTCGCCTCGCGTGAGCGCGAGATGGGGTTCCCTCAGCGCGAGGCGAAGCGCAGGGATGCCATACGCATGGAGCGGCGGGCGCTCTTGATGCGCATCGCAAAGGCGGAGTATTCTTGGCCTGAGCAGGAGGAGGAAGGAGACGGCATTGCGGATGGTGGAGAGGAGCAGGATGGCCGCTTGACGGGGACGGCGCTCGTGCGGAGTCAAGGGCTGCGGAGGATGGTGGAGCGGCTGCTCGTGCGCGATCCAAAGAAGCGCTCGAAAATCATTGACCTGTGGGAGGACGAATGGATGCATGGCGAGGGCGCCCCGCTGGCGCCGTTGATGTCTGCCTCAGACATGGAGCCCTCGAACGCCGACACTTTCGCCGGCGTTGAGGCCGGCTCAGACGCGGTATTGCCTGAGCAAGTAGAAGCTGGATCGGAAGCTGATGCCGACCAGGACGCGGACGTAGATGCGGATGTGGATGCGGACGATGAAGGGCTCATCGTTGATGAGCATGATATCGGCCCGGGCAGTGTCGCTCATCAAGAGCATTGACGCGTTGACGAGTGACTTGCCTTTCTCTCTTCTTCCCTATGTTCCTGAACTTCCTCAAAATCACTCTAGCAAATTGTATATATCCCATGCAAATTTCCTCCGACCTTGCAAGCATCCCTAACATATTGACTATTTCACTGTTGTTGTCATAGTAGCGTCCGATTCGCGGTCTCCCATATCTCATTTCTCGTCTCTCACATCCTCTTTCCTCAATCACCAAATCACTCCATAAATATCAGGTGCCCGTGTGCCCTGCCCTCGCTCGTTAGTTTCTTGGTCATGTCCTCTGTAGATGCGGTATCATACGTATTTAGGCGTATTGCGATGCAATTCGTCTGCACTACTGGTCATACGCTTACAATTTTTCTCCCGAGACTGCGTGCTCTGTGTAGCTAGACTATTGTAGATTTCCGCAATTCTAAGTCTGCGCATTCATAAACTGTTTCCTCTACTTGAACTGGCGTTTCTGCCTTAATGTGTCCCAGCCGCTTCTGTATGGTACTCTTCCATCTACGATGATCACTTCGTTTCTCATGCTCTCTCGTTTACTTCGAGCTTGTCTTGAACGACTTCGAGGTGCTGCCCTGACTTGAGGAGCCTACTACGCCGAGAATGGCGTCAGCCTCTGGCGTGCCAGCCAGAGGCACGTCTTTCCTGAGCGACACTGCGACTGGCGAGACACCTTCGTTGTATGCCAAAGCGAACACAACGTCCATGTCTGATGGACGATAGTAGTCGTTCACTCATGGCTCTCACAGGTCTAGATGTGGAGACTCACCTTCCAATGACCGTCCTGCAGTCTCTGGGAAGAAAAAGTATATAACAGGAATGATGAAGGCATTCAGAACAGCGAAAACTTTGCGAGAGGTGAGCTCTCATAACGAAGAGATTGCATAAATGGTTTGTCGACACACCAAGGTATGTCCGCCAGCCGATATTGTTGAACGAAGGGCTTGCAATCATCACTACCACAAAGTTGAACGTCCAAACCGATGCAGTGCTAAAAGCGTTAGCAGGGGCTCGAATACGCAAGCTGACAACCTCGGCGCACTGCAAAACATTCTTCAGTGCTCATTGGTTCTCCTAACGAGTACTGACACATACATAGAGCCAACTTGTCCCCAGCAATCCGACGGCAAAGAAGGTGTTGAATACGAATAATAGGACTACGGATACGACGCGGCATCCTGGTGTGTTGATGGCGCCCATCACAGCTAGGAGCGTCATGGTGATCGTTTGGCCCACCTGACCAAACAGTATAAGTGGCCGCCGACCGAGGCGATCAACAAGCCCAATGCCAATAAAGCTTGCAAGGAAATATTCGGTGCCATTGGCGGCAGCGACTATACGAGAATTGACATCGCTGAGACCGAGACGCTGGAAAAGGATCGTCTGTAAGAGAGACGAGATTCAGTAACTTATCACTCGCAAGCACGATGTGCTCACAGCAAAGCTGCGTAAGGCCGTCAGAACCTGGGTGGTTCAAGTGCAAGTAGCTACGTCACTCACTATGTGATGAGATTGATTCCACTCATCTGCTGGAAGCACTGCATGACGACAGCCAAGGCCGTGCGACGGAGGTTCTGTGAGCGACCATTGGTGAAGACCTCTCGAAGAGGGGACATGCTCGATGGACCGGTCCGGGACTCGGCATCAATGACTTCGCGAATGCCATGATAAGTGAGCTGGACCGAATCACTGGCGTAGTCCTTATCCTCCAATGCAGAGATCACCGCTAATGCTTCCGCATCGTGACCATGCTTCGCAAGCCACCGAGGAGACTCAGGCATCTATACGCAAGAGATGCATGACGCTTTATCAGTCTCTCCTCAATTAATTTCTAGCAAATTTGTTTCTTACGGCCGTGATGCCCACAACCATGATAAGCGCGAGGATGATTTGAAGAGCGATGGGCACTCTCCATTGTGCCGATGATTGTCTTAGAAAATAGCTACGCAATCACATTAAGATCATCGAAACAGGACGGCGACGGAGGACTCACAAGGCTAAATCTATCCACTGTGACCGTGCGATACCGATCAAGATTACTTCTTGCATTCAACCGAGGACGTCACTCACATATCTGGGGAGAATGTTGATCTTTTGACACATTTCTCGAGACAACCAAGGACTTACGAGATTGTCACGCCAAAAGTGACCATAGTACCCTCTATCAGAATGAGACTGCCTCTTTTGTCAGGCGGAGAGCATTCAGCCTGGTAGGCAGGGACGGTTGACGTCTAGATGTGATATTTTCAGCTAACATCTGGTTTCAAGATTTTGGACCGACATTCAACCCCATAGCAAAGCCAGTAAATATGCGGGCTACGACCAGCTGTGCAAAGGTGAAAGACGTCGCTTGCAGTATCGCACCAATGATCATCATCGTTCCGGCAAGAAAGATGGTCCGCCGCCGTCCTAACTTGTCCCCCAGCCATAGGTTGGAGAATGCGCCGAGGAGGGCCCCAATCTCCTGCGAACGGTTGCAATTAGCAAGGTGAGGTTCTCCGCGACAACCGTGTGAATAGATGATGCAGAGATAGAACATCCAACGAGGACACTGAGTGGCCTGCTCATTAGGAAGGAGAAGCCACCCCTGAATCCGACGACACTTCTGTCCTATCAGCTGATGATAGGCTCTCCATTTCAACTCGTCATCTGATGCTGTATGTCCTGCGGCATGTTCCCACACGACGCAATGGCTGCTCATGGGGAACAATGCATAATCCCGCAAGGTCATCTGAGACACTTGGATGAGAGACTCACGTAAATCGCGACAACAAAGCTTTGCAGGGTCGCATGGTTCGGGTGATCGGCATTCACCACGACCTGAGGAAATACCTTCTCAAACTGAAGAGGCACATCAATGCTACTACAACGGGATACAAAACCGCAGAGTGACCTGATTTGCAGTCAGGAGAGCAGACATGACAGCTTGGTCATAGCTTTATCATGGCTCAGTTCATCGAGCACTGACAACAGGATAACTGACACGCACCCAAACAAGGTGAAGCTTGTACCGGCCACGCAGGCAATTGCAACTATCAGCCGCCTGCCACGCAGCACTGGCATAGCATTGCGAATTTCCTCGTCTGCGTCAGAGCCATAAGAGAAAAGGTACTCTCTACGGGCTTCAAGTTTCTCGGGGAAAGAGCCATCGGCACTCCGGTGCTCGGGTGAAGACATGGCAATGAGAGTCAAGTCGAGGGTCCACGACGCGTTGATTTTATAAGGTCTACTCGTCCTAAGGAGGCCCAATCAGCGCCTGAGAAGGGATAAAATAAGATTTGAGGGTAGCAGAGTTGAAGCAATAGAAGCGGGTAAGACGGTGAATGGCCATTGATGATAAACAGAGAAGCATACACACCACTGACAAGATTGTGGAGATATAGGGGAGAAGACTCACTGAGGTGTCCAAAGGAGCGGTAAGACTGCATCAGTAAAACGTTGTCATCTCGCAACTATAGAGATAAGACCGCTTCAGAATGATAGCAGAGTTAGTGACCTTGCATCTGACACCAAAGCCGTCTTCGAAGGCTGGCGAACTCCATGCCAGCCGACCATGAAGGATTGCATATTGCAAACGGCAGCATTTCAATTCCAGAGGTCCTGCTTCGATGAGTCCAGTCAGCTGTCAAGCCATGAGTCCATCAATGAGACACACGTGTTACGCAATTCGGAGAACGCTTGGTCATGTAGATAAGACAAGTCGTGCAAAACTATCCACACAACGCACTTCGTCCTACCAATCCATCCACATTTCATAAAGCATACAGGACGCGCGTGCGAATGCTCGTCGCATAAACGCCTACGTGCTTGTATGGTCATAACCAACGCACGCGACTTGTTGGATTCTCCGCACCTTGCAGCAGATCATCACTAATGGGGACGTTGAGCCACGGTCCCCACCTGTCTATTCTTTGAATGGGACATCCTCTACATTTTGAATGCGCTCCTCAGGACGGACGCCGAGAATTGCATCCGCCTCCGGGGTACCAGCCAGCGGCACGTCTTTCCTTAGCGAGACCGCCACTGGGGAGACTCCTTCAGTGTAAGCCAAGGCAAAAACGACATCCATGTCTGCGGTAGAATCAGCAACGAGCACAAGCTGTATCAAAGAAAAGGTGGAAGGTTCCTACCTTCCAAAGAGCGTCCAACCGTCTCAGGGAAGAAAACGTATATGACCGGGACGATGGCGGCGTTGAGAGATGCAAAGACTGGTGCAGTAAATGAATTATAAGCTCGGGCGATGATTTCATAACGTACCGATATAGGTTCGCCAGCCGATATTGTGGAAGGAAGGGCTCGTGATCATAACCACCACAAAGTTGAACGTCCAAACAGACGCCGTACTAAAGGCATTAGCAGGCGCTCGAATGCGCAAACCGACAATCTCAGCGCACTGCAAGCGGCTTGTCAGACGAGAAAGACAGCGATGACGGCGGATTGTACCTACATACAGCCAAGTCATGCCCAGCCAACCGATCGCGAAAAAGGTGTTGAACACGAACATCAACACTGCCGACGCGATTTGACATCGTGAAGTGTTGATGCTGCCGAGTACAGCGAGGACGACCATCGTGATAGATTGCCCGGTGGTCGCAAATAGCATGAGTGGCCGACGACCAACACGGTCTATGAGGCCGACGGCGATGAAGCTCGCTAAGAAAAACTCAGTGCCGTTGGCGGCGGCCATAATGCGCGATTTCACATCGTTAAATCCAAGGCGTTGGAAGACGATCGTCTTCGGTGAGAGAATTTGTCATCGAGATCATCAGCAGCTGACGTTCAACAAGGACTCACAGCAAAGCTACACAAATCGAAGTGAGCAATTGTCGCGACGTCAAGTGGAGACAGAAGCTCACTATGTTATCATGTTCTGCCCGGAGATCTGCTGGAAGCACTGGCAAAGCACAGCAATGGATGTTCGCCGGAAGTTTTGCGAAGGGCCGTTCGTGAAGACCTCTTGGAGGGGCGACTTGTTCGACGGCCCGACATGAGACTCGACAGCGATAGCCTCACGGATACCATGATAGGTGAGCTGGACAGGCTCGCTTGTGTAAACCTTGTCTTCCAAAGCAGAGATCACTGCTAGCGCATCCGCATCGCGACCATGCTTTGCAAGCCACCGCGGAGATTCGGGTAGCTGTGCATGCGTGCAATGTTCAGTTCCCTTACGCATGGAGTTGAGAGCTTCCTACGAATGCGATGCCGACAATCATCATTGATGCCAGGACATTTTGTAGCGCAATGGGCACTCGCCATTGGGCGGATGAACCGGTCAGCCAGTAGCTGGAAAGACGTGAGCAATCTAGTATGCTCAAAGACCATTGATGCCCTCACAAGCCGAAGTCTATCCACTTATTCGTACGAAGGTTGCTCATCAGCACGCTTCGTCATGTATAATAACGATTACCCACATTACTATGAGCCCATCAGCAATGCGCACGATCATGGGGTGAGGACGGTCACTTACGAGGTCATCAGGCCGAGCGTGGACACTCCGCATTGCATTACCATGTAAGTACCTCTGCTCGCGGCAGGCGAGCACTCGGCCTGATATGACGGAACAGTAGATGTCTGCACAACAATCATCATTGTTTGGTCGCTTGCACTGAAACTGACCACAACACGCTCACGTTCAATCCGATGCCTAGGCCCGACACGATACGGGCGACGACCATCTGCGTGAAAGTGAACGACGTAGCCTGCAGTATCGCACCAATTATCACGATCACGCTGCCGAGGTAGATCGTCTTCCTCCTGCCAAGCTTATCGCCTAGCCACAAGTTTGACAAGGCGCCGAATAGACAGCCGATTTCCTATCGAGAGAGACGATAAGCAGTGCGGTCGAGGCCTCAATGCGTGTGAAAGAGATAGTGTCAAAGGAGTAGTACATATATTGGTTGTGCCAATTGCATTGTTATTGACATGCAGGAGCGCCGCCATAACGCTTCCATGGTATCAGCTGATGCTGGACTCCATACAGGCTCATCACCTGACGGAGTACTGTTTGCAAAGGTTCAAGGCACCAATAGCGCACAAAGAGCAAGCGGAGCAGCCAACACTGTCAGCTGAGACGTGTTCGTGAGACACCCACGTAAACCGCCACAATGAAGCTCTGCAAAGTAGCATGGTTGGAAGGGCCATCGTCCACCACCTGAGGAAACACCTTCTCGAACTGAAGAACGTATCAACACTGTGAGGCTGGGATCCCAGAAAGCATGTAACGGTACCTGGTTTGCAGTGAGCAGGGCAGACATTACGCCTTGGTCATAACTACGAAGCTATCGGCCGCCATGCTGAGGTTGAAACTGAAATGCTACGCACCCAAACAGAATGAAGTTGGTGCCCGACACAAAGGTGAGAGCCATTATCAGTCGACGTCCACGCAGAGCGGGTACAGCAGCGCGAATGTCGTCTCCCGAGTCCGAGCCATGGGAGTCCGAGCCTGTTTCATGCGTCTTTTCGGAGACAGTATGGTGCACACTCTGGCGCGAGGTCGTGGCCATGGTGCAGTGCGCGGCGCACCAATTAGAATTTGAGTGAGAGGAAGCGAGGCGAGCCACATTGTTCTCATAAGCTCTTGAGAGCTTTTATACTCCAGTAGGCAGGCTAGACAACGTTTGACAGGGCCGAATGCCAGATGTTGTGACAGCACCGTATCACGAGCGGTTGCGTGCTCGGAATCAAAGGTGCGCGAGGCATTGAAGTTGATCGCAGATCGTCCAATAAGGAGTTGATAGAAGACCTTTCGGAACAAGTTAGCATACAGCACCCAGAGAGCACGCGCATGAAAAGTGTGCACCTCACGGATCAGATGACGGAACCATTAACGACGGTTCGTTCCGAGTCCAAGCCCGGACTGGAGAGACCGGGTTGATATCAATGCTCGTGTGGCATATGAATGTCGTATTACGCATTTGTTACGGCTGGCAATCGCTGATGGTTCGTAGAAGTGAATTTTGCTCCTAAAATAAGCCATAGATACTATTAGTTTAGAAGTGCGTGGGGAGGTGGATGTCCGAGGACACATTGGAAAAGTTCCGATGCGTTTCAGCTGGCACATTGGGCAACAAACAAGCAGTTCTGGTGTTTGCAGAACATCACAACGATTGTAATGACAATTGATGGGATAATAGAAGACCTAAGCGAAGCAGCCAATGGGTTTCGAGCCATTTGTTTTTGATCAAGCTGATGATGATTTCGATCAATTGATGCGTGCTTTATTGCGCATCTGCTCGGCACATTCACCGTGCAATCAATGTTCATAAGCTCTGATCCAGGCCGTATATCTCCACTCTACCGTACACATCTCCGTCTCCTGCGTTTCAATCTTCTTTTTGCTGGTGAAAGCACATGATGGCGGACGGGGAGAAGCCACAAGCAAGCAGAGCTGATGTCCCTGCAACCTCGCCTCCGGTGCCTAGCCGTAGCTGGAGGCGTAGCGTGCAACCTGTCCTGACCATCATCTCCCATGGTACCGCGCCATTTATCAGCACATTCCTTCTCATCCATCTCTCCGCACCGATCCTTGCCAACCTCGGTGGCGAAGCGATGGCGAGTCAAGTCATGGTACGCGTCGCAAATCCCGCGTAAACTCCTCTTCAGCTGTGTGCCGAACCTCACTTTGTTTGCAGATGATCGGCAGAGAGCTCTATCAGACACGGCACGCTGAACCCATTTTGTATGCCGCTCTCGTAATTCACCCGCTAGCGAGCACTCTCCGACGCGTCCTCGCCCCCACCACAGCTGGGCCCGTCTCCCCCAAATCGAAGGGCTACCTTGAGCGTATCAAATCCTACCCGCGCAACCTCATCTCTCCGCTCTCTCTTCCCGCCTACGCTCTCGTGCTCCCACTTACCATACACACCCTCACACACCGCATCTACCCCTCCCTTCCCATCGCACCCATCTTCTCCCTCTCGCCTTCTGAACTCGACTTTTCCTATGTCCAGTACGTCTTGGACGCATATCCCTGGCGTTCGTGGCTCGGCTACGGGATGCTCGTAGGCTGCGTGGTGTGGCATGGGACCGAGGGCGTGCGTCTGATCTACAATTCGTACGAATGGGTCAGAGGAGGCGCGCAGACGTGGAGGAGAGAGCTGAGGAAGATGATCATCGTTACTGGGGCGGTGATGATCCCAGTTCTGTCGGGTTTGTGGGTGATGTCAAAGGAGCCACTGTTGATGCTCGGCGGAACAGCAGAACGGTGCCACGCAGCGTTAATACAGTCATTTGCGTATCGCTACTAAGTTTCAATCCCATGTCCCATTAGAGTTGGAAAATTTTCAAGATGCGGCATAGCGATGGAATTAGCAACTGTCACTGCAGATACGGTGCAATTCGTCATGGTACAGTCAAGGAGAGCGAAAGTACAGGTGTAATGCATACATGTATAGTACTATCAAATGTGTACTACCTTGTCACAAGAGGCGCGAATGGGCTGATTTTTATACAAGGTCATAATGAACAGCATTTCGAATATATAAGTGCAAATTGATCGTCATCGCAACGATATCCGGGGCCAACGTCCGTCGATTCGCCAACACGTCACGTGAGCGCATCCCATCGCTCCCCCCTCGCTCCGCCAGTCGCGCGTCGAGCTCCAGCAGCCAGCAGCCCGTCGCCGGTTCTTCCAGGCGAGTCCGAGTGCGCGGTATCGACATCCGCTACAACAGCGCAGGTGTCCTGTCAGAACACTCCACCATCATCTCCCGCACACACACGCCGTCCCCAATGCCCTCCGAACACGGCGACGACCACCCCGCTCCCCCTCCCTACCGTCGGGCCTCGCAGGTCCCCGAAGGCCAGCAGCCCGCCCCCATCGACCTCCTCGCGGCGATCAACGCCCTCCAGGCGCAGGTGGCCGGGCTGGGCCAGGCCGGGGTTGACCGACAAGCCGGGCCCCCGAAGACCACGCAAGAGCTGTTGCGCGCCCTGGCGCGGCGGCTGGTGACCGTCATCGAGGACGGAGGAGACCCCGGGGAGGTTGCCGACGAGATGGGCAACATCGCCGACCACATGGACCTGGGGCTCACCCTGGGCTCCGCGTGGGAAGCGCGCGCCGCCGAACCAAGCGCCGAGCAGCGGCAGGGCGCACGACCAGGACGAGCGGATGCGGCGAGTCATCCGGGAGGAGTTAGGCCGGGGCCGGAGAGGTGGCGCCCGGGCAGGAGCCGCTGGCCGAAGTGGCGCGGCAGGACGGGGCCGAGGCCGGGGGCGTGGTCGGCGCGGTGGCGCCGCGGCGGCAGGGCAACCTGTCGACACGTGCGCACGCTGCGGCCGAGTAGGCCCGCGAGTGTATGAAGGCTCAGAGAGAAAAGGGGGAAGACAAGGCGGAGACCAAAGGCAGGCCACCTGCGCCACACGGGCGTAAAAAGTAAAAAACGCGCAGCCACAGGCGTGAGTAAATTATGTAACGGCAGGCTGTACGCCAAGTATTCGGAACTCGGCTAAGATCCAACGCGGCTAAGATCCAACGCGGCTAAGATCCGCAAGTGTGACTTAAGTTAGCGACTTTTAGCCGGGAGAATTAGCTAGTATTCCCACAATTAGCGCAATATGCGACCGCGATGCATTGGGCCATCTGTAGTATCGTTACGAAACCGTGAGGGAGCATGTGTGCTCGCAAAACTGGATGGTGCAATACCGGACTGGCTGACGGCTGTTTTCGCGTCATACAATTAGGCGAAGATTCGGATGACAAGACTTCGGAGGAAACGGATTAAGAGTGGAGCACTAACACTTTAATATTTCTGTAGATCTCTTGGTGCATGGTCGACTCACTCAAGTTTGGCAGAAAACTTTCAAACAATTCGTAATCGGGAGCAGGGTGTATATTTCAACTAAATTGTACAAAAGACACATACAGGAAGTCATGACACCGAGGTATGGGAATCTATTCCGTTGCTTGGTGCTTCGCCCACTCCACGAGCATCATGACTAGATCTTTCGGCACCTTTTGGCCATTAATCTCGACGAAGTTGGCCGAGGGAGTAATCGTGGAAGACGAGGAAGCAGTAGGAGGGGAGACTGCGGAGAACTGGGTTGGATATGGAGCCGGAGGGATGGAGACGAAAGGTATCGTACCGATGGCAGCAGGGAAGGACCGCTTAGAGGGTCCCGCGCGTGACGAAAATGGGCCTGCTTGAGGTTTGGAGACCCCCTTGTCCTTCTTGACAGTGACAGGGGCTGAAGACGGCGAAGCCTTGGAGGTGGTCCCGTGCAGAGCATGGCGAGAACGACGTGAAGATGGAGCCTCGTCCTCAGCATCCGTGGGATTTACGCGCTTCGTACCACGAGTATTGAACGGCGTTTTCACGACAGGGGCCTTGGGCTCTGGCGCGTTGAAGGAAACCTTGACAAGGGAGCCGGTCGCATTCACTTCAGATGAGGGACCTAGAAAGCTGGTTACCGCGCAAGTTCGAAATAAGACAAGGTGACTTACCAATGATGGGAGTAGTGCCTAGCAGCGGCACGGCACGACGGGGGACATGACGGCCGGAGCGAAGTTCCTTGTACTCTTCCATCGTCGCCTTCAAATTCACGCCAGATTTATTAAGGGCGCGAATTTGGTCATCATATTCCTTGAACGCTCTACGGCTGTGGCTCAGTTCATCAAGTGAGGGTTCATCGGGGATCCGCCAGCCTCGTCTCTCATACAGTTCCCGCAGCGGAATCCAGCCGGTGGTATCATCGGGATTCGGAATGCCCTTGCGGCTCCAAAAACGGCGTTTGGTTTTTGCACGAGCGCGATGGGCTCTAACTCGGACATGTAGCAGCTCTTCATGGCGGCCACACCGAAGCAGGCGAGGCACTACAAAGTTTGGTCAGTAGAGAAGAGAACCTGTGGATAGGGAAAACGCACCTGGCAGCATCCTTGAGGCCTATTCCATAATGGGACATAATCAGGAGAGAGCGAGCGGTCACGGTAGGAGGGCGGCTCTGCAATGTTTGGAAGCCAGCAAGGATCAGGCCGTTCTTGAAGATCAGGCCGTTGGGATCTACACACTCGATGACGACATTGCGTAGACGAGCGTCGGTAATCTTGTGCCATCGGACGGCTCATTTGCGGGCTCTTCGGCTAAGCCGGTCAGCAGAGGAGCCACGGAAGGCACCGCAGTATGTAGTAACGCGCCTAAAGAACAAATATGCTTACTGGTAACGGCCTCAGGCTCTGAAGCAGGCTCGATCTCTTTCTCGCCCTCCAGCTCATCCACCAGTTCGTCTTTCTCCTTAGTATCCGCATCGTTGGCAGGCCCAGAGTCGGGAAACGTATCAGGTTCATCGGCTGGCTCCTCGAATGCTATAGGGGAACGGCGAACCAACCTCCGGCCTCGACGCTGAGGTCCGAAAGGTAATTCTTCGGGCTCAGAATCAGTCTATTCGACAGCATGAGCAAAAACAAAACAAGGAAAGAAGCTGGCGGCATACCGCGGTCAGGGCCGTTAACAACGAGTCCCTACGACCCTCAAACAAGAGCTTCGCTCCCCAAGTGAGTCATTCCGGAGTAACGACGCGGTCGGTGAGCTTCTGAATAGGTTTGAGGAACATCTCTAGCTGCCGGATACCTTCGACGGTTTCCTGTAGAGAATGCTGCGGTGGCGGCATTAGCGAAGGGATCACCACAGCATAGTTGGGCTCATCATGATGCCGAGAAGCTTACGGCCCAGGGATTCGAGCTCCGTAGGACTTGCCGCGAGGCTACGCCGGAATTGCTGGACATACGCCATCAAGGTTGAAGAAAGGGCCTCGGGACTGCGGGCAGCCGAGGGAGGGACACCGTGTAAAGCAGTCCGAGCGGCCATCATAGAGGAGTCAGAAGAAGGGGTATCGTCTAGATGGAGTGAGCTGGCAGGAGCTGGGAAACCAGAGACCGAACCTTTAACCCTGCGGACTTCAGACTTTCTTCTCCGCATACACCACTTTACCTGTTTCCTCTTTGGTCATTCGACCGTTACCTTACCGTGCTCCACTTCGCAAGATCCTTGGTCCACATCGTCCTCCCTCGCTGATCCCTCAGAGATAGACCAATAACGCTCTGCATACCATGCGGCGGCCCGTCCAATCGGAGATAATGTACTTGAAGGACAGATCGTAAAACATCGGTACGTGGATTATGGTATAAGCAGACGTATTAACAGACGTATTATGTAGCATCTCGATGTATCATAACCAAGACGTATGGAGTCGGGTCAGTCTCTATAACGATAGCTCGAAGACAGCACGTCATCGCATCGCACGTGCTTTTCAGATGTTCGGGTGCGCAGGACGCTTCAGCGCCGGCCTGTTCTGGCGACAAAATAAGATGAGCCTCTGACACCTCTCCCCGCTCCATTATGCCCCGACTCACATTGCAGGAAAGGCGAAGTTGCAAGCGAAAAGCCGGCAGCGTGGGGTCGTTTAGTTGTACCACCACTCGCCGGTTAGCACGCCGACATTCAGGTTGGAGAAGTACTGGAAAAGGCTCTCGGAGAAGTCCAAGCCGCCCTCCGGGCGTCCAGGCCGCCACTGAGACGGATGTGATTGCAATCAGCTGAAATAAAACGAGTCAAAGAGTTGGGCGCGCACCTCATCCATGATCATGGCGGTGGCAGTCTTGCCATTGAACGATATCATGATGCTCTTGCCGTATTCGCTGCCGCCATTATAGAGCCGGGTTCATGAGGTTAGCGGGCGATCCGCCATGCCTATGCTGATCTCACGGCGGACTCCAACGCGACGATCTACAGACCACCCGTCAGAACATTTGACAAGCCAAGTCAAATACCGGAACCACGCACGAAAATCAGTAGCGATGTTGTTCTGCCCGCAAGAGCCGCTGCACATTACTACTTCATGTGCCACAGAGGGCTACGGTCGGGAGGTAGGTGATTGAAGCAGACTAGTTAGTACTGTGGTACTTTAGATATTGAATAGTTGCTCATCATTGCCAGGTGAAACTCGTACATACAATATTTGGTGACATTACAGAGCAAGGAAGGCAGGTAAGCAGCCTGAAGCCTACACTGTGCATTATGGAGTCTAGCACCGTAGGTCCGATTACTTACGCAAAGCGAGGTCACTACGCCAACTTACACACCTTAAAACTCTGGGACCTCCTCTGTGACTTTCCACTCGAGTTGCCTGTCGTGGATACACAGGCCAGGGTAACTTTTGCGTCGCGTGAGCCATCCAGAGGACTCGGACTGGAGTTTCTTGCTGCTAAATTGTAAGAATCGCGCTATACTTGTCTGACACGCGTGTTAAGTGGCAATCAGCTTACTTTTCTTTAAATCCATTATTCTGGCATTTAAATGCGCACAAGGCATGCTGTGGGCGGGTGAAGGCAGGATGGCATAAGTAGGCTTGCCGTAGTGGAGGGGAGGGGAAGGTAGGCATCTCAGTAGATAAATTCAGTTTCTAAAGAAAGGACCAAATTGAATTTGTCATGCATATTTCATTGCCATAAATGGCATCATGTCTGAAGTCAGTGGTGTGACCACTGACCATCAGCTCGTCCCACTCACATCTATCAGCTAACGCCGCGATGTCCAAAGAAGATCAAGATACTAAGCAGACAAAGTCCTCATCGAGACCCGGCAAACATCCAGACGCGGAGACACCCATCAAGCGAGACGAGGAGTATTGGTACCTAGACGGTTCTATCGTTCTCGTTGCGGAGAATCACGCTTTCCGCGTATACCACGGATGGCCCGCGCAACATTCAGAGGTGTTTCTTGAGATCCTTCACCTGCCACAACCCGCCGTGGCGGAGAGCATCGACGGCTGTCCTGTCGTCCATCTCCCCGATCGGAGAAATGATATCCGTCATCTGTTGTGATTCCTATTCGATTATAATCAGTGAGTTGCACAATTCAGCACATTGACACCATCAATTTGAACGATGCCGTCAAAGGTATTACAAAATGGAAAAGCCGTTGGACTTCCGGGTCGTTTCATCCCTCATACGCACGGGGCACAAGTATCAATTCGATCACGTTGTCGCGGAGGGAGTCAGGCGTCTTAAGAGTGCCTATCCAGACAGCCATTCTGTGTGGCAAAGTTGGCACGATCGGACGGCTGCAGGTAACCGAAACATTGGGCGTACTCCAAAGCTGATGCTACACTCGAGAGAGGATTCTATCGGGGTTATAAATCTCGCCCATCTGGTTGGCGCTGAGTCAGTTCTTCCGGTGGCATTCTACGATTGCTGTACTTTGCTTGACAGTCGCATGCTTGTCGATGGAGTGGCCAACTCTGATGGCACAGTCGAGCGTCTCACCGCTGAAGATCTGGACAGATATCTCGAGGGAAGGGTGATTCTTACCGCTCGTGGTGGGGCCGCCATACATAGAATCTTCGACGCAGACGTTCTGTGTTGTAGCAGCAAAATCTGCAAAACCACCCTAGTTTCAATGATGGATAACCATTTCCGTCTTGATTCGGATCGGACAACAAAGTCTTCAAGAGCTTTGGAAAGCGCCTTCGCTGATACGTTGGAGATGGGCACGAACGATGGCTTCCTGGCCCTCAGTCGTACCGTAAATCATTTTGTCCCTTCTGCAGAGATGCTCTGTTGGGCAAAGAGATGCGGGAACGAAACGAAATATGGGTTAGCCTCAGTTCGATACTTCGCTTAGAGATAAAGAAATCTGAGGGGCTTCCGAGGACGATTAGTGATAGGATTATGCTGCTCTGTGAATGCTGTCACTCCAAGGTGAGCCCTATTTATGATATGTGAGGCATATGATGGTGAAGATCTCGACCGGGATTGTTTTCAGAGCATCTGAACTGAGAATTCTGGCGGCGATTCTACTGCATGCAGCATCTCTTCTGCATCTGCCCCCCTTGACTATCTCACCACGATCCACGTATAGCAATCAGGCGGATCCCGGCCTATCATATCATCACATATTTTGTTCCAGTCGCCACAGCTCACAGTTGAACGATGATTGAGCCTGCCATCATGCTCTTCCTCCGACTCATATCTCCCTTTTTGGGAGCTCTTCCGTTGCCGGTGTTAGCGAAGCATTCTATGTGCCGCCCTCCTCTATATTCTATCTTCCTCGTATTGTGCAACGTCGGTCATGACATGCACGTTCGGTACTCATATCGACGTCCGGTGAGAGTAGAAGAGATCTCCCCACGCCGCTAGTTTACTTCTCCGCATACGCCATTTTACCTTTACCTTTTTGTTCATCCGTTCGTTACTGCGCTCAAGTTCACAAGACCCCTTTTCACATCGTCCTCCCTTGCTTATCCCTCAGGTATGGACCGACACCGCTCTGCATACCGTGCGGCGGCCCGTTCAATCGGAGATAAGCAACTTAAAGAATAGATCGTTGGTATAAGCAGACGTATTATGTAACATCTCGATGTATCATAACTCGTATGGAGTCGGGTCAGTCTCTGTAACGATAGCTCGAAAACAGCACGTCATCGCATCACAGGTGCATTTCAAATGTTCGGGTGCGCAGGACGCTTCAGCGCCGGCCTGTACTGACGACCAAGTAAGATTAGCCTCCCGCATTTCCGTCACTCCTTTACGCACAGACTCACATTGCAGGAAAGGTGAAGTTGTACGCGGAAGGCCGGCAGCGTGGGGTCGTTTAGTTGTACCACCACTCGCCGGTTAGCACGCCGACGCCCAGGTCGGAGAAGTACTCGAAGAGGCCCTCGGAGAAGTCCAAGCCGCCCTCCGGGCATCCAGGGCACTGAGACCGACGTAATTGCAGTTAGCTGAGGTGAAGCGAGTCTCAGAGAGTTGGGTGCGCACCTCGTCCATGATCGTGGCAGTGGTAGTCTTGCCATTAAGGGAGATCGTGATGCTCTTGCCGCATTCGCTGCCGCCATTGTAGAGCTAGGTTCGTGGGGTCAGGCGACCATCCATGCCAATATTGAATGCACTCACAGCAGAATCCAATGCGACGATCTACAGAGAACCCGTCAGAACATTTGGCAAGCCGAGTCAGATACCGGGAGCACTCACAGAATCAGTAGGGACGTTGGTCTGCCCGCAAGAGCCGCTGCACATCCTGCATTACTACTTCATGCGACACGGAGGATCATCCAGCGCGACTCACAGTCCGACCTCGTAGTAGGTGAAACGCGCATCCGAATAGCTGCGCTTCTCAGGGCGCTGCACGGTGCGATTCATGTGCTTGCGGCTCCTGAGGTGTGCGTGCTGCTCATTGTGCTCAGAGGCGGCCGTAGCGAACGGCAGGACGAGCGAGGCGAGGGCGAATCCGAGGAGCGTAGAGGAGCGCATCGTGAGCAATTTGTACTGTTACGTCGGGCAAATATAACAGAGGACTGGTCAGACAACACAGAAACAGACACGTCCAGAGACCTGTGGTTGAAGGAACGTGGTAAAACAGAGCGAGCGTACGAGTCCTGTGGACGTGAAGGTAGGAGAGAACGAGCAGCTGGGCTGCAGCCGGCTCTGTACCCTCACCCTGGCGACGAGAAGCTTGGATGAGCTGGCAAGACATCATCGCCGCAGCGAGCTCGTCGCCGCCGCAGAAGGCTCATGTTTCAGCCCCTCGGATATGCGACCGAAGTCTTCGTTGATGATCGTGCGCGGCTGTATGCTTGCCGATCACGGCGCGCACTTCCTATTTAGGAAGGTCTTTAAGTTCGAATGTCGGGCTTCATTATAGGGTGGGTCGCATATCACAGTTCTGTTTCTTCACTCACTTTCTCCCGAGATAAATGAACAGATTGTCGTGCGGAGACTTGTCGTTGATCCCCGTAATGAAGACGGCGGTTTCAAGTCTCCGGTTGCCGAAATGCATGCCGCTCTCCTAGCCGAGGTTGTTACTTTCCATTTATACTAAAGTCCTTCTTTGCCCTTCTGTTTCACATCAACGGCCTCTTCTCGCCATATGTCAGAGATGAACGCTGTATCACCACGGTGTTGAGTCTGTTTGAACGAGCCATGCGATTGTCGTGACGTATACATTCCTACAACCTTGAGCCGTAAAAAGAACTAGTATGCCCCAGGAACCCCAGAAATACAAGACCAAGGTAAGCGTCGTCTTCCATAGTTGTCGTTGCCACAAAGCCAGGTCGAAATAGTGACAGCACCATGATACGACCAGCCTAGGTCCAGTTAGCCGCCTCGACGAGGCCGCTCAGCCCAACAATAGCGAGATTAAACTGGTTCAGGCTTCCTTGATCAAAGGATATGGTGTTGACTGGTGTCGCCGAGGGAGTCGGTCCAGCAGTGGTGCTGGATGGCGTAGATGTGCTGGAGAACGACGAGAACGTGGAATTTGGCGTGAAGGAGCTAAACGTCGAATTTGGCCAGAAGCTTGAGAAGGCGAGGTACGTCGAGTAGCTGGCGCTTGCGGTGTACGACGGTAGCGGAGGGCTATAAGTTGGGGTAGGTGGTGGTGGTGGTGTATATGTGGACGTGGGCTTGTAGACATAAGCCGATGAAGACCGCGACGATGATGTTGGCATGGGTGTAGGCGAAGGACTCCGGGAGTTGGAAGGTGAGGGTGCGCCGTTGCCAAAGTTCCAAGTACCATACAGAATGCCCTCAGCCTCATCCGCAAAGAAGTCGAAGAGCCCTCTAGACAGATCGAGGCCACCGTAGGGACAACCAGGGCACTAAAGCAGTGGGTATATGCGGTCAATTGGTCACGAATGTTCGTCGTCGCACGATGGTTCATCCACATACCTCATCCGTAATGGTGGCTTGTGTGCTTTTGTCGTTGTAATTGATAGTTATCGTTTGGTAGCAATGCGCACCACCATCCCATTGCTACAAATACCGTGAGTAGTTGCGAAAGGGACTTATCTGAACCATGTCTTACTTCAATGTTCAGTGCAACAATCTTTGATGCATCAGCAGGGCTCAGTATTTACGTTCAGGAGCACCCACGAAGTCACTATCGGTGTCCACCGATCCACATGCGTTCTGACCCGCATCGAAGAAGCTAAGCCTGGCATTGTCAAAGTCTAGGGAAGGATTGAGTCCACGCGCTTGTTCATAACTCATCGAGCGCCGTCGCCAAGCAGACATATGTTCCCTTTTCCTCATGTGGCCAGAATGCGGGTCGGCGAGAACAAGTTCAAAGAGAGACAGAGCAAGGACAGTCGGGATAAACGAGAGGACGCGCATCTTTGCGCGGCAGGGCATCGACAGAAGATACAGGAAGGTCTGGTAGCGTAGACCTCGAGACCGCGTTGAAGCAACTTGAAGCTTGAACAAGTCTCCAGCTGGGCGCAACGCACGGTGTCTTGAACGTTGGACTCGACTTCAACGTTTCCGGTCAAACTAGCGCGTCGCGATTGGCGCCCTCTGCGAGCCGCAGGATTACGTCAGCAAGTCCGCACCCGAAGTAGGCGCGCTGAACCTGAACCTGGCAGCTCGGGCACCTCAACAGAAATCCACACCATCAAACCCGTGTTGGATTTTGAAGTTCGACCACGATGTCGGGCCCATCATTTCCTTGGTTCAAGATGATTCTGGTCGTCAGTGGATGTACGCTCAGTTTGTAAATCACACGGACGGCTCACATTCACCTGAACATGCGCTCTCCTGTCTAGTCACGTCTCTGGGCTATCTAACCATGAAAGGTCCGTGCACTCGCAAGGAATCGACTTGTATCCATCGTATGCTCATCTCTGGTGTGAATGGATACAGCTACCACACCGACGCCGGAACAGCTCTATAACGTGAGTGGCGCCTTAGCGATCAGTATTGACTCCCTAACTAATTCTTCTTTGTCTCCGTAGGAAATGTCCCCTGACCTCAGAAAGAAAGTAGATATCATTCGTGAGGCACGGCTGGCCGCAGAAGCTGCTTCACGACAACAAGCGAAGGCACAGGTTGTTCCTTCCATCTCCTTCCCGATCATGCGAGAGAAGCTGAACCGCATTCCGTAGTTGAACGACCCGGATGCACAGAAACCTATATGGGCAGACCGACCGTCGTAGCAGCACGGCTTGGCCGACTCTTTCTGTCAATTCTTTCGCTGCATCTTTGCTCAGTGTACATCAGCCAATCGTAATACACGGATCGAAGTTCTCTGTTCGCGCATGGCAGTCAACCTTCCTCACTACACTGTTTTCACGTTTCGATGCAAACACAAAGCTCTTCAACGATGAGTCAAATCAGTTTTCGTTGCGATAATCTTGCGATCACCCTCAGAGGTATCATAAGATAGATAGAATAGTATGTCACAGAAAACACAACACTATGTAGGAGGACACGGGATGATCGATGATCTAATAAGCTAGACTACACACAAGTTCCATCTTTGTCGCAAGACGCTTGCACAGCAGCAATACATTACCACTCCTAATCGGACCTTTCCTCTCCTTACCACCGAAGTGCACACACGGCACACCTCCGAGAGCTTTCATTCATTGAGCAGATGCACTGGAGTCCGCGACGAGCGGCGGGCTCGCCGGGCGCGAGCGAAGCAGCGGCTTGTGCGAAATCGCCGACTCGGGCGAGGACGAGAGCATGTCGTAATTCGACGGCTCTGCGGACGCCGCGAGCGAGGACGCGAACGACTCAGTGCGGTTCATCGATACCGGTCGCACATCACCGTCGTGCCCGGAAGACGAGGTGGGCGTGGCTGGCTGGTCACCGTCTCCAACGGTGGTGTCACTCGAGGATGACGGGCTACTCAAGACCGTTTCGTTCGCTCTGGCTGTAATAGGGCTAGTCATTGTTGATTGGTCGAGGGAAGCATGTTCGGGAACTGGCGTGACTGGCGTGCTCGCATTCCGTTCGCCTGCTGCTGGTGCACTGGTGACAGAAGTTGCGTCAGCAGTAACAGCCCCTGTAAGGGTAGAGCCTGAAGACGACGCGGCGTCGGCAGGTGGTGATGGCGTAGGCTCAGGTGTCGCAGCAGCAGCCGAGGATGAGCCAGCGCCCTCACTTCCGTTCGCTTGTCCGCCCTCGGCAGCCTGTTCCCGCTTCTTCTTTTCCTCTGCTTCTCGCTCGCGCCGCTGTTGTTCCTCGTGTTCAATGAGCGACAGCCGCATTGCTTCCATCACCATGAGCTGTATCGCACCGGATCAGCCCTGATGAAGCGAGGCATGAAAGCAAAGCATACCTCTTCCAAATCCTGTCCGCCGAGTCCCATCGTTCCCAATAGTTGATTGATATCCTGATTCTGTTGCCTTCTTCTCGAGCGCCGCGTTCCTCGCTCCGCAGAACCTTCCCCACCTTCCGCCTGTCCGTCTTCTGGCGCGAGTGGGTGCACCCTTCCACTGCTAATGCCCACAGGGATAAGTCTGTCACCAACTTGGCGCATGATGATTCGTCTGTTGGCACGCCGGGCGACTGCTGCGCGAACAGCCGCCAGTTTTGCTTCCCAATCAGGACGTATCTGATCTGCTGGGCGGAATAAGAAGCAGAATGCAAGCTCGAGGGCGTTGTGAGCTGACCAATAGATACCACCTCTGGACTGTCAGGGCCGAAGCTCTTGCGAGAGCGTTTCACGGCTGAAGCCGGAAGAGTGGGTGTATCTGGCCATGACGGAGGAGTCTGCAGATTGTAATTAGACTAGGATACAGATAACTATTGATTGACACTCACAGCCCCTTCACTGTTCAACCCTGTCCTCCATGGTGGCGGTGTATAAACGACACCAAAGTTCTCCCGAACACAATATGGACAAGCAGCAGGTTCCGAAATCAGGTGCGTAGGGTTGGGTTCGGCCCGCTTGATTTGCACGAAACACTCGGTGCAGATCGTTTGGTCACAGCAACGCGAGTGGTTGATGTTGGGCGGGTAATACTGTGTCGCACTACTAAGGCGACTGAGGGCAGATGAACCGAGTCAAAGGGGGCGCACCAAGAAACAGATAGGACATTCCACGGCGCCTCTGTATATCGCCGCCTCAGGATGTCGTATGACCTCCTTGGAGTTGCTGCTCGCATGCCCGCGCTTGTGCGCGCGAGATGAGCTGGTGTCCGTTCGTGAGATCCCGCCAGACGACTCTGCCTGCCCTTCGGCATCTGGCGGCGGCTCCTTGCGATGGGAAAGGATCTGTTCGTCGTCCCAGGATTCGTCATAGTCTTCTAATGGGCGATAGAATGGGGCCAGCTTCCGCTCGCATATGAGTTGCGTTACTATGGCCTGGTTCCAGTCACGGGCCCCGCTGTAGACACCCTGCGGACAGAGGTAGCCAAAGTCGACGGTGTCTTCGTGGTGCCCGCGGCCAGAGGAGGTACTGTTGCCCATGGCGAGTAGGGAGCAAATGCAGCAGGCTCTGGAGAAGGGCAGATGGCTGTCGTCACGCCAAAACAAGTGTCACCCGCCAGCCAATGCAGGAAGGCGCCGACAGCCACACAATCTCAGCCACCGCACGCTAAAGTCGCGCTCGTTGTTGTCAGACACAGCGTTGTGCTCGCAGAATCAGTGGACGACTCTGTCGGGGAACGGGTTATGCTCAGAAGTGGCGGTGCGCTGACTCAAATAGTCACGCCTGCTTTTCAATCATCACGTCCCGAAACGACCTCGGAAATCCAACGGCTTTGTCAGCTCTGCGTTGTACAAAAATTTTACTATAAAATACAAGTCGTATCTGAAACTTGGAGGACGATTGTTGGTGTTTGAGCGACGCAGGACATATATGCTCAGGCTGACAGCTGGAGTCGGGGGTCGAGGCTCGTTTGGTAGAATGTGTCTCTAGAGAGAGCTTACCTTTCGGAAGAGCATACACTATTCGCCTACGTCATGTCATAGATGATGAGATATCTACAGATACGTAGAACCGATGGTGGGAGGATAGAATCATTTCCAATGGAACGCGAAAGACTTGATCTCATTGTGACCGTCTTAGGTGAGGCACGCCCGCAAACTCAGTTACGAACACAATTTGAAATGTCCGGACGTTTTGAGCATAAGATCATGCAAGCGTGAAAGGACAGTAATGCCCTCCTGGTGCATGCGCAGCACGATGAGCAGCACCATCGCGACGTCCAGATTTCAGAACTTCGGTCGAGAGCGAAGGGAGGATGCATTCGTCCACGGTGCGGATTTTGGCTGTTCGACTATCTTCGTGGATTTTATTAACAGTGCAGAAAGAGGACGGGGGAGAAAGCAGATTGAGGAAAAATTGTCAATTCAGCATTGCGACTACCATGCGAAGTGCGAGCTATGCATGTACTTGCACTCCAGAAGCCCTGTACCGACGGTCAAGAGCGACATGCAGCGAAGGCATTAACCGAGTTATTGTAATGCCTGTATGAGACTGGAGCATGCAAATCAAGTTAGCATCGGACCTTGTGAGTGCGAGAGAATTACAATTGCTGGCATCACATACCGCTTCCTGTCGCGCTATGGTTCATGTTCTGGTATTTTTTAATTTGGCGGCGGACTATTCCAAGGCTTTCTTTTTCATCCTGGCATTTCTGGGTCAAGAATTCGGGCCTCAAGGTATTATGAACCCTGTAGCAGTGGCTGCTGTTGGCTTTTTCGCCGATGTTCCTGACTTTCGCTTCCACAGGGCGCGGGTAGAATACGTCCCACCTTCTATCCGAGCGCATATCGACCGATACAGTCTCCAAAGCTCCTCTTGGCGCCACCAGGTACCAACAAATCTCTCTGTCGTATCACTGGATGGAAGATCGTCGGTGAAGATTTTGCACATATCCACCTATCGAGTTTGCCCTTTTGTTTCAAATATTTCACCAGCACATCAGGACGAAGATATTCTTGCCACTCTGCACTGTCGATCATGATGAGCTTGACCATCAGGTTACGGTTGTCATTGTTGATGCACGTAGAATGATATGCGAGCGTCAGCGCCAGTCAGATGAGCTGGGTTGAGGGCCGTTATACTGCATGCGTGTTCGAAGAGCATACATGGTTTGGAAATTGGATCCCGGTTGTATCCTTCCTTCCACTGATCAAGAGTGTCCGGATATCGGGAGTTGGGATTGTCAATCCATCTTTGAGCGCAAATCGTACTTGTGGACCATTCATATGAGTGCTTCGATGAAAGGAAAATCAGGGTCATCGATATGGAGGTGAGAACCACATACTGACCACTGGCGTGCCATCAGTTCAGACCAATACTAAGAGATGACGTTCTACGTACTCTTCAAGTTCGTACCCGAACAGATAGCGCAATGATAGTTGCCGGACGTCTTCGGAGAGACAAACGACCGGATGATCGTCGAACCTTTTGACCGGAGTGGGTTGAGTGAGACTGTCATGTTTTAGTAGACTTCTGAGCACTTCGTCAACCATTTGTTATAGACCGGGAATTGCGGCACCTCTTTTGCGACGAGGATAACAATCCGGTCAGAGAACCAAACTCCTCGTCTTGCTCGTGCGATCGCTCTCACAAATGAACATGTTAGTCTTTCTTTCTCTCACCCATCAGATCGTTGGAACCTGCTCAGATGGGTCAGCACTCTGGCAGGTAGACGAACAACGTGCCACAAGCTTTTCGATCGGTGTTGAGCGTTTAGCACGTGACTCTTCGAGCTTCATTGCTAGAGCAAATCAGTCGTCAAAGTCTTGGATCTGGGCGCTGAGACTCTGGTCTGCTAAAGCCTTGCTTAACAGGTATAGTCACAGATGATATGATATTGGGATGCAGCCACAAACCTGAAGACCTTCCAAATATGTACATTTGGGCGTCTGAATCGGGCTGCTCGGATCTACTCGCTGTGGCGGCTCAACTTGAGCGTCGTTAAGGAAAGCGTAACGGACTGACCAAGTCTGCACGTCCACAGGCGCATTCTCGCACCCTGCCTTCGCGTCCTCTGGACTCGTCCACTCGCTCTCCCACACGCTCTTTCTGTGACCTGCAGTCTCTGGACGCGCTCGTCTTCGCACTACCTCCACCCCGACTTTTTCTCATCTACCACGTATCGGGATTCGGCTTTATACAAGCACTGGAGACGATGCGCAGCTCTACCTTGCTTGGATACATCTTAGCCTCGCTCGTCGTGCCTCTTGTGGCTGCGGGCCATCTGAACCGTTTCAACCTCCATCGCCGACACGATGCACTTGCGCGCAACGCGACCTCGGGCCTCACGAATTTGGCAAAGCGGCAGAGCTTTAGCGATGCCCGGTTCACTTATTATGCCGTCGGTTTGTGAGTCAATTAAGCTTTTGGTGATTAGATAGGGAAGTGATGTTAGATGTGAAGAGGTGCATGTGGTCAGACTAACGTTCCTAGTGACTTTGTGAGTGTTATGCCGTACTCCGCGCTGTTCTGGCGTATTTACTGTATTTTCCAAATAGATCGTTGCCCTAGACTCCATTGTGAGTGTTTTGGTCTCCTCTCGCTCGAGTCCAGTGTGGAGAGTGTCATGCTCGAGATGCTTCATGCTCTCTCGTCTTGTCATACTGTTGGATCAACGTGCTATTCGCGTTCTCAGTTGCTTTAACGACGATGCACACTTGTGTCACACGCTGCCTGCACGAAGTCACCGTATGGATAGCGCGCATTGCATCCTGAACGTGCAAAGTAGCATTGAGGACACTTTCAATGACCCGTCGCTCATCACAACCTCGCAAATTGAGCGATCGACAAACTGACCAGTACCTTCATAGTTGTACGATGCATCCGATGAGTGTTTCAAGTCCATCACCATCTCGTACGGTGGCAAGTCCACCACGGCTACGATCATGGACAGGGTGAGCATCTCTTCTCGCCAAGACATACCTTCTGCTGAACTTCCTGTCAGTGCCCGGGCTGCCCAGAAGGCGGCTTGGACCTCTCCGAGGGCCTGTTTGAATACTTCGCCGACACAGGCGAAGGTGTCATCTACGGCGAGTGGTCGTACGCAGGGTCGAGCCCAGCGACGACCTCCTCAGACACACCCACCCCCACCTCCACATACGTCGCGCCGACCACGTCCAGCACGTATGTTCCACCGCCGACCACCTCCAGTACATCGGCGTACACTCCGCCCACGACGTCGTCAACGTACACACCGCCGCCGACGAGCAGCAGCTCGACGCACGTCGACACGCCATCGACGACTAGCTCCTCAAGTAGTAGCAGCAGCGTCGCAGAGGCCACCTCGAAGGCGGGCTCCTCGGCAGCGAGCAGCAGCGTGGCTGCGTCTAGCTCTGCGTCGTCCAGCGGCGCCTTGATATCTTTGGCGATCAGTGCAAGCGCCACTCTTTCAGCTGAGTTGTCCCTCCCAAGCAGCACCGGCAACAGCACCAGCGGGGATATGCTCGAGCAGCTGAATTTGGCGCTCATTGGCATGGCCGGGCTCATCGCTGTGGGTGCGGAGGTGTCGGCGTGAGCGAGCGACGAGGGACGGCTCGGCGGCAGCGCCGTCGTAGCTGTTGATGAAGTGCATGAAAGCCGGCAACGGACAGACGGTGCCATGGACACTAACAGGTATACCACAATTGCAACGCTACTATTCTTCTAGTTTTCCCCCTTCTTCCTCATGCAATTGCTGTCTTCTCCTAATGTTCCTCGCGCTCTGCAATTAGTTATTGTCTTAGCAGTTTCCGATTGCGCGCTACTATCTTTTGTTGTAATAGTTGGTTCAGGTTTGTCGGGTGATACAGGGTTGTACGCATTTCGTACGTGCTCGGTGCAACGCATTCACATTCACTTCCCTCATGTGGCTGTATGACTCTCCTCAAGTTCTGTCGGGGTCATTATATGGAATTTGCCTGCACGGAGTTCCGTAGCCTACTGGATGAACGCTACAATGCTTCAGGGGTTAAACGTTGACCAGTCATGACAAATGATTGGTGGCGAAGCCAAACACTTCGGAGAGCTGGTACATGTTTTGTATCCTGTGAGATGAGCGCAACGGATTTGCCTGTTGTCGCAGTGGACACGATGCTCTTGCTGAGCCTGTAGCGAGAAAGGCAACGGACACGGCCTCGTGCTCCAGGCGCACCTTCCCCTCTTACTGCCATCCGCACACCTTCCCGGGTCGTCTTCCCCGGGAACTGCATAGCTAATTGGTGAGTATAGCATCTGCATCGTACGTACGAACGTCTGAACCGCTGTCATTAATGTTACAGGGAATCAGACTCTTGCGCCGCAGCGCCCCGACGTCCCCGGCTCTCTTCTCGCTCGGATCCGACTCTCCTTCCAACATTTATCACGATCGCTCAACTTGAATTTTCATTTTCACTTTCAAAGTTCCTCTCCAACCACCATGTCTTCTGCTGTCTCCGCGGAATCCACCGTCCCCAGCTCGGACGTGCACTCCCCGTTATCGACCTCGTCCTACGAGGCCCTGTCCGCGTCCGGATTCACCTCCTGGGCGGACTCGGTCGACGCAGCCAGCTCCTCTGACGACGAGATCGTCTTCTCCATCTCGTCTCTTTCCTCGAGCGGTGTCCTTTCACAGCGACGCGCGCGCCGCTCGCCGTCCCTATCTTCCGAGGATGACCTCGTGGCAGTCCCACGTTCCCAAGCTACCTCGGATTCTACCTCTGTCTCCTCTACGGATGTTCGTCGCACACTCGACGAGCTCAGCACGGCAGTGTCTTCTCTCACATTGCGATCTGCCCCTGCCCTGGCGACCCCGACCGCTACTCGCTTTAACATCCTTCATGCCGTCAGCGCCGCGTCTCAGGAGTCTCAGCCAGCTCGCCCCAAGGGAAAGAAGGTCAGGAAGACAAAGAAGGCTGCTGCAGCGCAGTCCAGCCCTCCGAACACCGCCCAACCTGCCGATGCCAGTGCTACACCGAACCAGAGTGCGCAGAAGAAAAAGGTGAAGGCGCGGCGGGAGCGCAGGAAGGCCGAGAAGAAGGCGCAGAGAAAGGCTGCTCGGGCTGCATCTGCCACCCCGGAGCACGGCCTGGGCGAGCGCCCGATCGTGGACGACTTGTCCGAGGCGGGCGATCATCCCGGCAGCGCTGCCTTCGCTGCGGCATACCAGGACGCAGTCAACTTCATCACCTCGTGCGTGATTCCCCAGAACACATTCCTTTCCTGGTCGCGTTGACTTCTTCCTTCACTTGCCTCGTTTCTAGCTTCCTCTCCAACCCATCCGCCAAGTCCGGTGCGGGGCACCTACAACTCCTTCAGGCGCTCATCGTCGAGCTCGGGCTTTGCCCTGCGGCGCTGCAGCCCTCCGCCGGCGCACTGTCGTTCCCCTCTCTCCCTGCCCTCCCGCACTCGCTCCGCGCGGCCAAGGCATTGCTCAAGAGCCAAGCGTTCCTCAACGTGCGCGACTACCTCGCGGTGCGCGGACAAGGCCTGGACGCGTTAAGGCGCGTGATGCACCCGAGTCGCAGCTCGCTCATGCGCGAGGTGCGCAGCGGGAAGCGCATGCCTAGGGAGGCCGTGAAGGAGAAGGGTCTCGGTGTGCTTCTGGTGACGTGCTTTTAGAGGAAGGGTCCCCACGAGCTGGGGTGGGTGCGTGGCCTTCGTAACGCGTCTTCTCGCGAGCCTGCAGCGCTTGTATGAGCCCGCTTCGGCATGGGTGGCCTGATCTTGCTGAATTTATCTTATAATGTTTCGCTTCGCCTATCAGCTGTACTATAGTGTTGCTTCCTGTGTCATCGTATCTTGCTTCCACCCCTGCTCTCCCTCTATGCCCGTTTTTCCGGTGCAGTAATATTTCTCGCGTGGTGTCTTCGTTTAGACCGATAGTCCTTGAACTCTCGTTCCCTCGATATCGTAGCTCGCCAGCCAGCCCACATTGGTGATGTTGAGGTATATACGCCGAAGAAGTGTACATTTAGCAATTCTGTGGTTCTGTGCAGATGAATATTATCATGTCGCCTTGCTCAGCGAGTGCAGACACCGGAGACCTCCCGCACCCTACGAATTCAAGTGTGAGTGATATCCTTCATTCTCTGGACCACGGCAATGCAATGTGCATCGCATCAAACGCGATCACGTGCACCGTAATTGCCGCCTGCTGGCAGTTGATGGCAGTGCGACGCGTCTTACTGTACTGCGAGGTTGCTTCAATGACCACCCATTAGTATCTCGAACATACGAGGAGATAGCCTATTTGAACCGGTTCCAAAACAGAGCTGGAATATGCAAAGAAATACCCAGTAGCCAACCCGCCGACACCCAGCTCACCAACAGACCCTACGAGCAAATCTTCCAATACACCACACTGTTTCCCCAGCCCGCCACCGCGCGCTGTTCCACATCCACGCCCTTCTTCCACACACGCCCCCGCAAGTCCCTCACCTCCGCCGCCCTCCGCTTCGCGAGCATCAACCGCTCTTCGTCCCCGCCCGGAACGACCGCGGGCGCTGCGATGCTCCCGCGCCGCCCACTCCCAAGCTGGTAGTCGTAATTCGCGCCCCACGCCATCAGGTCCCGGCCCACTGCGCCCGGTCCGCCATGCGCGAGCGTGTCGAGCGTGAGGAGGACGTGCCCCGTCGGCGAGACGGAGATATCGTACGGCACGATGGGCTGCAGGTTATCGTGCGGCTCGCTGTCTGTTGCACACGTGTGAGATACAGCTGGTGGCTCGCAGTCTAGCGTGGCCCTTCGCACTCACATTCCAGAAGCCCGCTGACGTTCCGCGTGCGGACGGGTGTGCCCTGGGCGTTGCTGTATTGCGCGTTGCCCAGTCCGCCCCACTGGCCGTTCCCGCACGATAAGACGTCGATGTATGGCATTGCGGTCCCGTCGCGCCGCTCGACCTTGAAGAACGTGAGGTCCCCGCCGGCGTACACGTCCAGACACGTCGTGCGCGTTGCAGCGGGTGTGTGCCGCCAAAGGATGACCTCCGTTGGGACGGTGATCGCTTCGAGTGTTACCTGGCCACCCAAACCGATCTGTCTACAGTATCATGGTTATGAATGACTTGCAGAAATAGTCGTAACTTGAGCGTGACCTACCCGTACTCGTTCGCACCCCACCCTAGCACCCTGCCAGACTTCGTCTTCACAAAGCTCGTCCTTGACCCGGCAGCAATACCATCCACGTCCACCCCACGCAACGCAGGCACCTCAAATAGCTTATCAGAAAAATGTGTGCTCTTGTCGTCGAGCCCCAAAGGTGCATCGACCCCGCTCCTAGCCTTCTTTTCCTCCTCCGTCTCCGCCTCCCCCGAGCGTCGGATCGCCTGGCTGGCCTTCGCATACGGGTCCGCGATGGATTTTGGCGTGAGCTCGATGGACACGCGGGTGTGCCCATGTGGAAGATGTGGGTGACGGAAGGTCGACGCGGGCGCGGGGACGTCAAACTTGCGAAAGCCCAGCTGGCCGTAGGCATTTGCATTAAGAGAAATTGGATGTGCGAAGGTGCGCCCAGCGGAGGTGAGGGCGAGGAGGTGGTCGGAGCCTGCAGCTATTGAGACGAACCTGTGGCACGGTGACGCCGCTGAGTATCTAGAAGTCAGCGATGCGTGCGCGAAAACTTACTTCTCTTTCCAGCCGAGCTTCTCGTTTGGTAGCAGCTCGACAAAGTCAACATCCTCCTCTTCGCCCCAGTACCAGCCTGTGCCCCACCACGGAGAGCTTGCGGGCGTCGGCGTGCCCGGCGCGAGTGATTGCTCGGATGCTGAAGAGGACAGGACGTATATCCGCCCAGATGCCGAGAGAGCGAACACGCGAGTTGGCGTCACTTGCACTCGGGTGATGTTCTACACTCCCGAACCGAGAATAGCTAATCAGTGGGAACGCAAAGTGAGCACATTAGGTGCACAGTACTCACCTTTCCTTTCAATGTCAACGTAGGCTTGCCCGCAGACGAACCAGGTTTACTACTAAAGCCATCACCCCACTGGTAAACATCCCCTCGCGCGTCGACACACGCAGCATGCCGCTCATGTATTGCCAAACCCCTTAGAGCAACATTCTCGAGCCACGAAGCCGCCGCAGGCGTACGGATCGACTCGGGCGCCGCACCGTCGATCTCAAGGACATGCGCTCTGGCAGCGAGGCAGCATCAGCCCTGACACGACGTGCAGCAAATTGGCTACTGTACGCACTTGTTCGATCCCCAGATCAGCGTGTTGAGCGTGTCCCCCCTGCTCAGCACGTTGGGCGACTTTTCTGACGGAGCGGCAGCCTTCTCCAGTGCGGCGAGCCGGTCTGTCTCTGGTGGCGCGTCGTTGTGGACTGTAGTGTGTGTAGAGTACCATACTGTTCCTGCAGCCACAGCAGCAGCTGTCGTTACGATGATTCCACGGGTCGAGGTTCTCGAGGACGACGCTCGGACGTGCACTCCCCTTACGGCATGAGTACTTCGTGCACCAGCTGATTTTACCAAGCCTCGTGCTCCCTGAAGCATTTTTCTGTAGTCCAGGTAGAGAAAACGCTGCGGAGATGAAGAGTTTGTGTGAGGAGTTAAGTCAGGAGAGGTTGCAGGCCCTCCTGATGTTTAGGCCTGCCATCGAAGGCGCAAGCGCTCAAGCAAAAGGATCACTGAGTGCAGCGGGCGCTCCGGCTTGCACGCATCCACCAATCAGAGAAACGACATTCGAACTTGCACCCGCGCAAATCCTCAACAGGCGGCAATGATCTGCAGACAGATCCATCTGTTACATAGTACATGACAATAGCAACAATCAGTCAGCTCGACTGAAAGAGAATCAGGGTTAAGACGGCCGGTGAGCATAACGTTCTCCAATGTCGGCGATGAAGATAAGCATTGAACTATATCTGCTATATTCATCTCCATTGAACTTTGAACGTAAGAACGTGTCTAACTGAGCAATACACTACGAAGGAAGGGGTCAAGAATGAGGAGCTGACGTAGTAGAAGAGGCCGGTCACAACGAGCCACAACGACGTACCCTCAGCCGTAGAACTTGCGCACAACCCTCGACTGATTGGTGTTCCGACCCTCAACAATTAGATCAAAGATTGACGGGAGCTTCGCCCATATCTCTGTACGCTCCCTCTTATCATTCGTCTCCACCTTTCGCTTGCAGTGGGCACACAACTGTAGATAGGTGCTGTGGGATGAGGAGACCTCGGTGAGAGACATGTCCAGCTTGATGGCGGATGGCCAGGACATCAAGGCACTCTCGCGGATATGCCAAGCCTGCAAGTCGGTGCTGTTCCGCAGCTCCTGAAGCACATTCTTGCACCGTGTAGTATCAAGGCATCGTTCCTCCGGCTTTTCAAGGAGCCCGAACTTAAATAACCTATCTGCCGGTATTGTGAAGACCGCATTCAAGGTAGCCGCTTTGGCCTTGGAGAGGCCCCTGCGGCCATCGAAACACCTCGTGAGATCGTCTATATCGAGGCGCTCGACGGTACCGTCCGGATAACTGACTCCATCCAGGAGGGTGCGCGTTTCGAGCTGGCAACAGTCGTAAAGAGCTGCTGGAAGGATTGCGTCGAGCCCAATGAGGCGCGCCAACTTGACTGCCACTACGCAATCCGCGCGATCCTCCTGCTTGACTGCTGGCCGTGCCATCCACGCTTCGAAAGAGTCGGGCCAAACGTCACGTAGCCGCTTCCGCCCCATAGAAACAAGCCCTTCGACCTCATACTTGTGTCCTATGCGAATGAGCGCTGCAACTTCCGAGAAAGCTAGCACGTCTGTGTCCCGATAATGACTAGACACGACTCGCTGGCTCAGATATGCTGATCGGTACGATGGATGTTTACGACTCACTTTCTACCACGAAATACGAACCGCAGAATGCGCCGAAAGTCATTCGATGCGTCGGAAACATGGACGATCGGACAATCGTCCATTCGTTCTGAGGACTGCGGCTGCGGCACAGTGAACATTCCTCGGAAGACCTCAGAGTGCTCCGCCAACATTCCTCGATAGATACGGAACGCTATTTGATCGTCTGTAATGACAATGATGTTGCCATCGGGATACCAGAACTCTTGATCTCGTTTGATGTCTTCGACGGCAGGAAAACCATCCTCCTGCATACACATCATGAAACTGTCCCCCACTTTGCAATGTCCTGGAAAAGTTGAAGTTCAAACTAGTAGGACTGTAACAAGAGAGCCCTGGAAACGAAGAGGCAGATTGAAATACACTCTAACGTACCGGGTGACAGTATGATGGAGGATAGGCGCACACGAGGCTCAGCGTCTACTAGTATCAAACTACATGATGTCTCGTGAGCGTCCGGCCGAGAATGTACGAACTTACCGACTGGCACTGTCGCACAGAGAATAATATGCAAGAGCGATGTCAGGCGATGCTGCCACACGTGTACTCATGGTGCATGGATACTATAGAGATCATCGAAAGTACTTCAAACATCAGCGCGAAACAACAAGCCGATTATCTGTTCGAATGTGGCAGATGAATGGACAAACACGTACGGCAATAAGCGCAGAACTCAAAACTGGTTTTACACGTCGCTTGCAAGAGGCTTGAGCAGAACACAGCAGAACAGAGCTCAGAAATGATCAAAGCTAATCTCAGCGGACGAGTCGGATATCAAGATAGATGAGAGAGAGCAAGGTCATACTAGTCTAAACCATGCACAATTTGAAGCTTCGTAAATACTTTGCCACCTAGGTGTCGACACTGCACGAAAAAAGAAAACGGCCCGAATGCCGCGTAAGGATTGTACATCTAAACCAAATAGGAGGAAGTCGTCTGAATCTGCGCTGCACTGACTGGTGTACAGTACTCACTCTACACGACAATTATCAGAGTGGCTCTGAATCGGTCTCGGATGCCAGTTCCGAGGTAGATGATGGCGGTCGCTCAACGTTCTCTACCTCTCGAGGTCGCGATGGGTGGGAGGATTCCCAATTCTCAACCGTGAGTCCGAATATCGAGGGAAGAGTATCGGATAGTGTGTACCATGCCTCATTATTATGATAATTGAGAAACCGCCTGCAAGAAGGACACAATGCTGAACCGAGGCTCTCTAGCCTTTCCTGGATTGAAGACTTGCGCAAGTTGATGATCGATGACCAAATTGCGAGACCATTTGGATGCAATTGCAGTCCGCGTTCAATGCAGTCGTCGATAATCGCGTCCAAAGCAGAGCCGCATTCTCCGACAGTGTAGCATCCATACCGGCCTGATCTAGGCCTGTTTGCATCCAGATCGAACATTTTGTAAAATGCAGAAGAGTTTGCGAACATGAGCCGCCTTTGTCCGTCGAAGCATATTGCCAAATCATTTGGTGCCAATCGCTCGATTGAGCCATCGGCATACCGCACTCCATTCGTAAGGATGTGTGTACTGAGGTGACAGCAGTCGTAGAGCGCCGTAGGGAGGATGTCATCCGCACTGATTAGGCGTGCAAGATTCACAACACCGATTGCATGTTTGGGGCGGTACTGCATGCCACGCGTTTTGCGGTCACGACGACGACGAAAGGCGATGTAGTCGGGAAGATGTGTACCATATATGGATCGTAGACGACTGAGCCCCTCGGCTACTGACTCGTGGACCAGGTACTTATGCCCTATGCGGATAAGCCCCGCGACAGTAGGAAACTTCAAGACGATGTCATCCTTGTAATATCTGTTGAGTATCGCAACGATGAAATAAGCTCAAAACCTGAAATCCGCAAAGTAGGCATTCGACTCACTTCCTGTAGTAAAAGATAAACCGTAAGAGATGACGCAATTCGTTGGCAGAGTCAGGGAGATGTACGACAGGACAATCTTCCATATTCTCCTCGCCTGTGTGCTGCATTGAAAAGAGGCCGCTGAAAACCTCTGAGTGCTGGGCTAGTTGCCCTTTGTAAACGCGAAATGCATGATTCTGTGCTATAAGGACGATGTTCCCGTCCGAATACCATAGCTCCTCATCGCATTTGATCTGCTTGCTGTCATCGGCAGAGCCTGAAGCGGTGGCTGCCATGTCTGAACTTTGCAACGAGATCGCTTGGGTATCGTGCAGTGGTCAAGATCGATGCTGAGGGGTGTACGCACAGTGACCCTATGCTGGGCGGCGATATATAGTGCACAGGATGCGTGACCGTCGTGCGGCAGCTGAGCAAGGCTTGCAATCAGAACCTTGTATCTAAGCTCGTCTATAGGATAATATTTATCGGCCATATTTTGACAGCCTTTCCGTACTTGTACATCATAAGTGACCAAGGAAATGCGAGATCAGAAACCACCCAATGCGCGCGTCTCGCAGTATCAGCAAATGATACCGTCCGACAAGCAACCAGCTACATCCAACTTTTTGTCTTGTGAGTGAGCAAACGAATGTGAGATCATACCGACTGCATGGTGTTAGAAGGGTATAGAGTTCGGGAAGCAATCAGCGGCCCCAGTGCACGTATGGCTTGCACATATATATTCAGCGGCAGTGGAAAACGAAACGAGCAGCAGCAAGACGGACGACGGAACGGAACGAGTATCCTCCTCTTTGAATCTCTGGAAAAGTCGTTACGTGTCGTGAACGATAGCGGGTGTGGATGATCGCTCTAGGCGTGGAAAGCGCCCATGTTGGGCTGGTTTTGCTGTTGATACATCTGATACATGTACGCCTGGTAGAGTTGTGGCGGAACGGACTGTGCAGCAAGACCATTGTAAGATGGCTGGGGCATGCCCATCATGTTCGCAGCTTGCGTGAGGTTGGGAGATTGCGCGCCGAATGGCACGGACGACGGCGGCGTTGACATACCTCCATTACGGCGGGGAGTGTTGCCTCTAGCATTAACGAGATCGGGAGAGCGCATGCCAAAGGGATTGAACGGATCAGCGCTCGGAGAGAAGGCGGAAGCCGGGTTCGAAGCGCGACCACGACCACCAGCGCCGATTTGTCCGTAACCAGGATCAATCTGCAGACGGGGAGGGCCTGAAGCAGCGTTCTGTCCGCCCATTTGAAGCGCAGCCATCATGGATGCGAGACCCTGATCACTCGATGGATATCCAGCAGGAAGACCAGGCACGACATAGTTGCTCTGTGCGGTGTACTTGTTCTTGCTGTTTGGCTGGGGAGCGTTCGTGGTGTACGTCGGCTGCAGGTTCGGAACCGGCAAGCCTACTTCCTCGATCAGGCGACGATACGCCTGCGTGGCGATGACCTTGAGCTCAATCAACACACGCTTCGTCGCCTCCACGTAGCTCGGGCGCTTCGCAGGATCGACGAATGAACTCGTGATAATTTTATGAACGACGGCGACACCGTTGACCTGATCGCCCAGAACGTCCGTGAGAACGTGGTCGCCAGGAGATGAAAAGAGAGCCTCGACGATCTGCGCAGATGCCTCCGGTTCGACCTTTTGATTAACGATCCTCAAGACGGTCAAGGACGCCAGCTTGTGGGTGCAGAGGTGCGAGAGGTGTGGCGTGAAGCGCGGAGCAAGCAGATTGTACCTTGACGGGAAGTTGGACGTGTCAAGCAGCCATGTGAGCAGCAGCGCGCCATTTGGATTGGTAGCCAACGGGATCGAATTAAGGATGACCGCAGTGGCAATGCGACGCTGCTGGCTGACCGTGATATGGCTACTCTCGAGACAAGCCCTCATGCTACGAGCACCGAAGCGCCCCTGGGCAATCTCCCAGAGACGGTCTACCATCGCATCGAACAAGAAATCAGTAGCGGGGGGGCCAAAGCGGAGACAGCACCTAATAGACAAATGAGATGGACTCTCACGGCATGCGAGCAAAGATACTCACTGAACAACGTAGTTACCGAACTGATCGAGCAGGAGAGGCGGAACGTAAGGCCTTATATTCTGCGTGACAATGGCGACTTCCTCAGGCGTCTGCACGCACTCAATGATCTTCTGTGCAGCCCAGGTGCCATTCTTATGAATACCGATCATAGCCAGGTGCGGGCTAATGCGCTCTAGCATCGCGAACCGAGGACCTGGTGAGCACTTCTCAAACAACTTCTGCACGACCTGCATCGCAGACATGTCAGCATGGCGCGATGCACGAAAGATGCCTCGCTACTAACAGTATTTCCAAGCCAGTCGGATGCAAGATCGACGATCTCTCCATCGAGGAAATCGGCGGCAACGTTGTCGATCTCTTCGGTAGAAATAGTGCTCGTATCAAGCCTCTTTCGCAGTTCGCGTAACTTCGATGCATCCCAGCGCCTGTTGTGCGGCCTCTCGGATACCAGCGGAATAGTCGTGTAGTACATCGTGGGCGGACGGAACTCTGTGTGATAATCGTGTGAGCATCGAATCGATACTATATATCATCCACGACTAACCTGCGAGGGCTTGAATGTCAGCCTCGGCATCCGGGCTACCACCGCTAAGCTCCTTCATAATCATTTGCTGCTCAGTGGCAGCATTGGGGAACCCAGCAAGCTTGCCAGCAGCATCGATCGAGTGAGCACCAGACGCAATCATGCTCAGCAGCAAGTTCGACCGGTAGTTCTCCACAGCACCGCTCAGGACCTGCTGGTCAACAGGAATCGTCGTCGCTCCCTTAATATTACGCAGCGCATGGATGGTCGCGCCTACGCTGAGATCGCCGATACCCTGGACGTTGAGACCGGCGTTGTCGTCCTGGCCACCATTGCCCTCCGTACCGTTCTTAACTGGCACCTTCGCGAACCCGATGCGGATGGCTCCAACATCGCTGCCCAGAACATCGCGGCCATTGAGTGCCTTACGAGCCCTCACAGCATCATCGAGACGCTCGAAGTTAACTGTCGGGCATTCAGTCAAATCAGCTTGGCGGGAGGGCATGTAAATCACTTACTGAAACCGCAATTCTTGTGCGTGAGGACACGTGCAGACTCGATGGGACCGTACGGACTAAATACGCTAAGGATTGTAGCAGGCGTGGTTGTGGATGGAATAGAACCGATCCAAAGTGCCCTAGTCGGCGTGGATTGCAACTGAGCATCCAGTCCCGCCAGCCCGGCATTGTTGCCCGTCGACTTGCCCAAGGCACCACCAGGAGATGTAGCTGACGGGCTGTTCATGTTTGTGCCCTTGGCCGGCGCAACAGGAGCGCTGTCCGCCTTCCCAAACCCGATGCGCACCGTCTGGCCATTCGGCATGCCAATGTCGCCACCAAGACGGTTGAGAACGTCTTCCTTAGCGCGGATGGCGTCCGTCTGGTCCACAAAGTTGACAAAGCCACACTCCTGAGTCATAAGAGTAAATGTATGCGGGCATGTATAGCACAACGAATACCCACCTTCTCGGGTAGCAACCGCAGACTTTCGATCGCGCCGTACGGAGCAAACACATGGATGAGCTGCTCACTGGTCACGGAGCTGTCCAAATTACCAATCCACAGAGATCGCGTGGGAGTCTGCACCTGCGACGAGCCCTCGGACTTCGGTGACGTCGCACGGTTCTGACCAGTCGAAGGCGCCGCGAGGTACGAGTTGCTACGAGACAATTCTCCATTGGGGAAGTGGACCGAAGGCGACACGCCGCCACGGTTAGTGGGCTTGTCGTTACGAAGCAGCCCGCCCATGCCGGTCTGGATAGAGAGGTCATTGACGTACGCAGCCTGCGCCTCCGCAGCGGCAGCGCGACGATGCAAAGCTCTGGTAGTGTCGTCGAGGTTGCCGACGGAGATAGCACGAGGACGCGAGCCGAGGCCGACGGAAAGATGATCACCCTGTTTGAAGCCCTTCGGCATGTATCCAGAAGAGAGGTAGTCACTCTCCGCATCCTGGAACGCGTTGAGTCCCTGCCTACGGTATACATCCTCCTCGTACAGTTCCTCTTCCTCCTCGGCGTTGGGAGTGGGGAGCAGCGAAGCGCCCGGAGTTGGCCTGAGATGGTACGGGTTGGAGACCGTCGTCGCACGCAGCCTGGACGGGGTGGAGGCCAAGTTGCCCGCGATGGCGGCCTGCGCCTGGCTGCGCAATTCAGAGATAGTAGCGGCCGGCGGTTGGCGCAGCGTCTCATCGAGCCCGAGATAGTCAAGCGTGTGCACATCAAAGTCGTCCCCGCCCGAATCCATCGATGTGACAGAGCGCAGATCATCCAAAACGGGCAGCCCTCCGTTCCTTGACGGCATCCAAGAGTTCGAGAACAGCGAATGTCCGAAGGCATTGGAAAGGCCTCCCGACGGCAAGGTCAGCGAGCCAGACCTCAGGCGGCTGTTCCGCTCCGATAACGCAGAAGATGGGACTGACGAAGCGACCGAAGTCGAGTGACGCAAACCAGGCCGAACTGGGTTTGCCGGTGAAGATGAGGGCTGGATGATGCTATGCCTCTGCAGCTGATCGGCGAATGAGTCCGTCGAAGCAGCCGCCGCCGCGGCAGCGGTGGTGCTGCTCAGTGTGCTGGAGGCGGCTGCGAAGCGCTGGGCGGCGAGCTGTACGTTGGAGGGCAAGGTTCCTGCCCTGGCCCTCCTAAATCCCGCTGGATAGTTGGTCGGCGGCAGGCTGCTGGTGTCACCGGGAGTGATCGTGGTCGAAGAAAGGTCATTAGGAGGGGAACCACCTGAAGCTAAGGCGCGCAGCGCGGGAGGCCTGTATCTAGCACCGATCCTCTCCTCTGCCTCCAGCTCCCTTGCTCTGTACGCTCAATCAGTACCTGCGCGCCGTCATCCGCTGGCAGAGACGCACCGTTTTGCAAAAGCAGCGGACGGTGCCGGGGGCGGCGTCTTGCCCGACGCAACCCTGGAGAAGGAGCCATTGTTGTCGTTGGCGGATAGGGACATGATGCAGTCTGTCAATGAGTATTAGGAATTACTGAATGTTGGGGAGTAGGGGCTGTCGGTAAGCAAGAAGGCCGTAGGAAAGAGACCAGGGCTCGCAAGTCCGTGCGACGTGGGTAACTACGGTGAGGGGTTATAGGTCGTAATAGGGTGATTTTGGAGAGAAATTTTGCGGGCGAAGAGGAAGGATTGCCCAGGACTACTACAGTAGGGTAGACTCGGGAATATAGGAGGACTAAGTAGGGTGGAAGCCGTTGGGAGCGAGGACGACGCTGAGGAGAGTCCAACTGCAAACTCCGCCTCTTCTATACCCGCGCGTGCTCCTTGTATTTCCCGCTATTTTGTTTTTTAAGTCACGCGGCTCTCACGCCTCCTTCGCTGCAAATGCGGGCTCAGAATTTGGACGCTTCCTCATCAGCAGGCACAGCACGCAGATCATCCGCCCGGGCAGTCACATAAATTCATCGTAATACTGTACAGCGACTAGGCTACCAGCTTCAGTATACGGAGTGGGGGGCATGCAGCGCTCCCTCTAGCGTACAAACACACATGCGAGCACGGGTATTGGGGTCCTCGGCGGCATTGCACACCTCAATCAGAATCCGCAAATGATCAGTGATGGTCTCGGCTGTCTATTCATCAGAAAGCAGACCCGCACGCCCGCGGCCAGGCGCTCGGTGGCGAAGCATCGAATAGAGAGGAGGGCGAGAGTAGGGATACACAGTCTAACTTATCTGCAGCGCAGCAATAGAACGTCAAGTCAATAAGTAATGCAAACAGACATGAACAGCAGCCTAGAGGGCGTAAGCATACGTGGCGTGAGTCATTGGCCGTGTCCAGCTACGAGAGCGAGCTTCGGGAGCCCCTCTTGCTAGATCGCCTGCGCGTACGATTTGCGATCGCGTCTGCAACACGTTTGGACCGCCGCAGCGGTCGTTGCAGGCGTGCAGTGTCCTTCTCCTTGGGGTTTTCAGGAGGATTTTCCACGGCACCGTCGGCATTCTCAACGATCTCCTTCGCATCGTCCTCTTGCACATCCAATATCGGAGCCTCCGGCGGCGGTGTCTGCCACTCAGAGTCCGAGCACAACACCCGGAACATCTCCTCTTCTGTAGGACTAAGCGGCGTGTCCGCCACAGCAATCACCTCATCCGATGACGTGGCAGGTACGGGCGGCAGCATCAAGGAGATCGCAGCAAAGAAATCCCACGGAGCGTCGCTGTTCCAAGGCGCAACTGATTCTTGATGAGAAAAGCCTAGCGGCTGGACAGATTGTGAGCGTCGTGTGGCCTGGCTGGTCGACTCGAAGTCATGGCCAAAGGAGCCCCGCCAACGGTCCAACAAAGTAGTAGTACGAAGATGATTATGTTGCAAAGGCGGGAACCACTCAGAAAGCCGGTCGGATAGGAAGACATGCAGATCAGAGTGGTCTCTGCACATCTCCTGCGTTACGGACAATGGTGCCCATGTACCACACACGTCGGACGAGCCTTTCGAAATAATAATAGCGCTCTCCGAATATGGCAATGTGATCCCGAGCTGCCTGGCAATACAGTCGACCTTCACGAAGTCCGTATCGGCTCTTCGCAATATTAACGACGACCCCAGCGTCATCTGATATACGATAACGCCTGCAAAACAATTCATTCGCGGGAAACTTCCGTTAGCTCGCACTAACATCACAAATATTACGAAAACACGCACCTTCCAGCTGCCTCGCACTGATCGCAGGTTCGCAGGGCTGACATGTGTGCACGACACTCATGTCATCGCTCAACAAGTCAGGCAGCCTTCTTTCCTGCAAAGGAGCCTTCGCGTCAGGGGGTCCGAACGGGTCTTTCCTTAGTGCTTCCGGTGACGTGGGAGTGTGGATCGACAGAGACGTCAATGAGGAAAGCAGAGTTGGCGAGGTCACATCGAACACGGGGGCACCATGCTTGATTTGCGAGTCGCTTGGCGCTAAGTTAAGCGGCGGGAGGAGCGGGCCAACACGTGTCGACTGAGGTGATGTGCCATTCGATTCACGATTCGCGTTTACCACAGCGCGCGCTCCTGCAGTCGCCGCCTCCGCCGCATGCTCGTTCGTCCGCCACCCCTCTGACCACTCGCCGGCGTCCAAGTCGTGCGGCTCCACACTGTCTGGTCCCAGTAGCTCTGCGTCACGCCATTGCATATCGCTATTATGTCGCTGTGCGAGGAAGTCCTCAGAGAATGGCGTCGTGGGAACAGGGGAAGAAGACCTGGGAGAAGCATGATGTGCCGGTGAAGTGCAGTCAGGCAGCAGACCGTCGAAAAAAGGTACCGCCGCTTCAATATCTTCCTGCTTGATACGCGAGAGATCACTTTCACCATTGCCGTAAACGAGGTCGTCTGTGCTCATGCTCCCGAAGCATTCGTAAAGCCACGAGTCCAGAGACTCCATCTTCGGCCGCATGACTTCTGCTGAGAGTTTACCACTGGTAATTGCGACAGCCTTCCTATCCGCAGCCGTAGTGTCAAGGTGATCCCAGGCCTCAAGGATGCCGCCGACGTCGTTCGACTCTTGCTTGACGACGACATCTTCATCTTCAAACTGGGCAGAGGGTGAGCGCGGGCCTGGGCTTTCCCATTGCGTATCAGTGTCCGCATCGAAGTCGAAGAAGCTATCATCCAGGCTCATATCATCTTCATCTTCTTCCTCATCTGATGAGTTCAGCCCCAGTCCAAAACGCCCTCGTCTCCGCGCCATGCTGATGTGAAAGTCGTCGTCTTCGAGCTCCGAGTCCGGTGGGGATGATATAGACGTTACACTGTACGGGACGGAGGGAGACCGTCGAAAGCTCGAGTGCTGTAAATGGGGTTGTGGGGATGATTGTTGGACTGATTGTCGAAGTGGGGAGCCTGACGTTGAAACGTCCAAGGAGAGTTCTCCTTGCTCTTCTTCCTCTTCCAATGACGAGGACACTTCAGACTCCGAAGCACTCTCGGAGTCTGTGTCAGAGTCTGCGTCGGACGCAGCGTCTGAGCTACCGTCAAATTCCTCCTTGTGCTTAAAAAGGTCGGTAATCTCGGGTGTTTGGGTGGACTGGATGGGACTTGAAGGCGCATATACTACCGACGACGAAACCGCCATGGCTGGCCGCAGTCGCAATGTAAGTTTTACTTTTGGCGGCCGCTTCTCTTCTTCGCTCGAAGAATCAGAATCAGATCCTTTGTCAGCGCACGCCCGCACTAGGCGCTTCCGTTTCTGGCCACATTGCACCGCGCGGCGGAGACGATCCCTCTCACGCTTCTTTTCTCGGCTGGTGTTCAAAACGCTTCCGACCTTGCCGCTTTCGGTGTAGTCGCAGAGTCGGATGCCAACCCTGGCAAATGGGCAAGGTGCGCCGGCAGCTTTGCTCAGATACCAGACCATAGTGCCACGCCTGAAATTGGTGATGCGCTTGTCGGAGGCGCTGATAGCACAGTGCGCACCGCCCACGCGAGAATAGAGAGCGGGGCCTAGATCGTCGTCAAACTGTGTACCGGACATGACGTGCCGCAGAAGGAGCGGTTGGTCCTGTTCAACCTCGCAGCGCTGGAGGTGACTCCGAATGTAAGTTGTGATGGCTTGGCCGGCTGCGGACACACTGACAATAGCAGGAAAGGAGACGGTTAGTGCAGTGGTTGGAAAGAGGTAAGAATGACAACGCACTTCTGGCACATCAAACCGTACTTCATTGTCAATTCTGCAAGATCCTTCACGGTCATAGCACAATTATCCTGTGATAACGCAAAAAAAACTCTTAGCGCCGAACGCGCCACCGGCCGACGAGGTGCGTCAGACGTACCACGGATATGAAGGACCGGCCTATGGCAAGCAGCACTTTGTTGTTTGCGTCTTCGGAGTGTAGCATGACGTGTGGCGGCGGGAAGGGGGGCAGGTCGTCGCGCGGCGCGTCTTCGGTCACAGGACCTGCCTTCGCCTTTAGCGTCGGGACGGGTTTGATCCGTCGGTGGACGACCGGGGTGTCCGCGGATTGCCGCAGACGCGCAGAAGGCTTGAGAACAGAATTGGAGCGGATACGTGTGCCATACTGGTGCTGAACGGCAGGCTGGGATTGAGAGCCAGAGACAGCGACTGGGGAGACCATGTGGTGCAGATCATTAATAGTGGGGATAGAGCAATCTAGGAGAGGTCGGCCAGCGAGGGAGGCAAGGACAGAAGAGATGGGAGGTTCAGGAAGAAGAGCGCAGGAGGGAGAAAGGAGAGGGGACGGAGGAAGAGGTGGAGAGTTGGCAGTCGGGGAGAAAGGAAGGCAGAGGGAAGAGCACGCGCTTTGTGAGAGTTGAACGGACGCGGCAAGACCCTGGCGGTAACCGTGCCAGACGTCCTGATTAGTCTCCTTGATGGCCGCGGCGCCCATCGAGATCCACCGTCACGCGTCACGCACTGCCGCCTGTCACACTGCGCCACGTCTGCTGCCCGCCACAGTGCACTCGTAGCCCCCACGCCTTGGGAGCCTGCAAATTGCCGTAACACGAGACGCGGTGCGGCACAGGGTGCTCGCTTGCTCGTCCTGCGCCCATCAAGGCAATCAATGATCTGGCGGGGAAAGAGGTGAGCGACCAACGCACGATAACAACATTTCACACTGGCTAGACTCCAGGCCCGTCACTGTGGCGTGCCGCGGGTTGGGGGACCGACAAGTTTTCCCGTTATGACGCGTACACAAGTCACGTGAATCTGATCAAGCGCCAGATGACTTGAGGCGCAAGTCGCCGTGTCCTCCCCGAGTTGTCCCATTGTTCATGCCGTAAGCGGGCAACGATCGTAATAACTTCGCGCGCACGCAGCTAAGCGAGCCAATAGCGGCGCCGGGCCACACAGGCTCTATCAGCCACCGCAGAGCGAGCTGTGGCGCAGACACATCCGGATAGTGGCAGTGAAGAAACACCCGTGAGCCGGCCAAGGGAGAAAGCGGGTCATTGCCGCAACAAATGACGCGGACCAGACGAGGTGGAGGGATGAGGGGCCGCAAGACGGTCATGCGCGCACGAACGTTTACACAGCAGTGCAGGATGACCGAGACCGGTAGCATCGGTCGTGGCGGTGTCCTTTCGCAGCTGCGCGCACGGAATGTGAGTGCCGCGCTGCCGGGAGAGAATGTGCCAGAGGGCCTGCGGTTCATCAGCGTCACGACCGGCATGCACGAGTGTCATCAGCTACGTACATGTTGCAGAGTAATCTCGAGACATCAGCATTAGCTGGTCTGTTACCGCTGGGTTATACATTAGTCGCTTGCACAAGAGTACACAAGACGCACCTGATTTCTGAGTTTTCCCTCTACGACCACTAGCAACAGCGCGCGCCAAAAAGTAGCCATGACATTCACAGTACAAGAACAATTTAATTGCACCTTTTTCTCGCATATACTTGCTCAGAATCTCGTGATGCGGCACTTGCATGAGCTAATAGCAGGTCGAGGAATTGTTGATGACTGATGGCATTATGACACATGCGCATGTGCATCAGCCAGGGAGCACGCTTGATCTTGCCTGGAAGCTGTCATTGCTCTAATTGTAATGTTGAAATAATCGAAAGCCATCAAAAGAGGAGTTCATTGTTCCAGCTGAACCAGGACCTGCGAAAAGAACCCGTTTCGCTCATCTCGGCAACGGGCCTCCGACAGTGTACTTTTCCGAATTCAATGTACCCCGCATGCACAGAGCCTACCCTGCAAGGCGCAAGTGACTAAAACTGTGGGCTGCCAGAAGCCTCTGCACCGGTCGCTTTCAGCCAAACGAACCATACCAATCCGGGTTAAAATACACATGCCTCGTATCTTTCCACTAGCTCGAGAGATTCCACATGGCTGCTGCCCATCCTGCTAGTGGTCTGCAGCTGCAACTGAGTTCCGAGTTGCGGGCATTATATCTGCAGTTCCATTTACATCCGGAGTCGCCAGTTCGAGAACCGAAAGCACGCACCTTGCACTCCCTCGTAGCTCTCTAATAGCTTGAGGGATTCCACATGGTTATCACCCACCCTGCTAGAGGTCAGCGGCTGCAACTAAGTTCCGAGTCGCGGACATTATATCTGCAGTTCCATTTGCATCCGGAGTCGCCAGTTTGAGAAGCGAAAGTACGCACCTTGCACTCTCCCGTAGTTCTCCGATAGCCTGAGGTTCCCGTGAATAGCGTCTGCCCTGCTGGTGGCCAGCAGTTGCAGCTGAACTTCCCGATACTGCATCTACAATTCCCATTGCATTCAGAGCGGCCAGTCCTACAGTCAAAAGTACACACCTTTCAGGCTTGACTCAGCCTTCATTAATACATAAAAGGCTAATTCCGTACCAAATTAACGAAAGCTTAGCACTTCAATGCCCGTGAGCGCGATGTGCAGGTGTATCTGCAGTCCAATGCAGGCCGCAGAGGACGGTGCACTTGGTTGGAAGGCGATCCATCTGAAGGGTGGCACGTGCTCGCCGGGCCACTGGCCACTGACCTCTGCGATGGCTAAGGTCACTGTCCTCGTACACCATCTGCTGCAACCTCTTCATCAAGCGTTCGAGAACCGGTCTTCATTGTGCGCTGTCATCAATTGAGCTGGCTAGTCGACGAGACGATGGCGTCGGAATGGTCGCTAACAGCAGTAACCCCAAATGGATACCCCGCACTTTGTATAGCGACGATTAGCCGACGCACTGAGCGTTCAAACGTTCAACGTTCAAGCTCAAGCCGAAGGCCACCAGATACGTATACTTCGTATTCTAGGCTGGCTCAAAGGGCCTCTAGTATTTGAGATATCTCTGCCGTGACGCAGCCCGAATAATGAACCAGGTTCATACTTAGCCACCCTTGCTATAACTCGTCACTGTTGAGCATCGTATGTGATTTCAGGCAGTATATATTCGCGACCAACAAACATTTAGATCAGAAGGTATAAAGATACGTAGCATAACGCCCTACAGGATAATACAGACTTGGAAATACTCTTACACAATACTCCAGGCGTTTGGCAGGAGATTACAGAAGCAGACCGAGGTATCATTGGAAGAGAAACATATCTAACGCGGTCGAGCACAGTTTACACAACCGTTGGCTCCTGGGCCTGTTTACTTTATCAGGTTGCTGTTGCCAAAGATAGAACATACGGACATACCTTCTTGCTTCTTGGCTTCGACGCGGGCTTCGCCGACTTGCTCGCTGCTGCTTTTGCTACTGCCGCCTTCGCTGCGGGCTGCACCACAAGGAAGCACTCCTCAGCGGGCCATGATCAGCATAGACAGACGCAACACATACCTTCTTTGCGGCGGCCTTCGCGCTGCTCGTCTTCTTCGCCGGCTTCGCTGCAGCAGCCACCTTGGACGGTGCCTTAGTCTTCGCCGCCTTCGATGTCGCACCCTTAGGCACTGCAGTCTTGCTACCCTTCTTCGCAGGCTCGGCGGCGGGTTTCGCAGGCTTCATGGGCTTCTTTAACGGTGCAGGTGCAGGTGCCGGCTTAGCATTAGACTTCTTAGGGGCTAGAGGTTGAGCGTTCTAGGACGAGCTGATCTCAGCAACGCTTCCCCTTACAGCACAAGAAGATCATACCTCGTTGGCAGGAGCAGGCTTATTCTTGGGCGCCAACTTAACCTTGCCTGAGGGACCTTTGGGCAAGGCGAAGACACCCGAGCTTGCGCCATGTGCGATGGCACGATTCAGCTGCGACGCGTTAACCCCATCGATGTCGATCTTGTACTTCTCGCTGATGAACTAACAGTCCGGGCGTTTAAGACGGGCCACCATCAGCGGTGGCAATCAATCCTACCTTCTTGATTGTGGCGCGGGAGACGCCAGACCGCGTCTCGCTTTTGTGTTCAGTGATGCACTCCTGTTATGGCCATGGATGTCACGATATATGCATCATCCAGTCGCATGAACACGCACCGCGATCATTTCCTTCCATGAGGGGTGAGCAGCAAGCGCCTTAGCAGCAGCCTTGCTATTGGACTTTGCAGTCTTGGTCTTCGTCGCCAGAGGCTTCGCGGATTTCGTGGAGGCTGCGGCGGCCATATCGGCTAGATCGTTATATTGGTTATGCGAGAGCGGTGGAGCAACAGAGGGACACAGTCAGGGGAAGGGGACGAGGGCATTGCGAAAGCTCCGCGCTTTATATGCGCGGACGCGACGCGTCTCACGTGAGCGTCTCGGCGCGTCTGTTGAACGCAAACCTTATTTCACACGTCACCCGTGCATCGTGTGGCCAGCTGCTTCGTGCGACTTGTGCACTCGGACACGCGATGTGTGCTCGCTGATGCGCGCGCGGCACACGCGCGTTGCCCAACATGACCTCCTATATTGCGCGTGAGCCATGAGAGGATCAATCGAAAACACGTACCATAATGAGGGCCCGTTCATATTGCTGCACACAGAGGGGTCCACGGAAGTCTGGCTACTCATCATTGTTTCCTAGTGGTGCAAGGTCACGTAGAATGAATACAGCTTCCTCGACGCGCATCTCCAGAACGGTCAGCTTCTCCCTCTTCTGCTCCCAGTGCGCGAGAACCTCGCGCTCGTTACGAGTCAGCAACCGTTCTTCGTCCTGGCTTACATCACTACGCTGCCGCTTCTCGAGTACAGCCTTAACCACCGGCTCCTCCTCTTCTGCTCGCCTTCGCATCGCAATGTTGTATAATGTCTTGTACAGGTTGTCCAGGATGACCACGCAGGCCTTTTGTAGATCGACGTACCTGTGACGAGAACATGTCCATGTAAGGAATTGAAAGTCGACTATGTAAATCACAGCATACCAGAGATAGAACATCCTCGTAGGATTGCGGTCTGCGCTTTTGGGAACTTCTTGTAGACTAATCAACGAGTCGGCAGACATCGATGTCAGGAGTGGACGGACATCCTTATTTGCCATCATCCCGATCTTCGAAATCTGCAACACATGATCAATCAGTTAGCTTGATCGACGTACGGACCATGAGGTAGACATACCTGCTTCTCATCCATTTTACCTGTGTCAAGCAGAAGCCTGAAGATCCGCACGCCATCATCCCCATGGCGCTCTCGCGCAATAGCTTCCAACACACGTCGCCTTAGCCGCCGTGCGATGATGTCGAATTCCACCTGCACCTTCGACCCATTGGCTGACACAAACGAGGCTGCTCGTCCAGCCGGTGTTGGATTATCCGCAGAAGCCAGGATGGCAAGGAACTCCCTCATGAGCGAGGTATTGGACGGTTTTTTTGATGACTGTATCACAAGTCCTTCCGAAAGGTCGTCGTCATCAGATAGCTGCATCGCGATATTTGCAAACGACGTGGGATCTGTGACGGATGATGAGCTCGCGCGACAATTAAGTGAGCTCTGCGTGTACCTGTTCGGACATCTGTCAACCTGACCTGTTTCGCCTCTGTCGCTTTGAGCGCGGCCCGGATAACAAGGCCAGCAGACGGATTGAAGCGTTCGGTTGCCGCAAACTCGATCAGCTGTAATAACGTTGCATGAGATGCATGTGAAGGTAGCAGCGAAGACGTGCCTTGTTGCGAATATGTACATTGAACCTTTCGTAGTTCACTCGGAAGTACACGCTGTCCTAATGAGAACAGATCGTAAATAACTCTGAATTAGCTTAGGACCAGACAGACGCTTACATCAACAACGTCCTTATCTAGTGCTTTGCGCTACCAGGCGTGTTGAGGTATCAATACTGCTGGAGACCATGCTTAACGATGACGCCTACCTTAGGTGGCTTCCCTGCTTGATCTTTCGCTTTCCGCTTCTAAGACACTGGACGTATTACATCTCGACCGTCCCCACAACATCGAGGAGCAGGAACATACCATGCCGATTTGCTCTGCTTCCTCTTCCTCTCTCCGAAGTCGACCTTCTGCAATTTCCTTGACTTGACGAAGCTCCTTTGCGGTAGGAAAACCGGAAACCTTGGCTTTTTCTTCCGCCTCGTATCGGATACGTTTATCACGCGGAGAAATATGAGAGAGAACAGTGGACGGCCTCAGGTAGGACCCGTCAACTAGTTTATGCAGCGCTTGCGAATATAACGCGGGTCCTGATGTAAAGAAGGATGATCGAGACGTGCACACGAGAGCTCAAGACTATGCATACCTTTGATGAGGTCATACGCGGACAGACGAGAGATGATGTCTGGAGGGCGAAGCTTGCCATGATCCAAGATCAGTTGAACAATTTCTGCGCCCTGTACAGGAAGTGTGAATTACCCTGCAAACATCTCTTCCGCAAAATACCGCACCGCCTTCCCAAACAACTGCTCTGCCTGCCAGACGTACCGCCCAAAGCGCAGCCTCATGAGACATTCGTCGATGTTGATCTCCAGAACCTCTCCCTCATCGTCCGAGTGTGAGTGCCATAGGATGTTGTGCTGCACGAGAACAAGGATGGCTGCACGGACCGTTCTCAGTCTCAGTCCGGATAAGCGAACTATCTGAGACAGAGTCAGCCGGCCATGTGTGAGTAGCACAGATGCTACGGTCTACAAACAGTGAGAAAAGTGTTTTCTGGACACTTATTCAAAAAGAACTTACTGCAGTGAGCGGACCAAATTGTGAATGTATAATTTGTGCACATAGTCGCGAGGTATCCGCGTCCGCCATACAATCAGCCCTCGAGAATCAAGTTAAGGCGTCCAACCAGCAGCTGAATCGCGAGCAACCTCCGACCTGAGACGATCAAGGAGAATAGGCTAGAACTCAGTGCGCACGCCGAGTTCGGACAGACGATGTGCAGATGCAGACGTTGCCGGTACTGAAACAAGCTGCATAAACCTGACCCAAATTGACGCGAGTGAGTGGTCGATCGACTGTCGGCAGATGCCGATTACCTGATGGGATGCCAGCAGTCGACTACTCACAGTCGCTCGCGATATGGGGAGTCATGAAACTTATGCAAAATGCATCTTCGATTGCGTGATATGCTACAGAACGCGAGAATGACATGCTGGGAGCGTACGTCCGAGGTGTACAAATACAACGACCTTGACCATGAAGGACGTCGTTTGGAATCTCAATCCACGACATCGAATCCTCTGAACCACCGCCTCGTTCCTAGAGGTCCAGGCATCCGGATTAAACGTATCTGTAAAAAGTCAGTTGGGAAAGAGAGGTGGGAATCTTTGCTCCCGAGAGAAACACGAAGGACGAGAGTTAGCAGCGAACGAAACCACTTAGCCTTGATATATCCTAATCGCAGTTGGTAGGAAGAGCGAACGTGCCGATATTGTAGAGCCAAAGCTTGAAGAGTTGCAGTCACGGTTAATGCGAGGCCGGAGGAAGGAACAAACGGGCCACTTCATACATCCATTGAGAAGAGAGCCTGTGCTGCACGAAATGTATGACCGTCGTTTGTGACAGCATACATCCCGCTTGAGTCAGCAATCCATGACGACTGCCATCTCGTCGCAGTCACAGCTCGATGAACTCATGCAGCATTATTTAAATCACTGCACTCTTGCTCTTTTAGAATCTGAAGAAGGGACGGACGTTCAGTGTCAGACTAATCACAGTAGCACGCAAGAGATACCTGATGAATCGGCGTGTGACTCGTGCAGATCACCCTCCTCGTCATCAGAGTCTACATCATCATGGCCTCGTTTAGATGACTTGTTCGCAAATGTAGTGGCCGACTCTTTTCGCGAGGAGCTCTGATTCTCTGCGCTCGAAAAGGCAGAGTCGGGAAGTGCAGGAGATTCGAGCCAAAATTCGGCGACGGCGTCAGCATCAATGCCACCGGAATCGACTTGTTCGCGTTGTGCTCCTAGATGGAGAATCATGAGAACGTCGGTTCGAAGAACAATGTCAATGAATCACTCACCAGATTTTGAGCTAAGTGTCTCAGAACCATCAATACTGCCCTCCGCATCCTCATCAAACGTTTCTGCATATTCGTCAATATTCTCAGTAACGAGGTCTTCTGTTTCTGAAGCTCGGATCAGCATCAGAAAATAGAATGCAGATACTGCTCAGTACCTTTGAATTCTTGCAACACTGGAGCAGCGTTAGTATCTAGGGTCTCACCCGTGCTCGTACGACTACGTTGATCATCCAACTCTATGATGTCAGAAGTCGGTCAGCAATGCATGCACTTCAATAGGCAGTTTATCTCACCATCGGATTCGATGTGTGCCGGTACGTCAGGAATGTCCTCTGGGCCTAGGAGAGGGGAGGTGAACTCCCCCTCATCGTAGTTTTGTAGGACTTGAGTATCATCAACCTCAACAGCACTCTCGTCCTCGAAAGCCAAATCATTCCGAGACTCATGACTGGTATGGGCATTGCTACCCAAATCTTCAGGGAGGTATTCAGCGAACTGCTGATCGTCTTCCTCAAAATCTTCAGTATAATCCACGTAATCAGCGGTTCCTTCTGCGTCCGTATACTGGTGTGTTTCGTCCGCATCCGGACCTTCTAGAGTATCCTCAAATTTAGCACCAGACGGATTCACTTGTCCTGACTGATTTTCACTTTCTTGTGCATTGTCTTCTTCCTGTTCTTCGTATATAGGCGCACTGGGATGGAGTAAGCGTTCACCTGAATCTTCCTCGCCATGAGGTTCCACGATGCCGTCATGGGATTCTCCTGAAGCTAAGAAATTGTACTCTTCTTGCGGCTCTTCTGTCGTACGCCGCAAATGTTCTTCAGCATCGTTCTCATGCGCTTCAGCATCCTCCTCCTGCTGTTCGTGTACATCTTCTCGTGTTTGTTCCTCTGCCTCATGTTCAACGTGTCCAGCGTGTTCATCCACGTTTTCATTCTGCGCTTCAGCTTCATGATAAGATTCTACCAAATATCGTCATGAACTTATGTCGAAGTCGCTGACGCACTGTATGAACGTACCTTTTTCGCCTTGAAGTCCATCATGATAGCTTCCTTCTTCTTCGACGGTTAACTCTAGACGCGCAATCTGATCTCGTAAGGCGTGGTAACGAGTAATAAAACGAGGAGACACAAGTCGCAACTCAAGGCGGAGGGGGCCAGGAAGATCAGCGCCATCGTGCAAAACATTCAGGTCATGCAATGTGACCTCATGCATGTACATATTATCCTGTGCAACGGACCAGACCAATCAGTGGGGCACGAAATAAGTAAACGAGCTAGGCTCACCTCTGACATCACGAGTTGTAGATCATACGCATCCAGCACAAGTTCCCCGTTCTCCAAATCAAACGTATTTTGGACGAGTCCGTCTTGACCTTGACGGAAGGCATCAAAGACTGCTGACAAAGGCTCATAGTATAGCGTCGGGCGATGGTGCAATAGCAGTTGCAAAGTCGGAGCTGATGAAGTGCCGTTGGATGGGCTCTGCGTCCCAGGAGTAACTGCAGGATGATTGAACAGACAGCATTCGAGAGACTCGGCAGCCGAGATGGAGAGAAGAACGGGAGGGGGTGGATCGATGTATACGCCCTCTGAGATCTCATGGGGATCACCCTGCGGGACGGTGCCGTCGTCAACAGCAGCCGTCTGAGGCTCCTGCCCATGAGAGGTCTCGTGCTCTGCATCCTGACCAGCCTCTTCATGAGCGGAAGACTCGACCTCGAGAGGATTGACAACAGGTTGCTCTTCCGGTGCAACGGGAGCCGGAACCGCAGTCTCCGTGGGAACAGAGAGAGGTTCTTCGGCTGTTGGTGCGCTTTCCGCAGGCTGGCCACTTTGGTCGTCTTTCCTGTAGCTTTCCAGATGCAGCTCCTGGCCCGCATCATTATATGAATGTGGCGTTTGAACGTCACTGGTGCCGACTGGTAAAGCAACATTTGCAGTGGGAAGGATCGCCGAATTCTCCTCACCAGGCAATGGAATGTCGAATGCATCAATATTCGCCAACTGGGTGGAGGCACTGTCCGGTGCTGAATCGAAAAGGCGGGATGGAAGAGAATTAATAGCCTGCTCATCCGTGAGCCCGTCAGCAGTGTCGTTTGCTGGAGTAGAGAATGATTCGTCGCCTAGAGTCGACGGAGCGGAAACAGGTGCGGCGACGTTGAGGTCAAATTGTGGAATTGCAGGATTTGCAGGATCGACTGAGATATACGGAGAGCCAGACATATCGATGGGGATAGGTTCCGGAGCAAGATGACTCCCATCAACGTCAACGTAAGTCGGCTGCGGTGAGGTGACTTGTGATGCGTCGAGAACATCAACATCCAGCAGCTCAAAATCGACTGTCCTGCTGCTGCCTATGTCATCGGCCATCTCGTACTCTGTAATCTCATCATCATGGTCACCCATTTCGATTTCTATGCTTTGATGGCTGTGGGATTGTGGTATTATATCGTGAGGATCGTCAGTCATGCTTGCCTCCAGGAGCCAACTCTCAGTGGCCATCGAGACATCAATGTCGCCGGAATCGAGCATCTGCGTATCGTACGATTCCATGAGAGTCGTCGTAGACATCGATCAAGACCAGAACGGTGTGAGACAAGCAGTTCAAAATAGTGGTTACAGGAAGGAAGTTGGGTAAAGAAGTCGGGCTGGGCTGCCGCGACACATTCAGGGCAGGCATACCGTGACATGCACGATCGCTGCGGCCACCTCGCCTCAGTCACAGTAGGTTCAACACCGCGTTTTCGACGAATGTGTGCATGATACCACTCTCAAATGACAAAAACGACCCTGCGGTAGAGAGTCGCCGTGTTCTACATGTCTGCAGGTGAAGCGAAGCGATAGCTATACAAGTTCGCCTTATCTACCAGGGGAAACTCCTTATGAGGACTCGGTTCTCACACGCGGCATTTCTCCCATTAGTGAGTCGTTTGGTAAGTACCAATATGTAGCTGCAAGACAGTCCACAGTTGATACGCTAGGACGTTTCAAAGCAAGAATGCAACTGCAAGAACTTGCAACTTTACCTATCCAAGGCAACATGCAAATATATGCTGGGAAGTTATTCGACCCGTATACTCTCCAGTTGCTTGAGAACCAAGTCATTACCGTGTCTCCAGAGTCCGGGCTCGTACTGGATGTCCAGCCCTTCTCAATTACTAACACAAATGATTTATCTGGTCCGCAATGCATCGACCTCCGACACGCGACCGTCCTTCCGGGCTTCGTCGATGCGCATGTTCATTGTGCGTTGATTTTTTACACAGACCGTTGACCAATGAGACGATGAGGGCATTACACTCTGCCAGTCTTTCTACATCCTTACTCAGAGGTGAGCTGGGAGGATCAGGTCACAAAGGAAAGCCTGGTCGAACGTACTGTGCGCGCAACAATCCATGCCAGACGTACTCTCATGGCTGGCTATACATCAGTCCGGTACGCCGGTGGCTATGATGGCGCATGTACAATGTTGACAGCCGTCTCTCAAGTGATCTGGGCACCGAAGGTGCCGGAGACGCAGATTTTCATCTGCGTAAATGCATGTCAGGATCGAATGCAATGATTCCAGGGCCGCGTTATTTCTGTGCCAACCGTGCGATTGTCCCTACTGGCAGCTATGGTGTGTCGCTTTCGGTTTATATGCAGTACAGATCTGTACAGCCAAGCAGGGCCAAAGAGTACAATACACTTGAACCAAGAGGGTATTGAAGGTATCACCGGTGCTGAAGTCGCCGATGGTGAAGTGGAGTGCATAAAAGCAGTCCGAAGACAGATCGGTGCAGGTGCCGACTGGATCAAGGTTAGTTGCACCAAAAGTCACCTTGAAATAGTATAGATGGCTAAACTTTGCGCAGATCTATGCAGGTGTCGTAGTTGTCCGCGAAGCAATCCACGTCAGTGTACTCAGTGGACCATTACAGACTACCGCTTCCGTTCACGCATGGTGGACGTGTCACCTGCTGTGTCGAAAGCTGCCATCACGACATTCAACGAGAAAGAGCTTCATGCGATCGTATCTACCGCAATCAACCTTGGTGTAAAGGTGGCCGCGCATTCTGCCCATTGGCATGCACGAGGTCACAACCGCATCGCCAGTGGGCCTGGAGTTCACTCCGTCGAACATGGCCAATTTATGGTCTTTGACAATGAAACGTCCAAACATTTGGAATCTCGGTTCCCCGACGATGCAAATAAGTTCAACACGATCTGGGTACCGACGCTTGCGGCATATTATACGATAGGCCAAGGGCAGGGCGAGATATGGGAATCTGCTTTGCGCGCCTTCCGCACCGCACTGGAGAGGGGAGTTGAGAACATTGCATGCGGCGGCGACACGGGCGTCTTCGCGCATGGCGATAATGCGCTCGAGATGAAACTCATGGCGCGCGCGGGTGCAGATTGGCGCAAGGTCCTCAAGTGGGGCACGCTTGGCGGGTGGACCTGCGTACGTAGCATGGCATGGGAAGGAAAGGAGGGAGAAGAACGACTCGCGAGGGTGGAAGAACTGCATGAAGATGCTAGATTGGTAGGGGACAACGAGGTTCCTTTCGGTGCAGTCAGGCGTGGCTTCGGGGCGGACATCATCGCGACGAGCGGTGATCTAGAAAACGATTTTGAGAGCGCGATCGACAAGTCGGCTATCGAGTTCGTCATGAAAGGCGGAAGGGTACACAAGATGGGAGGGAAGGAACTTGTATGATGCTCAACCGACACTCCGTTTCATGATTTAATGTATTTAGTACTGAGAATGGTATCTGAGGTCAGGCTCTGATGGTATTGCCACTCGCGACTTTTCTTTGGCCAGTCAAGGCAGACAACAATGCGCCCAAAATTCAGTGCTATTCACGTCAAGGGACGAACGCACGGTCTATAATACAAGGAGCCAACAGTGAGGAGTCAACGCAGTGAATACTGTACATACATTTGAGTAGCACAGAGCACATGAGAACCAGTCTGCAAGTTTCCAATATCAAGTAAGGTACAATGACTGTAACACATCGATGTAACACTACTTCGACTTGCTGTCTTGCACTGCAACCTTGAATGTACCGTTGGCGGCGACCTTTGCGCGCTGACCGGTTTGCACCCACTGGTCCGCATCCTCGCTGGCGTCGTCGTTGCTACCCAGCAGTCTGCCTACACTTGGTCCACGCACATACAGCAACCCACACGGATCAGCGCCATTCTCAATGGCATTGTCATCAACGCCCATCATCTTCACTTCCATGTTGACAGCGGGTGGACCGACCGACGCGAGATACGCAAAGGCATACGCATCCGAGGCTGATGCAGAAACAGACGCTGGTTCCTGTGGGAAAGTCTGCAGATCGAGCGGATGCGACGCGAATACGGGTCCAGCGACCAACGGATGGGTATGCACATGAACGACGGGGACCGACAGTGCGATCCGCGCCGGCACAAGAGATTGCCCCTCGAAGATGCCTGCAACATGTTGATGATATAGAACGTTCACAAGGAAGGGAGTAGACATACCGCCGCTGACAATTGTGGCCCTAATAGTTCCCGCGCCCTTGCCCAATACCTTCGCGCGGGCGGTATCGAACATGAGTCTGTCCCAAAGGCTCTGCTTCGTGATGTATCCCTCCGATAACGACGCATTTTTGTGGCGCCAAGCGACGGAATAGAGAAGGCTGGACTTGCGCGCCTCTCCCAGTATAGCAGCTGTCATTGAAGTGAGGTGCTGAGGCTTGATGAAAAGGACAGTCGGAGAAGGAATCGGCAAGGTGTTCACCGAGAGCACATCGGCCAGGTCGGCCACCGGGATATCTGCACAGTCATCAGTACATGTATTCGAAAGGTGCGATCGATCGATCGATGAGGCTCACCTCCATTTTCGGTGAAGACCTTGCTGCTGTTCAGCGTGGCGAAGCTGGTACCTTCGTTGATCGCGGTATACGCCACCGCCCGTCCGTAAGGGGTACTCATGGGGAATGCAGAGACGACGGTGTCCAATGGCGTCATCGCGGTCGACATCGGGAGCAAGTTGCACACGGCCGCCACCCCAGCAGTCAGGTTTTCGTGTGTAAGCTGTGTACCTGCCAGCTCTCCTGAGGGCGATGAGAAGAAAGACACAGTAAAAACGTCCCGCGGGTCTAGATGGGATGGTCAGTCTCCGTCCGTTGCAAGTAGTCCAGGACATACTAGGGCTCGCAAATGGCAGCTTCTCGCTCTTAGCACCGCTGCGCTCGATGTCTTCCCATCTTAGCAGGCGTGCCTGCTCAGAACCGGGGATCTCCTTGTTATTGATAGCTCCTACGACGACGATCGTGGGACGAGCGCTATCGTTCGAGTCGTAGAGAAGCTCCAACAGAGCTGAGAGCAGGCTAGTATCCGTGATTATAACCGAGGGAGGGTGAGACTCAAGGACTGAGGATAGAAGAGATGCAGAAGTGAGCACGAAAGAGGGTATCGCGTAGGAGGCGAGCGCAAGGTCAGCAATGAGGAACTCTGCGTAATCCCTATCAGTCACCTTATTGCATTCCGCATGAAGACGAAACCATACCAATACCATCATTCAACAACAAGAGCACATTGGATTCCTGAGGGATGAGCTTCGTTGAGTTGATAAGGCCAGTGCCAAAGGCTGCCACCCGGTCTCTCAACTCGGGATTGGTGATCTGCCGCGGAGGTATACGTTGTAAGCAATCATTCAAAATGATGCGGTAGGACATACCCTTGTTGACCACAGAGTACGTGGAGCATCTGAGTCCGCTTTTACGAGATCAAGCAGGACTAGCTGCTCTTTCGACGGCCTCACAGGGAACTATCACGAACGTGAACGGGGACACTCACTTGACAGACCGAGCGTTCTCACCTTTCCCATCATACCTGTACCATAATTGCGATAGATTGCACTCTCTCCTGGATGCCTGACTCGTGCGGCATCGCTCTGTCTCCCAAGAAGGATGGGGTGCACAAGCGACTGCGGTTTGTACAGATTATGCAGGAGAAAAAGGCATGCTGCGACAAGACCGAGGATGATGGTGAGGTCATCCGTGACGATATAGTCCGAAAGAGCCATTGTTATGTATAACGCTTCCCTAGTACGTGGCGGGGCGTATGTAGAAAGCAGACCTCGAGGCGCGCAGATCGTTCGACACAGCGCTGGCGCTCAGAAGCACCGGCAGCAGCCGAGGAGATGATTGACGAACCAATGAACGAAGCCAGTTCAGAGACTCAGATTCATGTAAAAACTTCACCGCAGTCGCTCGAGCACAAGCAGAGCAGAGAGCATATAGTGAAGAAAAACGAAAATCAGGGGCTGAAAGAGGATACGCCGCAGTGGCTGAGGAAACGCGTCCATGTCACGTCATTAGTCACAGTGTGACACGCGCGTTATGTCACGTGTTTGGCAAGTGTTAATGTGGCTCAGCGAAACGCGTTCTGCGGCCTCTCTCCCTTCTTCTTCAACCACTATCACACGAGGACCTCACCTCTTTCATCTTCATTCGAAGATGTCGTCCAGGGTTGAGCTGAATGTGGCGCAGTTTAACCATCGCTTGGGCTCTATCTTGACGGCTTGGAATGTGCGTTCATTGTCTGCCGCGAATTTCCCATTGCTGACTTATCGCACCAATGCTGCAGAATGCCAAGAACGACGCCGACTTCAGTTCATTAGCTGATGTGGACGCCATTATTCTGCCCGCTGGCGATCCTGCTGGCGAGGATGAACCCATCCGCAAGGGCACCGCATTTCAGGTGTGCACCTCTATGCGTGGCGATTAATAAGGCGATGGACGTCTAATTGTGATGCTCACAGACATGGCTTCTCGGTTACGAATTCCCCTCGACTTTTATTCTTTTCCAAAAAGACAGTATATATGTCCTATGCTCGGCATCCAAAGGCACGTCCGTCTTCTCTATGCTTCCTTGTTGTACGCTGACGCGTCTTTTTCGTCGTCAGCCAAGATCCTATCACAGATCAAAAACTCGACCACTCCAGTACCCATAGAAATCCTCATACAAGCGAAACCCAAGGACCCTCCGACCGATGCTCTGGCTAAATTCTTGCAAGCGTATACTTCTCACAAACGCATAGGCACTCTCACGAAGGAGAAGCAGTCTGGGAAGTTGGTTGAGGAGTGGGAGAAGGCATTGACGGGAGTCGATGACAAACCGACTGTGGTTGATGTCTCCCCTGCGATATCGGCTCTGATGTCAGTCAAGGATGAGGAAGAGCTAGTGCGTATGAGACTACATTGCAGACTCTTTCCCCTTACTTATCATGTGACAGAAAGCAATTCGGACGGCCGCAAACTTGACATCAACTCTTCTTGCACACCATGTCGTACTCAAATTGGAGACTATTCTCGACAGGGAGGCCAAGATCACACACGATGCTCTCTCTGCACAGATCGAGTCGCGATTAGGATACGGCGAAGGTGATAATGGCAAGGGTCCAGACATGAAGGTATGGAGCAAAGGGCGAGGATTGAGTGATGTGAGTACACAATCTCCGCGACGTCACCGATACTCTGAAACGAACGTGTCGCAATATCCAGATCGACTGGCAGTCCACCGAGTTTTGCTATACGCCAATCATCCAATCGCAAACCAGCGGCAAATATGAACTGAGTCCTGCTGCGGAGTCTACAACAGACAACATCGCTCACAAAGGTGTCTTTCTTGTGAGCCTCGGCATGCGTTACAAGGGTTACTGTGCCAATCTGGGACGTAGTTTCATCGTTGATCCATCAAAGGTATGGCCGCCACTGATTTAAATAACTAGGGCTTTCCTGACTCACTGAGGCTTTGTAGGAACAAGAAGCAATCTATTCATTGCTGCTGTCGCTGCAAGCAGAAGTGCTCGCGCAACTGAAAGATGGTGCTATCGCGCGAGATGTGTATAATCACGCTCTTTCTTACGTCAAGGATAAGAAACCCGAGCTCGAGAAGCATTTCGTCAAAAACATCGGCCATGGAGTGAGTACAGAGATTATCTGCAATCAATGCGGGAACTTACCAGCATTGTAGATGGGTATGGAGTTCCGTGACTCTTCATATCTCCTATCCCCCAAGAATGGGCACGTTCTACGATCTGGGATGGTCTTCAACCTTGTTCTTGGGTTCCAAGATCTCGACGAAAGCGGACACAAGTACGACTCTCTATTGCATGTGGTCCATGGCCCTTGCTCATGCATCGTTGACCCTAGATACGCATTGCAGCTCATCGACACTGTGCAAATCAATGATGACAAGGCTGTCTGCCTTACTACCGGCGTCAAGTCCATCAAGGATACAATGTTCTTCCTGAACCAGGAGGCGGATGGTGATGCCAAGGCAGGCGCATCGGGGAAGAAAGCCTCGACCACCAAGACCAAAGGCAACGGCTCCCCTACGAAGAATAAGATGGCCGGAGGCAAAGTTCTGCGGAACAAGACACGGAGCGCTGCCCAGGAGGAGTCGATACAGACCACAGCTGCTAAGATCGCTGAGCATCAGAGAGAGCTCCATGTCCGGCTGCAATCCGAAGGTCTAGCGAAGTATTCGACGGGAGGTGGAGGCATTGGTCGCAATGAAGGGAAAGGATGGAAACGATTTCAGAGCTACAAGGGTGAGGCTGCACTGCCGAAGGAGGCAGAGAGCTTGCGAGTACGTAAACTGACGGTATGACTTTGTATCTGACGTTCTGACTTTTTTACTTCAGATCTTCGTCGATCGTAAAGCCCAGACGATCATCCTTCCTATACACGGCTTCGCTGTTCCCTTCCATATCAACACCATCAAGAACGCGAGCAAGAACGATGAAGGAGAGTTCACATACCTTCGAGTGAACTTCCAGACGCCGGGCCAGCTAGCAGGCAAGAAGGAAGACACGGTAAGTCCTTCAACAGGCGCTCAATGAATACGGCATTCTCATCTGTCTGTAGCCGTTCGAGGATCCCGATGCCACCTTCATCCGGTCCATCACATATCGTTCTCCGGATGGCCATCGCTTCGATGCCATCTCCAAACAGATCACTGACCTCAAGAAGGAGGTCAACAAGCGGGAGCAGCAGAAGAAGGAGATGGCCGATGTCATTGAGCAGGATGTCCTGGTGGAGGTCAAGGGCCGGCGGCCGACCAAACTTCCAGAAGTCTTTGTCAGACCTGCGCTGGATGGCAAGCGTCTGCCGGGAGAGGTGGAGATTCACCAGAATGGTCTCAGATATCAATCGCCAATGGGATCCCAGAAGATTGGTGAGTGATCGCGTAGCGCTCGGATGAAGTCACCACTGATCGCGCTCTATCAGATATTCTGTTCAGCAATGTGAAGCACCTTTTCTTCCAGCCATGCGATCATGAGCTGCTTGTCATCATCCACATCCATCTCAAGGCGCCGATCATCATTGGGAAGAAAAAGGCTCATGTGAGTTGTAACTTGTGTACTGGATGCACGTTGTCATGACAATCCTTCTTTTAGGACGTGCAATTCTATCGCGAGGCCTCAGACGTCCAGTTCGACGAGACCGGGAACAGGAAGCGGAAGTACCGATATGGCGATGAAGATGAGCTCGAGCTCGAGCAGCAGGAGAGGAAGCGGAGACAGATGTTGAACAAGGAATTCAAACTATTTTCGGAGAAGATCGCTGAGGCAGCAACAGCATCGGTAAGTCACGCATGCTCTTTCTGCAGCAAGCTAGCTCTGACTCTCGTCTCAGACCGGCGATACGCTTGAGCCAGACATTCCGTTCCGCGAGCTATCCTTCGAGGGCGTGCCGTTCCGGACGAACGTCCGCCTGCAGCCGACCACGGAGTGTCTCGTCCATCTATCTGACCCCCCATTCCTGGTCGTCACCCTGGCCGATATCGAGATCGCATCACTGGAGCGTGTGCAGTTCGGTCTAAAGCAGTTTGATATGGTCCTCATATTCAAAGACTTCACGAAGACACCGCTACATATCAACTCGATCCCGAGCTCTCAACTGGATGATGTGAAGAACTGGCTCGAGTATGTGGCGTTTCTCCTTGCAAGTGTTCGTCGTTGTTGATATTATGTGCCAGCTCTGTCGATATTCCTCTGAGTGAAGGCCCTGTCAACTTGAACTGGGGTCCTATTATGAAGACGATCAACGAGGACCCGTATGAATTCTTCCAGCAGGGTGGCTGGAGCTTCTTGGGCGGCTCAGCAGGTGGTGAAGAGGTACGTGCCGTCGCGGTTATTTTGGTTTATGGGCGTTGACGCATCATACCTCACAGAGCGAAGAGGAAGAGTCTAACTCTGAGTCCGAGTTCGAGGCTGAATCTGAGGTATCGGAGAGTTCCGAGAGCAGCGAGAGTGCATATGACGACGCGTCCGATGCAAGTGAAGATGAAGGCAGCGGATCTGATTTTGGTTCTGAGGGAAGTGAAGGTACGTTCTACGCCAGCTTAAGTCCATTTGATTCTTAATATTCACGTTCTGATCTCCAGGAGAGGACTGGGACGAGCTGGAAAGAAAAGCTGCTAAAGGTTTGTGTATCTGCTCTCGAGATTGTGCGATTGACTTGACACGTTTCGCAGCGGACAAGAAGCGAGTTGAAACAGGAAAGGGGCATGAATCTGATGACTCTAACAGGCCGAAGAAGAAGGCAAACGGTGCGAGTAAGCCCAAGAAGCGCTGAAGCCCTTATTTATTGGATCAGATCATTTTCTCATCATCGCTTCTTTCAACGTTATCTCGTCGTATACTTGTACCCTATGCTGTTCATGTTCTGAAGGGCCCTCTAATGGTGCACGAACTGTTATATTCGATGCCATTCATGAAATGTGCGAAGGACATAAGAACCGAGTGTTGTCGTTGACGCCGATTGTTGTCCGGTAGTGGACAGTGTCTCATCAGGGCGTCCAATTCAATGCTTTGACTGAAGCAGCGCATTGATCAGTACTGAGAAGGAAGCCTTATATCGGAACATTCCCTGACGGCCACTACAAGAAAGAAACACGAGGTCAACGTACGGAACGGTGAGAGCGGGTTGAGTAAAGGCGTCAAGAGCATGCAGGATCGCATACACCGCGGTACAGCAATAAGTGACGGGCCCGGTTCCATGTGTAGTTTCGGTCGAGCTGGCGAATCATGAAGCTTTGAAGTCGGTTTTCTTCGCTCCGAGGAGCGATCCCGCTTCTGATGGGGCCAAGGATCGACGTATGTAAATAGCCCGATCTGAAATTCTCGCTTGACGGTTTAACGCGTGTGATCTCGCGGGCGGGTCAAAATCACACTGTGACTTAAATGTGACTGTACTCTTGAACGCATCTGTTTCTATTAGCGCCTCGGGACTGCTGGATTTGATCGCGCTGCTTACAAGTCGTGATGGGGAGCAGTACGAGGAAGCACCTGAATTAGCGCCACGGGACTGCTAGATTTGATTGCGCTGCTTGCAAGTCGTGACAGGAGCAGTGTGCGAGGAATTAGGGCCGTCGGACTGCTTGATGGGGAGCAGGCACCTGGATTAGCGCCATGGGACTGCTAGATCTGCTTGCAAGTCGTGACGACTTACAGGAGCAGTGTGCGAGGAATCATTAATCATTAATCAGGGCCGTGGGACTGCTTGATGGGGAGCAGTGCGAGGAAGCACTTGAATTAGCGCCACGGGACTGTAGCAGTGTGCGAGGAATCGCCGCGGCACTACTAGACATGACCATGCTGCTTGTACATGTCTGTTGTTCTCACTGGTAATTATCGCCGCCTCGTGGCCAATATCGTAAGCTTCTTCCCTTCCTCGAACGCTTGTCTTCTGCAGATACTGACTTGCTGCCAGTAAATGCCTGCTGCTGAGGCCGCGTAAACTGGATATCCAGCCCATCCTGTTACAATGTGCCATCACCGCGAAGATATTGACGCCTGCAGCTAGGGTTGTATTTAGATGCAGCCAGGCTGGCAGCAGATGTCTCGTCTCGCGGTCCTTCAAGCAATGTCTTACGAGTCGTACCGAGTACATTCCAACTATCCTCTGGATATCACTACCCCCCTGAGCTGTTGGCCAGCTCTTGACGGGGTCGTCCCACCAATTCGACAGTGGTCCTCCCCGTCGTTGCAGTCCTCACCAAGATGCGGCTATTCGGGGCTCAATTCCATGGCGTACACAGGGAGCGACTGGGCGAGCAGCATACCAGAGGTATCATATACCGCGGGCAGGCCCTCCACCGGAATCCGGGAGACTCTCCGCGAGGACGTACACTCGCAAGCACAGACGGACTGGATGTCCCGTTTACAAGTATACCATGCCGCCTTCGACGAGGAACGTAGTACAATGTCGGCACCGACAGACGCGATTATTCCTCTCGTGCCCTACATCAAGAGGAATTCAGCGTTTAAATACAATATCAACGTCTCGTTTGTTTCGATAGACGAGACTGTCGGCATTCGCTTGTCCGATGAAGCAGGTGCCAACTACGGAGGATTGGCAAACGGTGATTGCCTTATATTCGATGCCGCTCAAAATGTGCCACAAAAGGTATCTTTTCGAATGGAGGTTCGTCTTCCATGACACAGATTGAAATGCGGACTCAAGAATTTATACAGTGGCTGGGCTATAACAGAATGTACCATCAGCAGATCAACGTGCGAACTTCTAGCAATGTTTCGACCGCCATAACGGTGAGAAAGCTGGCGCAAGTTGTTGCATTCCAGTTTGAGCAGATGAAGAAGGTGTGCAGTGCACCTCGTATGTGTGCCCCTTTGCTCAGAATTTTTGATAGGGATGCATTGCTAGTGGCCACGGCTGCAGCATCCCGAAATGGGCATTCTTCCCGTATGGACCCATTCAGAACGACAACGTCATTTTGGCGGGGATCAAGCAGGTCTCCCAGGGCACAGTTGAGCCGATATTCTATTATCGGCGCGCATGAGTGATTTGCTGGAAGTTGGACGAGGATCGGAAACATGGAGGAGTTTCATTTTGACGGTTCATAACGTTCGACGTCTGTTACGATACGGCCGGCCTGGAGCTTGCGCCCGCCTCTTTTCAATTCGACACGACTAGCACGAACCATCCTTATTGATTACGCACTTTGATGTACCTGGCCATTCGACAAGACCGACTCGCCATCCTAAAAGCGGGAAGAACGGAATAGGCGCAACCACACCCACTTTGGATAGTTCAGATATTTTTGTATTCACTTGTAGCACATTTTTCAATCAGCAAAACGAGAAACAATGCATTTCGAGGAAGAATTTGCGCCAAAAGAGTACGATAAAGCCTGATAACACAGGTCAGAGCTTCGATCAATCCCATCAGAGACAACAATCGAAATTGCCTCCGACGCAAACTCCTTCGCGGAGTTGCACACGTTGCCGCGCATGCGCGGACTCAAATCAAAAGATTCTTGTTCCCGCTACGACAGTAGTGGTGCTTTTCGTATGCGTCGTTTGTTGAAAGTTTTGTTTCCTCTCTTCGCAAAGACCCAGAAATGTGTCGCACACGATCTGCTCCTCGTAGCGGGCGCTGCTGGTACCGGCCCTAACATTATCTTTCAGGCTGTCAAGACACTCTGATCGTTAACGTTGGAAGAAGGCTCCGAGTCGCAATCCAGATTCCAGAATCCGCATCACGTGAATGGCGCCAATCACTTGATTGTGCGATCAAAGAATGTGTTTGCCATGCTCATCGCATGCATTTGTGTGGAGTCTTAGGCTGCATCGCAGATCAATCTGTTCCTCGGCGATGAGCTGGCGGCTCGGACGTTGGTCTGCATGAGCTTTCTCTCACCGGTATATTCGACTGTTATACACTTCCCCGTGCGTGAACATCGTTATTCAGACTCCTCGGTGCACTAATGTGAACCGTCAGCTCCAGCAGGCTCCGTCACAGCTGAGTCGGAAATGAAAGGCCCTATACATCGCGCTAATCCACGGTTTGTCACTCAGTCTGTCGAACTTCGTTGTGTCGTCTGCTTCGATTTGGACTAATGTTTGCCGCTTCTCTTTCTATGATTTATCGTGCGCACGTCATCAAGAGCCGAAAACCGTGAAAGAAATGAGGTCGTACCTGTGTATACCTGACGTCAATGTCAATCCCATCAGTGACAACGTGGAAGTAGACTTCACCTTGATCCGATGATCTACAGGTAATCAAGAGAAGCCGGAGGAGCGACATCGTCGGCCTCACCATCCTGAGGCTTGAATCGGGCGGGATATGGATTCTTACTGTCTTTCATGACTCTCTAACCACACAACGGGCTAGCAGAAACTTTTGTCGCCGAGAAAACACCACTGACAATAGTTGGCGAGTATTTTTAACGATGATTGTTATCTTCTGTATCGATCCGTGGTCCTCTATGCCCTATTCCTCATCGCAGAACCTGTGACAGTCAAGAATCATCGACGGAACATCTTGAATGTTGGACATTGCGCGTAGGGCAACACAAAGGAATGCTGGTACTGACGAGGTAGAGAAGTCAAGTGACGACCGTTGCTCAAGAGACTGGATGCTGTACTAATGCAGGCCACCGCTCAAGGAGATTGTTTGAACGAGACACATGGAGGCGGAGCCACGACACGCAGAACGGTAGGGTCGAGGGGAGGAATCGATGCCATAAGCTCTAATGCACGTGTGCGGAAGCCTGAGAACTTTGTGGTGCTGATTTGCTAGCGGGACGTTCGTCGATCAATATCTCTAACCGCGGTCCTCTTCCGAGAGTCTACTTCGACATTTCGCATTTACGTTCCGGTATCCTATCTAACCTACGCAGGCTCCGGATATCCTCTGACTGGCGCCTACGTCTCACGTTACTACTTCAACTTCGCACTCGAGGTGGGCCCGTTCGATATCCTGCTGTTACTATGGCTGAGCACAGGGCTGTTTATTGCTGTTGAATTCCAGTTGTCATACTAGTACTAGTAGGGCGAGGGGGACGAAGTTGATCTGGTCATGGATCTGAACCCCCGCTCAATTGTACTAGTCATCATACTAGTTTGTGAGATAAATTGCTAGATTCGGATGAAGCCCTTCCTCCCGCCCTCAAAACAGTGACTCGCTATTTGTTATCGCGCCAACCCCGACCGAAGAAGTCTTACACTTCAGCGGGCCATCTGCAAGTTGTCTCGTCCGTGATGCATGAGACCTAAGAGTACTACATGGCGTTATGTTTACCCGCGTGGACAAATCCGATTTGTTGGTGAATACTGTGGATACCGTGGCGCTGATCTCTACTTTGCAGGAACGGCCGAGAACCGTCAAGAAAAGCACGACAAAAGCGTGTTCGCGTGTTCCGTTGCAATATACAGATATCCAGGCTTTGTGCAATCTGTACGTAACCTGCGACCAGTGGTCAGCATACGACTCCACACGACCCCCGAGCCTCGACAGTCGGGCGTAAGGTTAGCGCTGACTAGACTCGGATGTGGTCATACTGCTTGGCTCTGGATCTCGACTGTACGGAAGCTTCGTGGTTCTAAATTCTGTCTCCAATTATGCATCGATATCCTACTTCATTGATTTATTTCTGGCAGCAGTACGTCGGAGCCGCAGTCGGAGCCGAGCGAGCGTTTAGCGTATCGCGGTCAAAGCCTCTTACAGTAAAATGATCTTGGTTATCTTGAACTGGAGTTGGTTCCAGCAACCATACTTTGTTAGACGCGATCATTCAATCACAACACAAAGTAGCAGGCAGACTGCCAATCGAAATCTGGAAGCTTCTGAGTGAAGATATATGGTCTCGTGCCATTATAGCTTCTATCTTCCATCGAAGTAACGGGCAGACTTAGCATCTCGGCAGCTTCTAGCGTACGCGCGCAGCGAGGTATTATTCAAATATATGGCCTCGTGCCATTATATTTCCACCGATGATGCTTGTCCTTTCGTTGAGGATACCGACCCAGTGGACACCTCAGGCTACTGCTGAGGCGTACCCTGGATATCGGTCCTATCCAGCAACAGCGTGCCAATACCGCGAAAGAAATTGACGTTCACAATTAGGGCTGCATTTATGTCCAGATGGGCAGCAAATATTCATCTCGCCATAATTCAAGCATATGCCTTACGAGCTGTGCCGCTGCGTGATCGCCATCCCAGCTGTCCTCTCAATATCATTACCATCTCTCTGAAGTGCAGATCAGTTCTCGAGGGGGCCGTTCCACCGATTCGACAGCGATCCTTCTCGTCGCTGTGATCCTTACTACCATGCGACTATTCGGGGCTCTATTCCATGGCATACACAGGGAGCGACTCCGAGTCGGCGAGCTGCGTACCGAAGGCACCAGATACCACAGTCTGGCCCCCGACCGGGATTTGGCCCCCGACCGGGATTTGGGAGACTCTGCGGGAGCACGTGAACTTGCAAGCACAGACGGACTGGACTTTCCGTTCACAAGTAGACCACGCTGCCTTCGACAAGGAACGTAGATCCTCGCCACGTACAATGTCGGCACCAAAAGATGTAATTATTCCTCTCGTGCCCTACACGAAGAAGAATTTAGCGTTCAAATACCATATCAGTGTTTCATTTACCTTGATAGACCGAACTGTCGGCATTCACTTGTCCGATGCAGCAAATACCAACAACATGGGGTTGGCAAACGGTGATCGCTCAGAATCTCCATAGGAGTGTATTGCTAGTGACCATGTCTGCAGCATCCCGGAATGGGCATTCTTCCCGGATGGCCCCATTCAGAACGACTATATCATTTTGGTGTAAATCAAGCAGGTCTTCCTGGGCACAGTTGAGCCGATACTCCGATATTACAGGCGTGCATGAGTGATTTTCTGGGAGGTTGGACAAGGATTGGGAACATGGAGGACTTTCATTTTGACAGTTCATAGCATTCGACGTTCGTTACTGCGCGTTCGATACGGCCAGCCTGGAGCTTGCATTCGCCCCCTAATCTATTCAGGACGACTAGCACAAAATATGTCTATTGATTGCGCACTTTGATGTACCTAGCCATTTGCCAAGACCGAACCAGGAACTTGAATAACAAAACAGATGGAACTACACTCACTTGGAGTAGTTCAGGTATATGCATTCAGTTCAAGTTGTATTAGTACATCTTGTAACCAGGAAAACGATGCATCTCGGGTGAGAACTTGTGCTGAAAAAAGGTATGGTAAAGCCTAAGACTCAAAACAGTTCAAAGCTTCAACTAACCCGGGCACGGACAAAGTAAGAAGGCCCTCAGTCCAGGATGGATATCTCCATCACGTGAATGGCGCCAATTTCAATTTTGATCGTGAACGTGTTTACCATGCCCATCGTATGCGTTGATGTGAAGTTTGATGTGAAGTTCCTTTGACCATCTGTTGGTAGGTTACGAGCTAGCGGCCCGGGCTTGAGCTCGATTTCTCTCACCGGTGTTTGAAGTATCCAATCGTTCCCCCGTAAATGAACATCGTCACTCCTCGTTGAATTCATGTGACCGTCAGCGAGTCCACGTGGATTTCATCGCGGCTGAGCAGAATTTGAAATTTTGAAAGGCTATCCATATGTGGCGCTACTTCACGATTTGTCCCTCAGTCTGTCGAACTTCGTTGGCGTCATCTGCTTCAACTTGGACTGATGTTTGTCGCTTCTCTTTTTCCATGACCTTTCATTCGCACGTCATTATCAAGACCCGAAGAACGTGACAGAAATGAGGACGTACTTGTGTATGCCTGGCTTTAGCGGCAATTCGATCGGTGACAATGTGAACATAGATCTCGCCTAGATCCGATGATCCACTGGTGATGAAGAGCACCATCCTGAGGCTTGAGTCGGGCGGAAATACGGAGGAGCCTGCTGTTCTTATTGATCCTCTGGCCCCATAATAGATTAGCAGAAATGTTCATTGCAGAGGACGCTACTCACAATAGCTGGTGAGCATTTTAAACGATAATTGCTATTGTTTTCGTCGATCCATGATTGTTCTATGCCCTATTCCTCGCCGCAGAATCTATGGTAGTCAAAAATCGTCGATAAAACATTCTGAATCGTGCTGCGATGTAAACGTCACCCGATACGGCAACACATGGTGGTGACCTCTGCTCAAAAGACTGGGTGCTGTTATGCAGGCCCCCGCGCAGGAGACTGTTCGAGTGAAACACACGAGATGGAGCCACGACATGCAAGGCAGGGTTGAGGGGAGGAATGGATGCTGTGAGCTGTACTAGTGCACGTGTGCGGACGTCTGAGAATGTGGCACTGATTTGATGTTGGATATCTGGAGGCCTGGACGCGCGTCGCTCAATATCTCTGATGCTCAATCCAGAAGACGCGCTTGATATCTATCATTTATGTTCCGTTATCCTATCTTGGAACAAGTGCTACCCTAGTTTCGGGCATTTTTCCAGCTCTCCGTTTTCGGCCCGCAGCTGTGCAGCGAGCTGCGCTCTACTGGTAACACAGCTCGTGCACAGAGTGCTAACCATTGATCCGGGGATGACTAGGACTATGCAAGGTCAGGCCGATATCTGTTCTCCAGTACCTGGCTCATACATCCGCTCTCTCGCTTTCGCATCGTGATTGCATCGCCAAATTTTATATATAATCTGATCGCCCTGATGTGCCCCGTCGATATCCGTTGTTCTCATTTGCAACATGCCGCTGGCATAACTTTGGACGCGAAGGCCACAATATCCATAAAACTTGTCTTTGGACGGTCTTCGCGTATACTCCGCAGCTGCGTGTGGACAGCATAGAAGAGAGCACAATATAGCATGCGCAACATTTGCTCCTTCGCGCGTGACACACGCCAGTGCGCCAGCTTTGTTGCCCATGGGCGAAGATCAAGAACTAGACTTCTCTGTCCAAGTCCAACAACTCTCATCGATAGGTTTCTCTGTGGTCCGGAGACTGAAGCCTACCAGGCTGAATATAAATTATAATCATTTCTCAAGAAGGTCACCTTGATTTAGACAACCTTGTATTTATATCCAAGTGAGTGAGCAGATACTGAGCGATCCTATCACCATGCAAATGGCAAGCTACTCAAATGATCGCGGCCCGCTATGTGGAGCAGAACCCTAGCGGCACCAATTGGTGTGGCCCAGATCCGGCACGCTCATGCATGATCCTCGCTCTGTTTCCAACGTACGTGAATTTTTGTGCATCACATCTTGATATCAAGTTCGCCTGCGACGTCCTGCTCAGATGCACTCTGCGTAGCCTCAACACCACGCTGACTCCTCGCGAGCTCGACTTTGAAGCCTCCGCTCAGTTATAAGTGTTGCTACGCTCCATGGTCATCTCCACAACTACTTACACTCACTGCCATATCGGCAATCCGCATGCCAGCAGGACTTTACCGGTTGCGAGACAATCATCCGAATTATCCTCAAGATCATGTCGCTTGGATTAGCACATATTCCGAGCTGTCCGGTGCTCTGTCATCGGAGACGCACCGGTCCCATCCACATCCACAGCCTTCACTTCGCATGGACCACTCCCACGATGCCCCTACCACACTGGATCAAGCCGCAGCACAGGATGGCATTCAAGACTTCCGACATGCTGGGAACTGGACTTCCCGCCCAATAGATGTCGCACCCGAGTATATGGTATGTTGGGGACCTAAGTTCTTCGAGATTCCATTCCTTACACCTATTCGGAACAGAGCGACGCCAATTATATGTCACATGGAGTCTTCACTACATTTGGCCATGATTCATCCACTCAGGCTGGTCGGCAGCCCCAATCTTCCTCGTCCATCTCGCCGCCTGTACCTATGCAGCAACCGGTTCCTCTTACTCCATATCGATTAAAGCAATGCCCTCGGGGCTGTGACTCCCTTATCTCAGTCTGGTTCCAGTCATTAGATGGAACGCTCGGAATACCACTATCTATGGTGCCATTGAAGGGCACTTGTTCAGCGCTGGCGAACGGTCTGCAGCCAATTTGCAATGGAGATGTACCGGAGAAGGCATCCATTCGTATGCAGGTGCGTGTAGCCTTGTAGTGACTGATAGAATGATGGATGAATGCGACACATCAGTGGCCAGGCTATAGTGTTTCGTACCACCGCCAAATGAACATACGGAATGCCAGGCGCAATCCGACTCCGATAACTGTCAGCAAGCTCGCCATCCTCGTAGCATCGCATACCAGGCTTATGATTGACGTGAGTCACAACGAACTTTTCGCATTTTGTGACTGCTCAGTGATGATCTCATAGCAATATGCCAACTATGACTGCAGTGACGTCACTTGGCAATTTGCGCCCAGAGGTCCTATTCATTACAGCAATATCATCCTTGTCGGAGCTGTACAGGTCTCTCATCGCAGCATACAACCAATCTTTGAATACCTAAGGAAGTGACGGTAACACTGATATGCATATGCATAAATATCAATACTATGTCAGGATATGCGAAGTATGACTGTACATGACAGGACTACCATAACCGCACAGACACTTTATGAATTACAGTAAATACATAGTTAGCTAGGACCCTATGGATATATGCAAGATAGGTACCCAAGCCACACACTGTAGCCATCAGGAGGACGCCCACCACCGACATGGTACAACTTCGGTAATATCGTATCGGTAGCCGTGTCGCAGGTCCCCTTCTCTGTCATACACTGTCGTCTCCACAACGTGACAGCATGTGGAAGAGTACGGTATAAATTACATGCAGTATTATGTATTACTCCGTTGTCTGGTGACGACGGGAATACCTGTCCAATGAGTATAATATATTTCAGTAGTACGAGGTCGAAACTGCGCTTAACAACTTATCGTCCATCGTCCGAGACAGAACGTTGATGCATTTAAACAACATTGCTCACCTTAGGCTCTTTGCGCCTGGTGTAGCGTTGGCGTGGAGTACGAGGGTAATAATGTTATTTTAGCGAGCGGGCTTCGAGGCCAAAATCCCACGACCGTGATGTGGAATCCTCTGCGAATTCTATCAGTTGACTGCGGACACCTCGGAGGCCGGCGACACGCATATTGCATCCTGAGAGTTACAAAGGAGGAATGCAGTGGCTTTTCATCAATCAGGAAGGGCAGATGCGCTTCGGGCTTTTCCAGCTGGACCGAATGACCGTAATTGCATCAGCCCTCTGAGTCCGCAGATAAAGCATCGCCGACGGACGAAAACAGCGAGGATAGCAGCCATCGCTGCTCGCTTGCCATCGTATACTGAGTGAGATCGCTTGCGCACTTCTTGACTGAAAGTTTGTACGCCATAACCAAAAGAAAAGCTCCCTAGAAGGGTAAACATGTCACAACGCATGCTACAATGGTTCCTCGGGCGGGGGACATACCCATAATGGTCATTTGCTAATATATCTCTCAATGCAGCGAGAAAATCACCTAACCCGTGTTTCAGATTCCGGTCAGTTCCTGCCTTCCACCATCCACGCGGTGCCAGGGCAGGGTCCTGTTCTTCTGCCGCCTTTGAAGCACGGAGGTCCCCGAGTGACAAGTTGCCCGAGTGCGAGCTCAAGTACACTAATATGCCATCTCCACAGGGCAGAGTATGTAAGGCGCATTGACGAACACTATGGAGAGCATCATGATCAGCAAACATTCATCAAGCAGCCTGAAGATGGAGAGAGAATACACACCGCATTGCACATTCTCGCTGCATGTCTTGCGGAGTGTGCCAATCTATGGCATACATCAGACCGATCTCTTCATTCAAGTTCTGCTGACCATACAGATTCAATCCCTTTCACCATGCAGGCTACTTTAGTTGATGGAGAGCATGATTGCGACGGAAAACAGACCTCAAAGAATTTCCCTTGCATTGGTCACATGTGGAAAGGGGAGGCACGAAGTGAAGGTCGAAAGAGACATCTGAAATCATACGGAAATTGGAAGAACTGGCTAAAACTCACTGTTGGGTCCATCTCAACTTCACCAGTGACAGATTTTGATTTGACACCTGGAGAATGCACAGAACAGACAACCACCAGGGACAACCTGCGTATGATGACCTGTGTCCCGGGCACGAGTCGCTGTGATCATCAACGCACATCGCATCACCCAGGGATTATACGACAGTTACGGTCTATAAGGAGGAGAACGAAGAGAAGGGGGGAACACATGCAGAGCATCGTCGGAATCTTTTTTTTTTCAAAAAAAAAGCACAAGCCGTTAGCGCGCAACCGAGAACACAGACACGCACGTGATATATTTCCCATGCCTGCTGGGAATCTACATACCGAGCAAGGAATTTGAAACGAGACTGGCGGAAATCGGGCCACTATTTTAGGATTGGGGTGGTTTATGACTACCGAGTGCTTACATGCTATCATAGAGAGCGTCGAATACATATTGCACTGTAGAGATGATGGGACAACAACTTGCGGAGCATCCCGTGGTGGCATCGCATTTCCATTATCGACATCATTATCATTACACCAACAATGCTTCCGCGCCACGTTCTATTGACTACTGTTGTCGCTACAGCCCGCTGGGCATCTTTGCCACCACGAATATCTTCCTAATCTGTTTACAAACTTGAATTGCAGTAAGCATATTTCCAGCTTCAATTGTGACGATCGTCCCTTCATGCTAGGTGGCAGATTACTGAATGCATACCGTGGAACGTAAATATCTCACTTCCAATTCACAAATGAATATATAACCTGATTCATTTGCGTACTCATCGGTACATCAGGAAAACTCAAATATTGCTTTTTAGCCCCCTTTAGAGCTTTTTTCGGTCTAAAAAAGGTATTAAGCCCAAAAAGCATGGGGATCTCCTGGTTCTGCGCTTATTTTATCCTTTTTCTTGGAAAAGTCACACAGAAAGCGCCGGAAAGGTCACGAGATATTCTGTATAAAGACATTGAGCCGGAAAGCCGAACTTCGGCTGCTTCTGATGCAGCTGGCGGATCAATGCCTTTTCACCATCCTTTCCGCTCCTTTTCGAGTAAAAAGCTGTCATAATGTGGGAAAAAGGTGCAATTTCAGGAGATCCTCATGCTTTTTTGACATTTTCTCTCCTTAATCCTCAAAAAAGGTGACAAAGTGAGGAAAAAGGTAAAGTTGGAGTTTTTCTAATGCTACATGATCTCCTTTAATGTATATCCGGATCTTTATATTTCTAAATATGTGCCATGTAACACATCTGCAAATGGGCAGACCTGAGGAGACAGCAGAAGAACTGGAAACTAGCTACTGATCGGATGCTGATTGTTCAAGGGATGCAAGGCTCATAGCACAGGGTGTCTTCATTACATGCGAGGTCCTCAATACTGAAACTACCACATCGACCCACCGACACATGCCTTTCCAGAAGTCATGGCGATGGATATATACTATGGCTGACTCACTATGAGAACCTACGGAGTACTAAGAGCGTCGAAGATGCGTAGAGACTCAGGCGTTCGTACTCCTAGCAGGGAGACAACATCTGTATTCACCTAAGAGCATCGAAGACACGTAGAGACTAAGGAACGTGTAAGTACAAGCAAGTAGTACTAGTGCACAGTATGAAGCTCACCTCAGCATTCGTACTCCTAGCAGGGAGACAACGTCTGAGGGGAGCAGGCGCCGTGCACGAGTATATAAGTACAGAAATAAGTGGGTTGCTAAGCCCGAGAATAAAAAATGTCTGAAAGTACCCGAACTCAAGACTACTGGCTGCACTGGGCGTTGAGTAGCATTACCATATAAGGTAATCAGCACATGCCTAACAGACGCAGCGGGATTGCGTGTTCCAACACTCACTCCCTTGATAATGTGGATGTCTCACTCATAGTGTTTTCAATTGGGGTGCCACTTCTACAATGATCAAAATCAGTTTTCATAGGCTTCTTGAATCTCTATGACTCACTGTCAGCAAATCTATGCATCTGGATATCAATGAAGGCCATATGGAAAAGGCTGAAGCAACCAGGGCATAAAATTGTACCTTGCAGCATGATCTCACCAGCAAGTCCTGTTGCAATGCGCAGTGCTGCCACCAGTATGTTTGTATATATATACATGGATACTATATAGTGGGGAGTGCTGGGAGACAGGTCTCTAGCATTTTGCCTTTATCACGATGCGCGGGTGACTCAGTCACTCGTCGACACCCTCAGACAGCGGCCAGCAGCGATTTCTACAAGTTCTTCACTACTGCACTTTTTGCTCAGCAGATGAACAGCTTGAAACTGCACCACTCCCCTTCTGATGATGCTGATTGGCCTGTTTGGCCTCAATTTCTTCCTGACCAGGATGGATTTGAGCAGTTCATACAGGAGGTTAGTTGTAAACAACCATGCAGAATTGGACAATGAACTGATGCCATCATATGATTTATGCAGATAGAGCAGAAGCAATGCAATGTCAGCCGTTACAACTCATAATCAAAAGAGTAGATGTGATATTGACTGCAACATACAGATGACAGTGAAAGACTCTGTTCCTTGGATACAGTATCAGCCTCCAGTAAAATCGCACTCTATGAAAGAGGTTATAATCGAAAGGCACCAGATTCCAAATGTTTCCTCATCGATCCTACTGGGCAGGGGATCTTCAGTGAAACAGGATAGTAGTTTCAATAGTTTTGGAGAAGATTTCGATGATAGACTGTCTGTCAGAATTATCGTAGGATTTTCTCTGCTTGGGAATAGTAAATACTTCATCTGATTTTCCATTCCCATTGGGACAGTGGCCGGAATACAAGCCTTATCCAAAGCAGATGCACATCCAGGATTTGACACCCCAATGCAATCCATGAAGCTGAAACTTCCAATGCTGCCTTTGCCTGTTCTTGTGCCTCGGATCAGTGAGTGAATAAATGTTCCAATAAAGGATGACATATTGATTCGTGTACGTCTGGTGCCATTTTTGGGTGTCAGCCATATTCGACAAAGAATGGGGAAAGTGCAGTGGACTCATGAGTCTGGTTATTGTATGAGAATTCTGCCATTGGCAGATAGTAGACCCAATCATTTTGTCTGTGGTTGCAGTACATGTGGAGGTACTGTTCCAACACCTGGTAAACCCTTTCTGTCTGACCATCTGATTGGGGGTGATATGCTGTAGACATTGTAGACTTTATGCTGAGCTTCTGACAGAACTCCTGGAATAGTTTGCTTGCAAATTGAGTACCTCTGTCTGAGATAATCTGGCATGGCAATCCATGGAGTTTGAAGATCTCATTATAGAATATGTTAGCGACTTGGGATGAGGTGACTGTGTCATCTGTTACATAAAAATGCGCTCGCTTCGTGAGTTTGTCTACGACGACAAGTATTGCTGTCTTCTTTTCTCCCCTAAAGTCCATGGCTGGAGGAAGTTGAGTGATAAGATCAACTGTAATGATCTTCCATGGTCCTCCTAGTACATCATTGGGCTGTGACAGTCCATATGGTTTTTCTCTGGAGTACTTATTGCGTTGACAACTGTCGCAACCTTGTACATATTTTTTAACCATTATAGACATTCCTGGCCACCAATAGTTCCGAGTGATGAGCTCCAACATCTTGAACCTGCCTGGGTGTCTGGCTGGTAATGTGTCATGATGGAGCTTTATTGAGTCCAGGCGTAGCTGTTGATCCTTGGGGACATAAACCTTTTCGTGATGGAGTAGCAGTCCGTGCTTCAAGTTCCATTCTGCGAGGTTTTTCCCAAATTCGTGCTGTCCTGTAGTCAAAAGTGCACGATAATCCTTGGTCATTATGTCATCTGTGAGTGCCTTCTTGATCCTTTCCAGTAGTTGAGCATCATCAACTTCAGATGCATGAGTGGGTCGAATCACATTGATAGCAAAGAACTCAGGTTTTAACAGCATTTGGTTCGAATTGTCACTGTCTACCCCCCTCTCATGGTCTGGCCTCCTGGACAGAGGATCAGCATGTAGCATATATGGTCTTTTCAGGTCGGTGACTAAGTACAAAATTAAATCGTGTGAGGAATAATGCCCAGCGTGCTTGGCACCAGGATAACTTCTGTGCCTGGCAGAAGTATGTAAGGTTGAGGTGATCTGACCAAATCTCAATGGGTTCTGGATGTCCTTCTAGATAGTGCTGGTATTCTTCTAGTGCCTGAATGATTGCAAGCATCTCTTTGTCATAAATCTCATAGTTTCGCTCATGTTCATTGAGTGATTTGGAGTAGTATGCAACTGAATGCCATAGCTTGTCTTCTCTCAGTTGTTCAAGTACTGCCCCAGTTGCGTAGTCTGAGGAGTCGGTCTCTAGATGGTATGATGCAGTGTCATTGGGGAGTTGTAAGATCGGGGCTGATGTGAACACTGTTTTGAGTGCACTGAAGGCTTAATCTTGCTCTTCCTTTCATTGCCAGGGCACGTCCTTACAGGTGAGAAGCGTTAAAGGTCATGTGAGTTTCACAAAGTCCTTTATGAATCGCCTGTAGAAATTTGCGAATCCTAAAAAGGCCTGTACTTGTTTGACCTTAGTAGGTGCTGGCCAGTCAAGGACACCTTCGATTTTAGCAGGATCCATCTGTACCGAGTTCTTGCTGATGATTATGCCAAGGTACTTGATTGAGGACTGTTCAAAGAAGCATTTCTCTAGTTTGGCATACAAGTCATTGTCCCGGAGGTGCTGTGGAACTGCTTTTACTAGTCATCGGTGTTCTTTGAGATCGTCCGTAAAGATGAGGATGTCGTCTAGGTAGACTACCACCTTTCCAGTGCAAATCAAGTCCTCAAGGACTGTATTCATCATGGTTTGGAAGGTGCTAGGAGCATTGCAAAAACTGAAGTACATTACGGCGAGTTCGAAGAGGCCGTGATGCATAATGAAGGCAGCCTTTTCTTTGTCTCCCTCCCTAATCCTTATGTTGTTGAACCCCCATCTCAGATCAAGCTTTGTAAATATGCTAGTGTCACGGTTTTTACCTGACAAGTCAATATAGGAACAAATGTTATTAGAAGCATATCATTTTTCATCATTTCTCGTCGCACAAGAATCACGTGATCTAATGGGAGATAAGATAACAAGGCATCTAGTCACATGACCTCGGATCTCCCTCGGCATTGTCACGTGACACTGAACTCCTCGGCATGATGTCATATGTCACAATCGCCATGACGCCATATTGCATGCTCAAGAGGAGCCCCATCTCTGTGGGTTATTATTAGGCAGCCAATCAGGATAATTGGGACATGTTGTATGATTGTAGCACTGACCAGTAGAGTAGCGTGTGACTCGCTTACATGGTACTGTATAGTAGCTAGACAATCATGTATATAAGGACCAGCGAGATGAGGAGGAGACCTCAGTCTTATTCTCCTTCGTCCACCACTACCATCATAGAGGGGTCTTACCAGACACTCTCAGTGTGCTATACATCTCTTTGCATCCTCACCTGTGTGATAGCGCCTCTCGCCTCACCAGTAAGTCTTACTCTGTGACTAGCGACTAGGCCTCGTCAGTGGGCACGTCGTATCACCACAGCTCGTCGCTGTAGGCTCTTAGCCAGGAGGCCCTCAAGGGGACTCTAGTTTTGGTTGTCTATCTTTGTCATCGGCGTGCCATGACATTAGAATAAGACTGACCTTTTACGCCCCTACCAAGTGTCTAACACTGGTAGCCGTGCATTTTTGCCCAGAGAACCATCCGTCCAGGGCAGGGCTTTTTCCACACCACTTCCTTCATATCGTTTCACTTCACCTCTACCACCTAAGCCACTTCCTTCCTTCAAAAGAAACAGCACTGCACCGACCGGTAAAGTGCCTCAAGTGCACAACGGTATCATTCTGCCTAATGGACACTACCACCCTTACAACCTCGATCTCAGATGCACTCGTCGTCTGACAGCAAGCAACCTACTTCGAGCCAAGCCCAATGACTATCGCTCTGACCTACAGAAGTTATGCACTAAGGTCAGCTCGTGGGCCGAAGCAATTCCCAGAGACACATCTGACCCATCTGTCCCCATCTACAAACCCCACTGGTGGTCCAACGACGACGCTACCACTGTTCTCACTTTCACGCTCTCAAAGAGTTACCACCCTCTTGGTATAAATGAGAACTCCAAAGGCACACTTTTGGACAATATTGCGCCCACTGTACATGCTACCATTCAGCAGTACAAGGTCTTACAGCAGCCACACATCGCTGCTAAATTCACGGAGGCACAGATCCAGTGTCACGATCGCATTCTGCGACACCTAGGAGCGTTGAACAAGAGAATTGGGCGAGGTGATGACTTCACGTTCGTCGATAGATGCATCGCAATCAAGCTTTGCATAGGACTAGGGAAGATTTTGTTCAGGGGAATCAACAAGGAGCAGGAGCGCGTAGGAAGAGACATTGTAAGGTTCGAGAAGGAGTCGTGCTACTGGCCTTATTAGGACCAGTGATACCTTTGTACTACCACGTCAATAGTTTCATGCCGAGATACACATTTGGCTTTATATACGAAAACTACATCGTGGACTTCTATCGTCCGGCACAGGGACAACTCACAGTCATCTGCACCACATATTTCGTTTACCAACCTCTCATCACCAACTGGCAGCAAGTACTTTATCACTACATAGTACAAGTATATGCCTACACCACCTACTCGGCACCATTCTGTCTCATTCCTGATTTCAAGGAAGAGAGAGAATATTGGCATGACTGAGCAGAAGCCCTACGAGAGGAACTAGCAGAAGAAGGACTCATCAAGGAAGACCCCACGATCCCCTTCTAAATAAAAAACATCATCGCCAGAGCTAAGACCAAGAGTTGATTAACACATTGTCCATCACCTCATTTCCACTATCATCGACATCCATCCCAATGTCTCAGTACAACCTTGGCGGTGTTGCGTTCCCAGGAGGACACACCCAAAGTGAGCCTACCGACCCCTGGAGGAGTCAGGCAAATTCTACATCATCCGAAGCAGGACCAGCTGCCCCTGCAAATGAACCACATAATAGCAGCACACCCAAGGTGTCAGGAGTAGTCAGAAACCCATCACCCACCACCCTGCCAGAGTTTACCACGCTTGCAACCTGGGAATGGCAGGGTATCTCTTACGACACAATCAAGGAAGCCGCCGATGCCACAGCACCCAACACCATTTCAAACGACGTCAAAGAATGGACAATGAATGTGGTGCAAGCATTCATCATGAGAGACATTGTGAGCTCCTACGAAGCACTACGTCAAAAGATGGATGAACGTCACGAGCGCACGGTGGCCTCATTGGAAGAAGAGATACTGGCTCGTATCCATGTCGAAATAATGGCGGTGAAAACGTGAGACCAGTTAAAAGTCGCAAGAGCTCAGATTGGCACCCTCTCCACTGATAATGAAAGGCTCATCAAGGTGAACAATGGTCTGATGGTCGAAGCCCAAGCAATTCGCAAGGACTTCGAAGATTACAAGGATGAAGTAAAGGGTCAGATGGACACCCTTTACAGCAACATGGTCGCCCTGAAGGAGGCACAGGAGAAGACCACAACCTATATCGTTGGGCTGGAAACCCGGCTCAACAATGCTATAATCAATGCACCTCCCACAGGTATCCAACCACCGGCTGGCCAATTCAGTCAATCGCCCCGCTGAATCAAGCTCCCCAATCTGCCCAAATACTCAGGGAGAAAGTCGTCCGAAACCTTCGAGACCTGGTTCACAAACCTCCTCATATGGCTCGATTACAATCACTTCACGGATGACAAGGACAAAATTCGGCAGGCCAATGCGCATCTGGAAGGAGGAGCAGCTCTATACATGAAGGAGTATGCAATCAAGCTCGCCTCTGGACAAGACATTGTGTTATGAAGTGTTCCCTGCTAGAACGTTCAGAACCACATGTGCTTTCTCACACGTACTAGTCCACAACGTGGACAGAGACTTAGGTACCAAATATACCTAACACCTCCAATAGTCAGGCAGACTATTAGCAGG